CAAGGGCGGTCGCGCGGCCCCTCACTCTCCGACACGAGTCCGCTTATCTCGGCACCACGAGGCCCCCGCAGCCCCGCCGCCCCGCCTTGTGGCGGCCTGCAAGGACGCCCCCCCCCCTCCGCCAATACCACCTCGGCCTTGATCCATTCTTATCTCCTTATTTTGTTCCGCAGCTGGAGAAGAGGTCCACGTCCGCGGTGGAGCGGCAGGCCGGCGCGCTGGCCGGCATCCAGAAGACCCTGCAGGAGCTGGCCTTCCACCCGGGCGTGGGCGGCGGCCCGGGCCCCGGCGAGGCCGTGGCCGTGGTCCCCGTGGGGCAGGCCCTCGGCGAGGAGATCCTGGCCGCCGTGCAGCGCCTGGAGCAGCGCACCGCCACGGTAGGGCTTCAACCAAGGCGTCAACATCGAGCCCAGGATTCGACCTTTGTCGCCCGGAGTGTGGCACTCGTCAGCCACGCCTCGCGACGTCGCCGGGCCGCGTGTGTGTCTATGCCGCGGCATGCCGTTGGGAAGGGCGGCTGCTACACTGCCTGGCCGGGCGGTCCCTGTTGCGCCGCCGCGAGGCGCCCCACAGGGGGCCCTCCACCGGGGGCGCGGCGCTAGGTAACGCCAGGTAGCCCCGCTAATTGGGTGGGGCCCTCACCGGTGTCACACCTCCCGTTTGCGTCGCCAGGGGCCCAGCGCCGCGAGGAGGTAGCCACCACGCCGTCACGCCGCGGCCTAAGGGTGGCGCCCCGCCCCGCCCCGCCCCGCCCCGCACTGCCACCCCCGAAGGTGGCGGTGGGGTGCGCGTCGGCAGTGGCGTGGCCGAGCCGGGGGTGGCCGCGGCGCCGAGCGGACTGTAGCGTTGTTGAAACGCCGCCGGCGACTTCCCTCCCATAACCTCGCCGCTGCACCAAGCTGACGGAACGGCGACGGCCGTGAGGTGTGGTCCCTCTCGTCTGGAAACTCCGGTGCCCTCCGAGGGAGGGGGAGGGGGGACCCACCGCGACTTCCGCGAGCCGCTTCAATTCACGAAAGGGGTGCCCCCGGTGCGCGCCGTGGCCCCCCGTGTTCCGCCGTGCCCCGCCGGGGGAGGCGGGGCGGCGTGTACGTGTACAGTAGAATCTGGCGTATTCTCCATTTTGGCGACCAGGCGCCCAGACAGTGGGGCGGGTGGCTCCGTTCGTTTCGCGGCTGGCCGGGAGATGGCGCCAGCGGGGCGGCGGGGGCGTGTCGTGCCGAGTGTCGTAAGGGTGTCGTGCGGTGTCGGCGAGTGCAAGGGAAGACCACGACCGGGTAGAGCACCGGGATCTCACTTCGGAACGGAGACCCTCCGCGTTGTAATCTGGCCGAAGAGGAGCGCGCGGGAATTTCGGCTACCTGCTCCCTGCCGGGTGCGATGACCAGACTCGAACCCCAGGGCTTTGACTTGGAAGTCCTCTACCTTTCGGTGCGATCCACCCCCCACTGTAAGCTGCAAACCAACGCGTCAGTCCGCGCGTTAGAAACAAAGCTGCTGGACTTTCGGGTCCGCCGTGAGAACGTGCTCGCGAGGTGGAGTGACTCTCGCCTCTCTCTCCACCTCTCCCTTCGCGGTGGCCGGCGACCGCCCTTTCGAATTCGGCCAGAGCGCCGTGCTTCCTGGAACTCCAGTCGTGCGGGATGTGGGGCGCCGGGTTCTTCCCTCTTCCCTGCTCCAGTGTGCTCGGTGGGTGGGTGCCGCTCGCTCCCACAGTCGCTGATCGATGCGGGCCGCGCCCTGGCGGCCCGGCGGCCCGGCCCGGTGGCGCCCTCTGCCGGGGGGTGGCGGAAGCGGCGAAGCGGCGAACGGGGAAGCAGCGCTAGCGGCTCAGGGGGAGGCGGCGCCACCGCCTTGCGACCCGCGGCCCGCCAGACTCACTCCGAGAGTCGCTTCCGTCGCTCTGTCTCTCTCGCACCTTTACGGAGCGCCCTATGAGGGCGAGAGAGACAGAGCGACGATGACGACTCTCGGGATCAGTCCGCGGCGCCTCGCGCTGTCATTGGCCGCCCGCCGGACTCGGCAGCCAATCGCGACGCTCCGAGGACGAGGGCCTTTAACCGCACGGTGAACGACTGTGAAAGCTCTCGCCGTCTTTCGACGACGATTTCCCTATTTCAACGACGGCCAGCCGGAAAAACACGGGGCAAAGCGGGAAACCGTTCGGCGTCGCCGAGCCCCGCCCCCCGCGGTTGGCGAATGCGCGGCGGGGGTGGTGCGGGGGTGGCCGCCCCCGGCGCCTCGCGGAGTCGCAGCAGGCGGAGCAGGCCACCTCCTTGTCCCGCATAAGCGCCGGGCACTTCTTCCACCAAACGGCCCGTTTGGGAATGTTTGCAGCACGTTGAACCGGCAGCCGGCGCCGCGCAGGGCAGCACCCTGGCAGCACAGGGCCGAAGGGAAGATCGGGAAGGCACCAGCCTGCGTGCCGCGTGCCGGCCTTGTGTTAGCGCGGGGGGTGCGTCACGGCGACGCGTTTCGAGCTCCAAAGTCACTGAATGGGACTCGAACCGAACGTGTGACCCCACCAATGGATTGCTCTCCGAACGAGGAATCCATTGGTGGGGTCACACGCTCGCTTCGAGTCCTGTTTAGCGACTCTGGAGCTCAAAACGCGTCGAGAGTTTTGGCCGCATGCGCCGGCCTTCTGGTCCACTATGAGGCCCTGGCCTGGCGCGCAAATAGTGGACTGGACGGGCTTTGCCGCTTCGCGACGACGCTCTCGCGTGACGCCACACCCTCGTGGATTGGCGGCCCGGCTCGCCGGCCAGCCCAATCAATGCACCATCCCTCACGCCAGCGCAGCCAGCGCGCGTTCCACTTGTGAATGGCGACGGCGGGGCAATGCGGCAATGCGCGGGGCAATGGCGGCGCCACCTCCTGGCGCCACTGCCGCCCTGGTGGCCACAAGAGCCGCTAGGCCCTTTTCTAAGGGAGCGCGCTGTGTCCTCGTATCGACCGAAGGACCGCGCCGCGCCGCGCCACGCCGCAGCGCGGCACTCGCGACCCCACGGCACGGCACGCCACGGCACGGACGCGCGACGCCGCGGCACCACCGAAGGGACGAAGGGATGTGCACAGCGAGGGCGCGGGAACTTGAACGGGGAGGTTCGTCGGGCACTGAAACGCCCGAGTCGCCGGAGTCGGTACAAGCGGCAGCTTGAGCTGGACTTTCCTTCATTTGTCATTCTTGTCGGTTCGGGCAGTTTAGTCTAGCCAAAGAACGCTAAACCACGCCCTTCCATTCATATCCCGTTCTCCACCGCGGTGCGCGAAGGGAAGTCCAGGCCCTGGACCACAAGGTTTGCACAAGGTTTAGACTCCTTCAAGGCCTGGACTCCAGGGCGTTCCGCGCGGCCGGCCACCTCGTCCGGATCGTCCGCGTCGTCGTCGTCCACCTCCTGCAGCGCGGCGGCGCCTGGTGGAGGGTCAGGGCGCGGCTCAGGCTGGCGGGGGCGGAGGCGTGGCCGCGGGTATTGATCCTCCCTCGGCCCGTCCGCCCCGGCCGTCCAGCCTCCTCCAAGGCGGGGCCGCAGCTTCTTCCCGGCCCGGACATCCGCCCCTCCCTCCCACTGGCTCCCACTGGCTCACTCTCCGCCGCGGGGCGGCGCGGGGCGGCGCGGGGCGCCTCTAGCCTCCACCGCCGCGCCGGCGCCGCGTCTACCTCCCGCGGCCGCTGCGTGCCTGTCCGGCCTGAGGACGCCAGAGGCCCCCGTTCAAGGCGACCAGTGAGGTAGGTCCGGGCTGCGCGCTGTGCGCGGCCTGCGCGGCGCGGCGCGGCGCCACTGCCGGGCGGGCCGGCCGGACGGGGCTCGGGGCTCGGGGCTCGGGGCCCCAGCCCGGCCGCGGGCCGCGGGTGGGGCCACGCGGCGCACCGGCGCGGCAGGGCTAGGGGCGCCACCTGGCGGCGTCGCCGCCTAGCTTTGGCCGCGCACCGGCGCCACCGCGAGGCGCGGCCGCGGGGCACCTCCTGCGGCTTGCTGCGGCCCGGGCAGCGCCATCCGCGAAAGGCCCACCGCGAGCGGCAGGGGGCAACCCTAGCGGGAAGGGAAGGGGAACCCCTACCGCGCGGTCCGCCGCCCCGCCGGCCTCGCCGCCTCGACAAGACGAGAGGGCCGCGAGGGACACCTTTCGGCTTCGGACGCCTGCGAGGTAGGCAGGCAGCGGCCGTGCAGCACACCCGTGCGTCGGCGCGGCCTACCTGCCAGGCGCTCCAGGCGCTCCAGGCGAGCCCCCGACAGGCGGGCCGCCCGCCACACTGCCGCGCGTTGCGGCCGTTGGGTTGCCTACCTGCCAGGCGCTCGCACGGACGCAGACTAGCGCATCGGGGCTTTTCGCGCGCGCGCGTGGAAGGCGTGGAAGATCACACACTCAGTGATTAGCCGTGTGGGACGGAAATAGGCAATAGGCAATGGGCAGTGTCCCAGACCACCGGGAGGCTCGACGCGCTCGACGCCATTGGATTGGACGCCGCGTGCATCGACCTTCCCTTCCACGCTTCCACCCTCGGGGCGGGTCGGGGAGGGTCGGCCGAGGGTGGTGGCACGCGGCACGCTCGCGGCTCGCCGCCGCACGCCGGCGCGGCGCCTGTAGGGGTGACGGCGCCGCGGCGTCCACCTCCTCGCCCTTCTTGTGCTCCTGGCGAAACCAATTTCAGTTACGCCTCCTGGATCCGGCTTCCGATCGAAGTGTCGATACTTGATGGATGGGCGTCGCCGCGTCGCTCAGCCCTTCGGGCCCTTCGGTTCGCACGCTCACCTGCCGCCCCTCCCCCTCCCCCCACCGCCCCGTCCGCCCCCTCCCCGCCTCCCTAAAGGCCCTCCCTCGGCGCGTTTAGGTTCCCGCCAGCACTGTGTTCACTGTGTTCTCTGTGCGCAGGCGGCGCGCGAGGCGGTGGACGCGGCGTTCCAGCGGCGCCACAACGAGACCCTGCGCGCGGCCCAGCAGCTGGCCGAGGAAGTGGCGGCCGGCTTGACGGCGCGCCTCACCGCCGCGCTGTCGGAGCAGCTCGCGCAGCGACTGGCGGCCGGCGACACGGCCGCGGCGCTGGCCTCCTCCCTGTCCTCCACCCTGGCCGACGGCATGGCCGCCACCGTGGTGGACCGCCTCGGACAGCGCCTGGAGCAGCAGGACCAGCAGAGGGCCGCGGACCTCAAGGCCTCGGCCCAGGAGTCCAAGGACGAGCTGCTGGAGTCCGTCAGCGACATCATCACCTCGAGCAACAGAGGTATGCGTGTGACACCAGGGGCGGATCCAGAGCCGGCCTGAGGGGAGGGCAAAGTAGCATCCACCAACTCCACCTACTCCACGGCTCGGTTGGCAGGCTTGGTGGCCGACGTGGCCAAGTCGTACGAGGCCGTGACCAAGGAGCTCGGGGCGCTGGTCGGCGTGGAGCGCGTGCTCATCCAGACGGGCGACAACGTCCTGGACGCCAAGCGGCGCATCGAATATGGCGTGCACCAGATCCTGCACGAGGTCGGCGCCCTCGTCAAGGAGCAGGTACGTTTCTTTCCTCTCCAGATTGCATTCTTTGTTTAACTGGCTGTTCCCATTCCCACTGATAATCCGTGTTTCGCCGCCGCAGTCGAAAGACCTGAACGAGACGCTCAACATGCGCTTCGACGTCATCTCCGCCGACATCCTGTCGCACCAGACGGAGAACCTCGGCAACCTGAGCACCAAGATCGAGACGGAGATCTCGCAGGTGTGGCGGCAGATCGGCATCATGTACGAGCAGCTGACGGCCTCCAAGAGCATGCTGGACCGGCTGCAGCAGCAGACGGAGATCTACGTCAACGGCAGCCTGCAGACCATGGACGGCATGGAGGGCAAGGTGGGCCAGATCACGGGCAGGATGGGCGAGGTGGACGAGAACCTCAACTACCTGCTGGGCCGCCTGTCGCTCGTCACGCAGGAGTTCAACCAGATCAAGTCGGGCCTGGCGTCCGCCCTGGACAGCATCCGCAAGAGCTTCCTGGAGCTGCAGGGCCAGGTGACGCAGGTCACGGACCTGGGCCCCGGCCCCAACCCCATCCCCGAGGAGCCCCCGTCCCCCGCCATCATGGTCCGCGCCAGGACGCCACCGCGGCCCGGTAGCGCCGCCGGCGACACGGGCTCCGACAACCAGGTCTAGCCCGAGTCCGCCACCGACATGGAGCCGCGTCGGCGGCTACCTAGGCCTAACAGTGCAGGCGCCAGCTTGGGCGTCCGATGCTCCGTCCGGAGCTGCTAGCCTGCAGTCTCATTCCGAGAGTCGTTTCCGTCGCTCTGTCTCTCTCGCTCCTACACGGCACGCCCCATAAGTGCGAGAGAGACAGAGCGACGAAAGCGCCTCTCGGAATGAGTCTGCTGGTGGCTCCGGACACCGCCACTGCCGTGGACAATGCTCGCGTGCGCAACAAGCCTTAAGCGGGAGCGACACCGGCAGGCCGACAAGGCCCTCAAGCCAGTGGGGACCACTTCTCCCATGCTGGCCGATTTAATTGCGTGGTGCATGCGATGCAAGTGTTGGAGCAGAAAAAGTTTCCATTTAGATTTCGCTATCATTTCATTCATTCTTAGTTGTGTGTGTGTGAGTTGCTTTTTTTTTTTTTACTCCAATTTAACTTTTTATTAATTGTAAAATGAAGTTGAACACCAAGTTCCTCCCACTTCACCCAACATTTCCACCCATGTGCGATGAAAGGGTACTTCTTGATAGAAAAACTCAAAATACGTGTACTATGAAAATGATTTATTGTAGTTATCGCGAAGTACAAAAGAAAAAACAAGTGGATCAGAAAAATAGCTCAATAAAAAATACAAGATTTAATACATTCAACAATGATATCACATGTTCCAGTCTGGCAATGAGTAAAACATTAAAAAATTGAACAAACACTCAAAATTTCATGGTTTTGGTCCTTTGCAGGACGGCCACATTTAAAAGCATCAATTTCAAATCACATCTACTTCTTCTTGTATGAATAAAATCCTTCCCCAGTCTTCATTCCAAGTTTGCCCTCTGAGACAAGTTTGTTCAGTGTATCCAGGGGGTTGAAAAGGGGGTTCTCCGGCATCTTCTCATGCCAACCTGTGAGCAAAAATTTTGTTGCATTAATTGACACTTTCAGTAACATTTAACTCTAAGTTAATAAAAGATCAACAAATTTACCATCAAGAATGAATTTAGTTGTGTCATGGCCTACATAGTCTGCCAATTCAATAGGGCCCATGGGGTGTCCAGCTCCCAGCTTCATGGCAGTGTCAATGTCTCTTGGGCTTGCATCTCCTACAACAGAAGCGTCACATTTACTACCTGAATAAAGAGAAACCTCGACTTACTTGATTGAACACATACCTCGCTCAAGCATGCGGACAGCTTCAGCAAGCATTGGAACCAAGAGGCGGTTCACAACGAATCCGGGAGTGTCTTTGCAGGTGATGCAAGTTTTTCCAACCTCCTGACCCCACTCCATCATTTTCTTGAAAGTGTCATCAGAAGTATCGTTTGTGCGGACCACCTGCATAAATCATAAATGTAACAAAATGGCCTTGAGAGCTTAAGAGTTTGACAGCACAAATAATATACCTCCAGCAACTTCATGACAGGGACAGGATTAAAGAAGTGGAGGCCACCAAATCGGTCCTTGCGCTGGCATTGAGACGCAATTTCCGTGATGGACAGGGATGAAGTATTTGATGCAAAAATGGTGTGCTTAGGAGCCACCTATAAGATAAAAACAAACATTCAATTAGTGAGTAATCAAATATCTTATAAATAGCGAACTAAAAGTAACTTACTGCATCCAAAGTGGCGAAAAGCTTCTGTTTGATGGCCATGTTCTCCACAATAGCTTCGACAACTAAATCAGTGTTCTTCACAGCTTCAGAGGCATCAGTAGCCCCAGAAATACGACTCATTGTCTGCTCCACAAACTTATCTCCTTCAGCTGGTTTCTCCTAAAATAACAAACGAATCATAAAATTGTTACCGTAAGGAGGTACAAGAAGTACAAACAAGACGGGACTCAAAGGATTAATTACCTTATAAACCTTCTTCGCAACTCGCTTCAAGCTTTCATGGATGCGTGAATTAGCTCCTTCCAACAACTTGTCGTTGGTCTCCACAAGACAAACCTTCTGGCCTGCCGCTGCCGAAACCTGTGACACAAAGGCATTTATCAGTTGACGACACAGCTCACAAATGACGCAGAACAAGTATACAACGTTTTGACCCAAATCTCACCTGGGCAATGCCAGAACCCATCAAACCTCCCCCAATCACCGTCACATGTTTGATGGCACCGGCCATGGCTCGGGAGGAGCTGAAGTTCCTTTTCAACACTTGGCTCACAGATGCCATGGCTGAAAACAAGGAGGCACAAACGAGCGGTCAAACGCAGCAAGGAGTGATTCCAGAGTGTCTGCCGGCCGGCGGTTGCTTATGACGGGCCAAGATAACCCAGCAGCATCAAGTGACCAGAAGAACTGCACACAGAGTCCAAAGGTGCTGTTGTCAAAGGTCAGATTTTGACAGCGCTGCCTCTGCCACTGACACGCTGACACCGGCAAGGCAGAACGCTGACTCGGGACAAAGGCCGGGGAAAGTCACACGAGGTTCTCACCTGTCATTGACACTTGTCAGATTAAAAACTCTCAATGACCAGTTTACGACTTCACTCCTTTCCTCCTCTCTTCCTTCCTCCTTCCTTCCCCTTTCCCCTCGGCCGCTCCATGTGGCAGAGTCGGATCGGTTGATGTAGTGATCAGGCTGCAGCGCCCGAGAGAAAGCGTGACCTCGACTTTCTGAAGAGTAAACTCTTGACAACACACACTGGAAACACAAATGTTCACATGATCCGCGGGTTGATGAGGCCGAAGCAATGTTTGCACCCGATAATGGACCATTCTTGGATTATTTCGCCTTCGTAGCAGACGACCCTGGCCTGGTGGGAGTGCAACCACATCAGCCACAAGATGACGTGACGTCACGAAAGGTATTTTGTCGTAAGAAGAACATGGCGATTGTGTTGTCACGAAGTGTAAACAGCCAGAAGTAATCTGGAATTTTAGGTTTATCGGGTGGTTTTACTGGAAAGAAATTGTTTTTATCCATTCCTGACCATTGGATGACCGTTTTATAAACTTTTTACATCACCAGCGCCACTGGAGAGGTTTAAATTGTGTTTTGAACACAGATGTCTGCTTTAACTCACTCTTTACTAGGTAAGCTATTTAACAAAGAGATCCAGTGTTCTTGTAAATTAAATGAAAAAACTTTTTGGTTTTATTGTCTATTCAAACCTGACGAAGATGTTGTTGTATCTCCCCTTTCTGCGAAATCAGTGAAGATGCTCCTGCATCCAAAGAAATAGCAATAGTTCACACTGACTCCTTGTCTTTTCTTATCTTTTATTAAAATCTCTCCATTTTCATTATCAAGTTCTCTGCTTGTGTTTTGTCTGTTTCCATCTGTTTATTTAACCAGTGAGGTTTTAGTTGCAATTATTTGTATGTAAGAGGTTAGTAAATTTTGAAATTCGAGTTAAGAAAGGTAGACAAATGCATTTGATTTTCTCTATTGGATAATTTAACATCACCTTCCACGTACCTTCCGCTTCCGTTAAAAATGTGCAACATTCATCTCAATTGTTAAATTTCAGGCCACAATTTTATTTATCCAAACATTCTGTACCCTTATTTAATCACAATGAAGATTTTGCTTATGTTGCCGCATGGTTTCCTATTACTTCTCCAGCCACAGTAATCTGAATTCTACTGTATTTTTTCCAGGAGCTGATCCATCACTGCAAAAACACCATTCAAGCTCTATAGGGTGAGTCCTCAATGGCATTTTTCTTGCGGGTGCAATTTTGCCCCTGTAGTCATTATTATTTTATATTTTGTTCATTCCTGTGTTACTTCAGCCTGAAAAAGATTACCGGGTTTTGAATTCAATCTCTGAAGCAGTGTTGAGTCAAGGTAGAGAAGACGGGGAAAACTGAACTGTCCGCATTATCCACTGCAGGGTTCACCCTCTGGACGCAAATTGATTTTTAAATAAGGGAGCCTCTGAGCAACGAAAGCAGTGCTCGGAATCGGTCTGCAGGTCAGCCCAGATCCCCACCGCCCCCATTCCCCCCTCGCCGAATCCGCAGGACCTTGACCCTGACGGGAACCCTGGTCCTCCCCCGCCCCTCCGGCCTGGCTGCACTTCTGCATAAGCTGCATACCAGACGCAGCGCCACGCCGCCGTGTCGCCGTCCGTCCGTCTGTGCACCTGACGGCCTGGCCCCGTGCGATAGAGACAGAATTGGCAGGATCTGAGAAGTCCTCTTTTGGGGCATTCAGTGTCGGTCGAAAGATACTCCACGACTGTTGGGCCGTCCCTTCGCCGCGGGGTATCGCCTGCGGGTCGTTGCGCCTTTTATGCAGAGCGGGACCGTGGCTGCAGACTGATTCCGAGAGTCGTTTCCGCCGCCCTGTCTCTCTCGCGCTCATGAGGCGTCCCGCTTGCGTGCGAGAGAGACAGGGCGACCAAAACGACTCTCGGAATCAGTCTGCTGGACCGAGCAGCAAGCCAAGGCGCTGCCGCGGCCTGCGGTTTGCTGACTTGCGGGCTTGCGGGCTTTCTGGCTACCCCTCTGCGGTTGTGGTTTGGCTCTGGGCGTCTCTCTCTCTGTCTCTCTCTCTCTCCTTGCACGGGGACCATCCCGCGCACACGAGTGCGCAGGTGGACTTCCCCCGCGCCTGGACTTCAACGCTGATATCTTCTCTCTCTGTCTTGCCCGCAGGTCTGATGAGGAGGAAGTTGGAGGCGGCAAATACAGAAGAATGGACGAAGATGGACTTCACGACAAGGAGCGCTTCGCGAGGTACGTGGACGTGTACGCCCCTGAGCACCCTGCCGCCGGATTCCGAAGGATCGTTACGTCGCTCTGTCTCTCTCGCTCCCCTACGGACGCATAGGAGTGCAAGAGAGAAAGAGAGCGACAACATCGACTCTCGGAATCAGTCTCCTGGTGTTCGGGTTAGCGCGCGCCTTACCGGTCTCAGCATCATGGTCTCACCGTCCTCACGGCCGTTGCCAGCGAGGACCACGACGACGTCTCTACTTCCTTCTTGGAATCCTCCCCCCCCTTTCCCCTTTTCCGATTACCCCCTGTGAACCTCTCAACCCGAAGAGCCTCGCCTCATTTGCTATGCACACGGCGTTCGCGTTTGTGAGGGAAGGGAAGGGGAGGGGCCTCCCTCTGGTCCCCAGACACAGCCTTCCCCGTGAATGACATCGGTAGATCTTATCTGGCACCTGCTTTACATCCTGCACCCACCTTTTCTTTTCTCATTTCCTTTTATTTTTATCAAAATTTTTGAGAGTTTCAAATTATGTTTCTTCCTTCTCCACTTTAAGTTCAACTTTTTAGGTAATTTTTTTCTTCTTCTCTTTCTTTTTAGCCGGGAGAACCACTGCGAGATTGAGCGACGGCGGCGAAACAAGATGACCGCCTACATCACGGAGCTGTCCGACATGGTGCCTACCTGCTCAGCCCTGGCCCGCAAGCCAGACAAGCTGACCATCCTCCGCATGGCGGTGGCACACATGAAGGCGCTCCGTGGTGAGTCAGCGGGTATGTGTGCTTTGGCTGTGCAGGCTGTGCTTGCCACTGCTTGCCCCTCCAGTCACCTGTCCTGTCTTTCCCTTCTGTTTGATGATCCGTTATAGAATTGGCCTTAAAAAAGTTGCTTGTAGTTTAAGCAGTCTTGTGTTTCTTCCCGGGCTTCTTACCATTCTTGCTCTATTTTTAATGCGGATTTATTTTTTCCTAAGGAACAGGAAACACTAGCTCAGACGGTACATATAAACCATCATTCCTTACCGATCAAGAACTGAAGCATTTAATACTGGAGGCTGCTGATGGGTTCTTGTTCGTTGTAATGTGTGATACTGGAAGGATTATCTATGTATCTGACTCAGTTGGTCCGGTTCTCAACCATTCCCAGGTTTGTGTTAAGTGGTCTAAGATTTCAGTCTTATCTTACATTTGCATTTTGCGTGTTTTGTTTCTGATCAAATGCACATTACTCCCTTCATTTTCAGAATGATTGGTTTGGAACATCAGTCTATGACCACCTCCATCCAGAGGATATAGAAAAAGTGCGAGAGCAGCTGTCAACTCAGGAATCTCAGAACTCTGGCAGAATTTTGGATCTGAAAACTGGAACTGTCAAGAAAGAGGGACATCAATGTAATAAGTTTTGTGTGTTTTATTTTAAATAGAGACGGGCAGTTGCACCTTGCTTGATATTAATGAAAACAATTGTTTGTATGATCTGTTTTCCAGCTTCAATGAGGCTTAGTATGGGACCAAGACGGGGCTTCATTTGTCGTCTCAAGGTTGGCAATATGGGGCCTGATGCCATGGCTGCTGGACATCTCAATCGCTTGAAGCAGAGGAACAGTTTGGGACCATCTCGGGACAATCAAAATTTTGCAGTGGTACATTGCACGGGCTACATCAAAAATTGGCCTCCATCAGGTACCGATTATGGTAAGTCATTGATTTATTTATTTATTTGTTCTCTTATCAGCCACACTCAATGAGACAAGGGCATTCTTGTGTCTCATGACACAACACAATTTCAGAGTGAAATAAAGGGAATACTTATGATTTTCAAATATCATTTGTGTTGTTGTAATTTTTTAGGAGTTCCAATGGAAGCAAGGAGTGAGGATGATGGTACCCATTGTTGTCTTGTTGCTATTGGCCGCCTTCAAGTTACTTCCACGCCCAACACAAGTGATATGTCGGGTGCCAACAACAATTGTGGTCAGTGTGCCAGTAACTTCCTATGCACATGTCAACTACGTTATTTGCATTGTCCTCACAGGACAATACAGATTTTTTAAAAAAATGTCTATTGAATTAGAATTTTTTGTTGTTCCAGAATTTATATCTCGTCACAATATGGAGGGTAAATTTTCATTTGTTGACCAACGAGTGATGAACATTCTTGGGTATAAACCTCCAGAACTTTTGGGAAAGTCTTGTTTTGATTTTTTCCATCCTGAGGATCAAACCCACATGAAAGAAAGCTTTGAGCAAGGTAATATAAAATTTTGTCTACTAAGATCTAGATCTTTGACAGGATCTAGGATATTACAATCGTCAATGGTTTTTGAGATGATAACAAAAATATTTTCATTCTGTGTTTCAGTGCTGAAACTCAAAGGACAAGTTATGTCTGTAATGTACAGATTCCAGGCCAAAAATCATGAATGGATCTGGTTGCGTACCTCTGCCTTTGCCTTCCTAAACCCCTACACAGATGATGTTGAATACATTGTTTGCACCAATTCAACTGCAAAGTAAGTTTCACCCGTATTTAAAGGACGAAACAACTGTCCTTGTTGAACAGTAGTCCTTAAGTCTTATTATCATTCTTGCAGGTCTCTTCACTCACCCGGTGACGCTACGGCCGGGGATGCGAGTGAGCAGGTTACATACCAGCCTCAAGCCACTCCACAGCCCCAGCATCAAGCGCAACCTGGACTGGACTACAGCCTGCAGAGGCGGGATGCTGCCCCTGTCTACCAGCACATGATTCCTACATCACACTTGCATGGTATGCTGCCTGTTCAAGTCAGCCAAGTTGTTGGATCTTGTCACGTTAATTTAAATATTTTTATCTGGGTCTCACATTTTGTGTATGTGTGATTGATTTTCTAGATTCCACAGGAGCAGCTTCACAAAGTCAAGGACGGCCCTCAAGTGTTCAAAACGTGTACAGCAATTATGACACGACCCCATCTCCAATAGCTTATGGCTCTCCGGGTCAACAAGCCCAAGGCACAGCAAATGCTGTATTGGGTCGAATAAGCAAAACAGCGACAACCTCGCCTACTCCAGCCCAAGGCGCCTGGACCCAACAATACAGCCAGCTTAGTCCTTCTCGCTCTCCGGGAGGCCCTACTTACACTCAGTTGAGTGGTGGAGCTCGAGCAGGACCCATTCCTGCTCCATCATACCACTCATCTGCTCTTCCAGCCAACACAGGTAAGTCCTACACGTCATAGAGCCAGTTTGTGGTTGTTCTGTACTTTGTATCTTAGCTCAGAAGTGGATCAGTGTCCTAATATTTCTTTAAGTTTTACTATTGTTTTTGTTTTACAGGAATGTGGACCTGGCCTGGTGCAGGACAAACTGCCGAGTCTGCAGGTGCTGTTACTTCAACAGGTGCTGCAGTTCAAGGCGCCACCCCACAGCAACATGAGCTGACCGACATGCTCCAAATGCTGGATCAAAGTGGTGCTGCATCTTTCGAGGACCTCAACATGTTTAACACAGGATTTGAGTGGGTATTTTTCAGTGTGACCCACTAAACTGACAATCTATTTATCAAAGTGATCATAATATTTCTTTTTTCTTCTTTTCAGCCTCCAGAGAGAGGGCAGATACAATGAACCATGGACCCGTCCTGTATGATGAAGAGTTTTCCCAATATGACCTAAATGCTCTAAACCCATTGTTGGTTGGAACACCAGCATAGATTTTCTCAAACTTTATGAAAGCTCATTTCCTTTCTGCTCTTTCTCTATCTCCTAGTCAGATTTTTTCCCTTTTTTTTGGCATGTATATTACTCAATCTATTTCCTGTAGTGCAGTGCTTGTGAAGGCATGTATTGACTTCCTTATTGTGAGCCTTTGCTTTGTTTCCTCACGTCCTTCAACCCTTTTTTCCCCCATTTGGCTAATAAGCTCCACAAATCACCGTGATACTGATTTTGTTTCCTTTCTTGTGTGGAAGTAGAGCTCAAGAAAATGTGATGATTAGTTAGGAGCATTACTACTAGAAAAAGTTTCCCCTTACCTGAGTGTCTCAATTTTCTTCCTTTATAAGAATGTCCATGCTGTATTTTAGAAAAAATGTCAAAAGTTTTCCTTATTTTTGTGAGGGAACCTTTTGGTTCTTATTATCATCTTTTCCTCTTTGTGTTTTATCTTATCATCTTCTCATTAACATGATGTGACATCATCTGTGTGTTATTTGATTTCATGGCCTCAAAGCCGAAGACTAATGTATATTTTTGCTGTATGCTGGCCCTCGTGTTTAATTTCCTCACATCATTAGTGCTCATCTTTAAAGCAGAAGGTGTTCCTTGATAGTACAAGACTGCAAAGCAGTAATGTGGTTCAGTATTTATACTGGTAGTTTATTGGATGCTTCCTATACACTTAATGGGTGCATAATTATTAAGTTGCCTATAGGCCAAAAAGTATTTCGTTTTTGTCCTCCATGTTATTGATTTTATGATTTTATCACAAGAATTAGTGAGTTTTATAATTAATTTAGTGAGTTTTGGAAATGTTTGTAAGTGTTTTGATATATTTGCTACTTGTTGCTGTATGCGCAGATTTTGTTTTGTTCGCTCTTCATCATTTACCAGTTTTATTTTACAAGGGCGTATGAATCTCAGTGGGGGCGTAGCCATGTATCTTTTTCATCTGGTGTTCAACTCAATTCAATGCTGCTTAAGAAGCATTGTTTTGTGTTGAGAGCACTTCAACTCCCTATCTTCCGTTTTGCATTTATGCTGTTGGGGTTCTGTCTGTCTATTGCATTCCCTATAACTAATATATCTGTTCATATTAAAATTGAAATGCAACTTCTGTAATGGTTGATTGCTTTTATAAATTGTTCTTTTCTGTTTGTTTTTTATATAATGAGCCTATATTTATTGTGCTTCATGAGATAATTGAAGTCTTAAGGTTATTATTAAGGTAAATGCTTTCCAAAGCAGATCGTACTTATTGCCCCGGTGTTAAGTTTCATGAAGTAGGCAAAAGTGAAGAATTTCGATTCTTGAAAACATTCATTCCCAATGGAATATTTTTATAAACTGATAAGTATGAGCTTGTACGGTTATGCGTTTGGTTGTTGCACGTGTAAATTAATGACATTGTTCTCTGAAGAGGAGCAATCATATTAAAATGAATGTACTCAGGATTGGAGATTCTTGCATTTTAATTAATAAATTTACAACTTAAACAATATTTATTAATTTTTACAGTAAAAATGGTTTTTCCAGTTAAAATCAGAGTTGAAATTGTGAGAAACCTATCTATAAACTTATTAGGTGTAAGACTTATTACTATAAGAAGGTAAGATAGACACATATCAAGAATAATTGTTACTCAAAAAATTTGTAATGTCTCTCATATAAAAAGTGGTCCTTCAAAAAACTGTGTCAAGATTATTTATCCCAGAAATGTTTTTAGACAGGTTAAGACCCAATATCCATATCTTCATCATCACTATCTTGTGACAACCCTCCATTGGCTATACCATTCTGCTTCACAACTTTCTCATTTCTTTCATGAAGTCTTTTCCTATTATCAACAGGTGCCTTAGCATGCTTGTTACCCTTTCCATTTGAGAACCCATTCACGGTTGCTCCACTCTGCCCCTTTTCTCTTGTCCCGTCGGGCAGAGTGCCATTCTCAAAAAAATTATTCCGTGAAGCAGTGGCATTATCAGGTTTCTGTCTATTTGTTTTGTCACTCTCATCTTGAGCGTGGTGCTGTACTGTTCTCACAACTGTAGACATACCATCAACAAACTTTGTTCGGAACAACACATTAGCATTGTTGAACATTCCATCCTTTAATGAGACCACAATGAACTGAAAAGAAAGCATAAATTTAAGAATACGCTACTACACGAACTGAGCATATTTCAAGCACAGGAGAATATTTCAAACAAATATTCTTACTTGGGAATGAGTGAAATGTTTTTTAAGCATAGTTCCTATATTCTGAGTATGAGACAGGTCTAGTGCCGCATCTACTTCATCTAAAATGTAGATAGGTGCTGGCTTAAACAAAAGCATGGCAAGAATAAGAGAAAGTGCCACAAGTGATCGCTGTCCACCACTGAGCTCATTTAAACTTTCCTTCCAGACATTGCCAAACCCAACTTTGACCTGAAACACAGATTAAGAAGATTGATTAAAATGATAAAATCACAAATAACTTAAGGAATTTTTTTTTTCACATACCTCCAATCCATCCAACACATTTTGTCCGGGTGGAGGCATTAGCTTGGCTTTGGACCCAGGTAGTAGAGTGCTGAAGATTGAACCAAAATCTTTGTTGACCTGCTGCCATGCTTCCATGAGTCGCTTTTTCTTTTTCTCATCCAGCTCAGAGATAACATTCTTAAGTTGCAGTTTATCATGTTCAACAATTCCTTTTTTGCGTAATACTTCTGCATACTGAAATGAAAATCAAAATAATGACAGAGCATGCTATATGGAAGTTCTGAATGTCTATTCTGGAAAGTCTTTTTACCTGTTCTTCCTCTTTGCTTAGCAAATTCATTGCCCTAGCATTCACATTGCGTCCCAACTTCTCTTTGGTCTCCTCTAATTTAGAAAGTCTTTTTTCAACTTCTTTGGGGTCGTTTTCGTGGAAGTCGTAGAGACCACCGCGGTTCCCGAATTGATGTTTATCTTTTTCAATCCAATCATACTTGTCAGATAGTTGCAACATCTAAGAGTAAAACAAAACAAAAAACAAATAGGTGCCTTTTAGTGCTTGATCTCAATCCCTTAGTAAGCATTCAGTTTGAGACAGAACATACCACTTGCTCACTGTTAGCAGCACTGGCTTTCAGTTTCTCTGTTTCAAGTTTCAGTCGCTTAATTTCCAACTCCCACTCTCCAAGAAATTTCTTGATTTGGTCTTGACGATTTTCAGCTGCATGAATTTCAGCACTTTGAATGGAAATTTCATGCTTCTTTGCTTTTACCTGTTTCTCCAATTCTTCAGAAGAACCCTGAAAAATTAATGATAGAATACACATTTAAAAAAAGATGAGATCAAATTACAGGCTTCACCTACAACAACAAATGCCCCTACCTTCGCTTCCTCTAAACGTAAAGTAAGCTCCTCCACTTCCTTGGTAAGGTTAGTGATGAGATCATTGATCTCTTGAATTTGTTTTTGACAAGATTCAATGCCTGCCTTAAGTTCTGCAATTTCCAAGTTTCCTGACTCATAATCTTGTTCATGTTTCTTCCAGGTAGAGCGACTTTCTTCAGCTTTCTTCTTCAATCTGTCCATTTCACTCTGGGCTGCTTTAAGTTCTTTTTCACGAATGGACTTAGCATCCTTCATTTTCACTTCAATACTCTTCACCTATAACCAAGAAACACAGATAGATAAAATGCCCATTTTCGTTAGGGTGGCACCATAGCTGTTGACAACATACCTTTTGATGTCCTTCTTTGATGGTTGTTTCACAGGTTTTAACTTTAGCAATCAATTCATCTTTTCTTTCTTTCAAAGATTTTACATCAACAGTAATCTGATGGCTGTCAGTCTGACTAAGTTGTTGTCTCAGCATATCTGCTTCCGCAGCTCTCATAGCATGCCTCTGAGTCAGAGATTTAAACCGTTCTGCCAAACCAGCTACACTTCTTGCCTTCTGCTCAACATTAGCCAACTCCTGAGTGTTCCTTTGCAAGGACTCCTGGATCCCACAACAAAAACTAAATTAGTTCATTTTTCCTTCACCTCACACAAAACACATCAGGAAATAATACACTTCTTCACCTGAGCAGATCTTAGCTCCTCAAGCACTGTCAAAATAACTTGTCTGTTACCAGAGACACCACCTGAGAGAGTTCCAGCGGGATCAAACACATCTCCATCTAAGGTGACAGAGCGCTTGAGAATCTGTTGATGATAAGTAACTTTGGATGCAGCATCACCATCAGCGCAAATAAATACTTGGCCAAAGACCCATTCCATGGCTGGGCGCAGCTCAGGTTCAAACTCAATTAAATCCAAGGCTGGGAAAACTTTACCTTCACCTCCCTGAGATACAACAAATTTACATTTTCTTATGTCGTTTTTGTGACACAACTTAGTAGAAATTAATAGTTTAATAATGGGAAAGCAAAGACCATACCACTCTCTGAGCAAGCTGAATAGTCCGCTGATCCATACTTCTGCCATTGATTCTATTTATGGGGATGATAGTGCATCTCTGCTGAAGTTGGCCTCGTTGAAGCAGCAATTTACTTGTTTCCTCATTATCGGTTATGACAAAATACAACTGTATAATGGCAAAGAAAATTTTCCTAGTGAAAGCATTTAGTTCTCATACAGTACAACAATGAGTCCCTTCCAACTGTGCTCCAGTACCTTTCCTCCAGCTGCACTTTCCAAAGCCTGAGCAAACTTGGGATCCTTCACTCTGAACATTCTGCACACCAATCCTTTAACTTTATTGCGATCAAAGTTTGGAGTGGGGTCTTTGTATTTGAAGGTGAGGTGTGGGTATCTGTAGGTAAAAAGGTACTATTACTTACATATTTACTATTTAAAAAGACTCTGACCAGAATTAATAGCTACTCAAAGAAGAACAAAATAATATTTCTTCAGTAAAACAATTACAAATAAAATATATACCTTGACTCTAAGCCGGTAGCTTTTTGCTGTGCATTCCTCATCTGTTCTCTAAGATCAGCACGTTGTTCTTCAAGTCTTTCATTCGTTCCATCTTCATACTGGATTTTAGACAACTCCGCCTACCAACACAAAAGCAAAACAAAAAGAGGGCATCAAACAGAAAAGCAATGGTGCATATAAGCAAAATACGTATATCTTTAATTTATTTTTTTTACATACAGCAATTGTTGCAACTTCTTTGTCCATCTTAGCTAGAGCTGCCACATCACTAGAGTATGTTTTAGAATTTTCATTCAAAAGCTTCTCCTTTTTAACCAATTCACTCTTTATGTGTTCTAATTCCATTTCACTTTGCTTTTTCTCCGTACTTGCAGTTGACACAGCTTGTTTAGCACCTGGATATTAGGATAAGATTGAAAAGGTGAAAGGAAACTTGTTGAGTTGACACTTTGATCCAAATTACTATGAAACTGATCAAACAAAAAGTTAAGATACATTGGTAAAAGGATAAGATAAAGAAAATTGTACATACTCATGAGCTGCTCCTGCAGAGTAGCATCAGCTCCATCATCACTGGACAGTAGGCCAGCACTCACAGCTTGGTACTTTCTCTGGGCTGCAGCAAATGCTTCAGCATCAGCAGCTTCAGCTTCTTTCAGAGAAGAAAACTTTGAGCCAGTCTTGGATCTGTCGGACTCTTTCTGGGCAAGAACTTGTTCATCCTAATCAAAGAAAAGAGAGGTCATGTAATGAATGTGCGATAAGACAAAACAGTTCTGAACTTTCTGGATGAAAATAAATGAGAGAGGGGAGTAGAGTCAACCCACAAGAGCACTTCTGAAAACACACCTCTTTGAGACTTTTTTCCAATTGTTTCCTTCTTTTCGTTTGAGTTGTTAGAGTGTCTTTATGCGATTTTATGAGGGCAATTATTTCAGCCTCTGCCTTTTCTCTCTTTTTAAGCTCTTTCTCCAAGTTACCAAGATTACTACCCTCCTCCTACAAAAACAAGCAAAATAACACAGGGTTAAAATGACAAATGAAGTACACAATTCAGAGCCCTAGTAACATACATGACACGTACTTCTCCAATTTTAGCTGTTATTCTTTCTATTTCACTGTTGAGCCTTTTTATTTCTTCTTGTCCTTCAATCATGTTTTGCTCCCTTCTTTGCCTAGTTGTGTCTGCTTCATCCAGACTTTTCTGGAGATCTTTACTGGCTTTCTGCCAGAGCACAAAATGAAACAAAAACAGTACAAATGGCAGAAAAAACTAAACAGTTAAGATTCTGGAATGGATGATCATACTGATACATACCTGAGCTGACTGGAACTTCCAGGCAATATAGATGCGAGAAAGATGGTCAACCTCCCTTTGTACTTTCTGGTATTCTAAATAATGAGAACGATCGTCCTTCAGCTTCTGAAGTCGTGGGCCAATATCTTGAGCAATTATCTGGAGAAATTTGACAGGAGATTGGAGATGGGAGATTACAGTAGCATTTCAAGAATTCAGAAAATAAAACTTCCTAATGAACATAGTAGACTGGGTCTTGAACTATACCTCATCAAGTTCATGAAGTTTAGCATCCTTCTTTTCAATGGTTTTGTAGGCAGCTTGTTTCTTTCCTTCATACATGCGTGTTCCCGCAGCTTCTTCCACCATGGATAAAATCTGAAACAAAAAAACGAATTACAGTAAAAGAAATTACATTTTGAAATGGCTTAAAAGTATTAATATTCCACATACCTCTGGAGGTTTCATGTTGAGAACTTTTGTAATTCTCCCTTGCATAATAAGAAAGTGAGGGTTGTTAACATTAAGCTGTACTGAGCAAAACATGTCCATGACTCGTTTGTTGGTCACATTGGTTCCATTGATGAGATATTTGTTTTTTCCTCCAACAATAGTCTTAGGTGAAACAAAATTAAGTTAATACACATAAAACATTAGAAGTAACCCCGACCAATAGTTGTTTTACATGACAGATGTATAAATGGATGAAAACTCACTTGTCGAGTTACTGTGATCTCCTCGTACTGCTCATATCCAAGTGGACCACAGGATTTGTCTGTATTGTCGAACTTGACAGTCACACTAGCTTTCGTGATACCAGCTTGACCACTTTTGTACACTAAGTCTTGCAAAGAACCAGCACGTACCTAACAAACACCCATCAAAGGTAATTAAAGTTATGAACAAACCACTTGCAGTAGCCCCATGTAAAGAACTATTATCATCAAAATTACATGAACGTACCTGTCCAAGGTTGGTTATACCAAGCACAAAGCAAATGGAATCTAAAATGTTGGATTTACCACTACCGTTCAAGCCTGTAATTGCGTTGAATTCACGATCAAATCCATTGACTTCAGTCCTTTGGCCATAGGACTTGAAGCCGTCCAAAATGATTGACTTGATGTGCATTTTAACGTTAACTGTATCTCCAGACACGTACGATACATCAAATCTAACTCTTCATCGCATTTGTACAGCAATTGTCACTGGATAAAACAATCAGAACCAAAATCAAACAACCAACTCGGAGTACGGCAACATTGGCGCCAAACAACAACAGGCTCCCTGCCGCTCAAACGCTTCAAAAGGTTATGAAGCACAGTGGCGCCGTAGGCGGTGGTTTCGAGAACTATCACCTTCCGTTAGTGAAATTCCCTCTTCTTGGTGAAACGTTTGCCATCATTTAACAGATGGAAACAAATAATTAAAACATTGAATTCCAACCAGTTTTTAAAAAACATTTTGAAACCTTTTCTTGAGCTAAAAAGAATAAAGTGCCCTGACTTGGTGAAACTTTTTAACAGAGAAGAAATTAAGCTTGCTACGGTTGGTACTGCCAGTCTTCAATTGTTTTCTGCCGGTAAACATTAAGTGGTTCACTTAAATGCTTTCGGGACTTGAATGTCAAAATCTGAGCTGAAAGTAATGTTTTCATTCGTTTTGGATGAAAGTTGGTTTCAGCAGTTGATATGGCATTTTCAGGAAATCAGCTAGATGCTTTCAGTAAGGGTATTTTCGGCCTGCCCGTAATTTGAGGTCTGCAGAAATTGGTCTTGTGACTCTGTGGCATGATATGTTTCAGAACAAGATGTATATCGGCGCATCCAGATCGCGGCAGCAGTCCACCTGATTAAAACTACCCCAAAAGGAAAAACTCACGAAGCTCATGCGCTAGATATCCAGCAGAAACTCAAGCTTCGGTGGTTAAATTCCGTATGTATTTCATCATTGCTTGGTCGTGACTCTCAGTGAGCTTCGGTGTGTCTTACTTCTCTGTGCCCCTATCCAGACATTATTTCAAAGCGATCATAGCTCAAATATTTGCATTAATCAGCATATTCTTAGGCAGCAGCAAGAAGCTCTGAAGTTGAGATTGACTGCCGTTGAGCCTCAGAGTAATCAGCATATTTTTGAAGGTATGAACAATTTTATGTCTCGATTATTTCTTTTATTACTTATTGTCTTGTGTCACTTTTATTTAACTGAGATGGTTCTTTAATTTGCTTTAAGATAACTCTTCACACTTACAAAAAGACGCTCTGACCCAGATAAAGCATGTCTCAAATGAAGCACTTTTGTATTGGTCAGACTTGAACACACACAGATATGAAATTCAGGCCAATGCAAATTTTATTCAGGGTGTTGTACATTTAAAAGCTTTGGCTGAAACTCAATCTACGGTCCCTATTCAACAGTATATTAGTTCTGTTTCCAAAATGGTTACCAATAACAGGAATAAAGTCATCCCTTCAGGCTCTGTTGAATGCAATACGGCCACAGAGCTGCCCTCCTCTGATGACAGTGGTTTCTACAATGTCAAGGAATATCAATCCAGTTCTGTCACTCCTCAAGGTAAAGTTTGATTTAAACTCAACAAGTTTAAGCTTGGTCAAATTTCAATTGATGAAGACATTCCTGTAATATTTTTCAGGAGAAAACTCCTCCAGTGTGGCAAGCAGTATGTTGTTGTACATCATAAGCTCCTGCAATGCTGATCAGCTGCTTGAAAAAAGCATTCAAGCAATTTTAAATCAGATGAGAAATCTTGCAAGTGGAAATGAAATTGAGTGGCCAGCTTCAAAATTGCATGAGGTCATGGACCAGTGGACTGTAAGACAAATTATGGATTCAAGTCTATTCCCTTATACTAACAGAGAAGAAATTAAAAATAGATTGACTTTCTAATAATGCCTCATCTTTCCCACCCAGGGTTCAATTCACCAGCAAGCTATGGAAGTGCTTCATGCCATCATGGGTGAGCAAACTGTGCTCTCAGATATTCTTGCATCTAGCAAAGACGTGTGTTTTACTTCAATAAGAGAAATAATTGATGATATATTCAAGAACATCTCACACAATGTGAGTATTTTTAACTACTTTTAGTGAATTAGTTTTGATTTGAATGCCTGAACCTTTTCTTTCTTTCTGCAGATTAGCTTCCAAACAAAAGAGAACCAAATGATGATGATCCTTCAATTATCTGAAGCGGCAAATCTATGGTATCCCACTCTTGAGTTAGTTTTCAGCAATCTTGCAGGCCTAACTAGCAAAATTAAAAAGGGCCAAGAGTGTTCTGACGAAACTGTGATGACCAGCTCCCGCACAAGAAGTTTAGCCCATCAAAGGCACAAGGACACTCAATTAATACATCAGAGTTTCTCTCTTTTTAGACTTCTAAAAGTGTTAATTACTAATCGACACATAAAACACAAAGAAGATCAAAGTGCAGCAGTTGAATCAAAATCTACATCAACTCAAGCAGCACATAAATCTGTTGCTGGTCTTTGGAGAAAACATTATGAAAGTCACAATGACAGTAAAGTGCCCATGTCCTCTGCTACTCACAGACTTGGCCCTACAAGGTCTACTTTAAGACATTGGAGAAACATTTTAGAAGATCTGTTTCAAGAGATTCTCTATAAACATCCACTGGTTGCTGTGATTATTTATGATTGTGTCCAAATGCTGTACTTATTGCAGTAGTAATATAATAATAATATAATTGGAGATAGATTAGTGTGTTCAAGGTGTTGATTGTTAAACAACTTTATAGATAGTAAATTATTTTTTAATCTCTAACAAAGTATAATAGACTAACAGGAAATAACAGTGTCTAGCAGCACTAAGATTTTAGCTCAAACTTTGGAGACATTCAAATGCATCGACATGAAATATGCAGCCAACATTTATAATTAGTGAAATATGAATGACAAACCATGGTGTACCACAGAGGGTAAATGTTTCAATTATATCAGAAGTGGAAATTCAAGTATGCACACATTTGCATACAAAACCTTAAAAGCTAAACAATCAAATTGAAAAAAAAAACGAACAGACCTAAATATGTACATTAAACCATCTTCAATCATTTGAAAAATTAATTGATTTAGCATCGCTATAGTTACTGAAATTCTGATTGTTGACCTGAAGAGTCCAAATTAATGCCAGCAAATGGTGGTGGCTGGGCGTCTGCAGGGAGTGGTTGCTGCGGTTGGAAGTGCTCTGCTGTCATTCTTGTCATCCAAATTCCTACACCTTCTATTAAAGCTAATAATAGGCCTCCAACAGCAGCACTTGCAGCCATCGGACCAGGTCCGCTTCGAGCAGCCAATACCCCTCCAGTCAATGCTCCACTCATTATTGAATTCCATGGATCTTCTTTCCCTCGGAGATGGGCCAAACTGCAGTCGAATGTTGAAAACATCCCACCCCAAACAGCAAAGCTTCCAGCTATGACGGGCGACCGCTGTTGAATGGCCGACAAGCTGCCGCCGAGGCGCCTTGTGAGACCACTAGGAGCATTTCGAAAGCCCCTAAAGCTCTGAAAAACACCACCTCCAATGGCACCCATGGCGAAAGCACCTCCAATGTCATCCATAATTCGCCAGGGACATGGCTCTCTTGTATATTCCTCCATTTGTGTTTAGATGGAAGGGAGCCTGAAAGGACGCAAGGAGCCATTAGAGACATCAGTGCCAGGTACAATACGACAGATCCATTGAAAAAAAAACTGGTGGGGCCATTCGAATACCATTGTCAAGAGGTAATAGACCCATAACCCGTTACAAATGGTAAATATTCATACAAAGTTAACTTGAATTTTAACGAGAAACTCAAGGTTTACAGGAGTTAAGAAACCAAAACAAGGAATGGCTATATTGTGGGGCTGAAATTTTACTGACAGACAACATAAAGCCGTCAAGAAATAAGAGGTCTGAAGTCTAAATGCAGAAAGCACGGGTAAGTATGGATCACATGAAATCGTCGTGACACAAGTATGTTCGAGCTCATTTCACCGTAAAGACATTTTATTTCGAGGATCCCACATAAAAGCAGCTTGATCAATAAGTTTGACGATGAAACTCACTAAAATCGAAGTGCAATCCTTAATTCAACCAGGAGGAGAATTGGACGGCCGACGGCCTGTGTTAGGAGGTTATGTGTGGAAGGGGGTCGAAAAGACAAAACACAACCGAAATGGAAAGCCAAGGCCAAATCCGCTATGACAAATTTGTTTCTGATGATTTTTGAAAATTGATGTTTTGCTGCAGTAGTTAGTAGTGTTGTAGTAGTGTGAAGAGTCTGATTTAAGAGAAGTCTTGGAGAAATCATGATAACATAGTAAATTTTTATGGGGAAATGAACAAAGTAAGATAAAAGAAATAACAAAAAAGGCAGTTTATTCAAAATTTGTCACCCATCAAGATTTTTTCAAAAGCTGCTTGCTGTGAACAGAACACAAAAAGAAGTTTATCTCAAAACTTTGTCAAAAATGTTATGAAGGTGTAACCATGAAGTTAACAAATAAATTTGCTATCAACCAAGAGTTTTAAAATAATAATAAAAAAAATGCAGTGCTATACAAACATAACAAATAACAGAACCATAAATATTATAGTATGGCTATTCATGGTTTTTAAACACATTCTGATAACAGGTTTGATAGGATGTAGAAATTCAAAACTTAATTAACAGACCAGATCCCGGTACATGAGCTCGTTTACAACTAAATCATCACATAGTCTTGGCTTTAAAACTGGTTGTTTTCATGGAGTCAATTAATTACAAAATTTCACACATTCTCATTTGTGTTGGCACTGGTGCTTTCTGCCAGGCCTTCAATGATGGAAAACTCTTTAGAAATGTCACTGGAGGGAAGGAGAGGCTTCAGTTTCTTGCGCACAGGCGTCTCAAATTTGTCATCTAATTCTTCTACACTTTTAGTCCGTTTCAAACTAACACTGTCAACTTTAGGTGAATTTTCAGTGTCATTATTGACTTGCTTAGATTCAGCACACACAGTTCGCTTTCCATCCTCTGTCCACTCGCCTGCAGTTTCCTCCTCAGTATAGTCATGGCGCTCTGTCTCCTCTTCTTCCCACTGATTCCACTCCTCCCCTTCTTCCCCTCCCCAACCTTCTGCATCTTCTTCTGCACACTCCTTCCATTCCTCCTTTGGTTCAGTTTCATCGCAATGATCAACCTCTTGCTCATCATCTTCATCTTCATCATCATCGTCCACTTCTTCTTCAACTTGCTCCCCTGCCTCATTAGTAACTAATCTAGTCCGCTTTCCTTTGCCTTTGCCGCTTTCCTTTTTGTACTTTCGTAGTTGTTTCTCTAATGAGGAAATAGTTTCCCCAGACTTGCGCAGCTCCTGCTGCAAGTAATACACAGTGCTCTGCATCCCCTCCACATCTTCATCCAATTCTTGCAAAAATTCATCTAATTCTGGGGGGGGGACACAAAATAATTTAAATTAGTACCAAATACAAAGATAAGGCAGACTAGATAAAAATATTTTAAGAGTGACTTTTCACCTTACCTGATTGTGATTTCTTCACTTCAAGACTGAAAGTTTTCTGAAGAGCTAATTCTCCCTCCAGTTTGGCCATACGCCCACTGGCTACAGCCTTTCCCAATTCTTCATTTTCCTGATATAGTAAGCGGCATTTTGCCATAAGCCTCTTACCAGTGTTACTGTCAGGAGTGAATTTCCACGCACTAAGCTCGTTTTGAGTTTCCTCTAATTGTGCCCGAGCAGTGACAAGTTCTGACCGCAATTTTTGCAGAAGAAGATTTACGGCAGGGTCTAAAAAGGCAGAGCGCAGACTTCCAGCTGAAGGGGTGGCTGATGTTTTAAGATCAGTAATTTGAGACATGAGCTCTTGGATTTCCTGTTCTTTAGTAGCCAAACGACGAAGTACAGCTCTCTCTCTGGCGCATGCTTCTACGTGCTGTGTCTTAGTACGATCAACATAAGCTCGGAGACTGCCTATTTCGGCTGAAAATGTAAAAACATATCCATTATGATTTTCCAAGAAGTTACAACATGCAAGTAGGAAACAAAGGGCACAAGAGAAGACACCTACCCTCTTGATTTGCAGCTTGATTGTCGAGCCATTCAGTGTAGGCATCTAGTTCTTTCCAGTTTTGAATCAAATCCGATAGAGATATTGATTCAAGCTCTGCAGCTGATAACCTGGGTCTTGGAAGTTCCCCTATGTCACTTCGAACAGAGGCAGAGGACGCTGCTGCAGAGTGTTCCGAGCCGGGCGTTGCTGGTGCGGTGGGATTGACTGGAGTTGCCGATGGAGGCAATGAAACTGGTAGAGATGGTGTCAGAGACGGGGTAGGTGATGCACATTGAGAACCCTCCTCTTCAGGCTGCCCCGTAGCACTTTGGCCGCTGTCTTCTGACATAATATCAATCACTGTACTGGGAAGGAAAATGGTAAATTATTTCAAGTTAAAATCCTCAAAAGTTTGTGACACAAGAAAATCATTCTTAAGAAAATTGTAGGGTGAGAATATGCTGCTTTTTGCGGGGGTGTTTCCAATCCTATAACCATGTAAACTGTCAATCTGCCTGTTGTAACCACAAGCAAAGCAGCTTGTCTGAGATAAGAAAGTCATACGAAGCGTTCCTTACATAGAATGGTAGACGCGATTTCATTCGGACCACGTCCCACCTCTCTAAGGACTTTCTATTTTTCGGAATCACAAATCTTCCTTGCTGTTATGTCGGTCGGCTTGCTAGAGCAAAGAGTTAAGAACATTCGAGTTATGTACAATTTCTCATAATAGGCTTGCTTCGTAGTTTGTTGTTGTTGTTTGTTTTCTTTGTTTTCTTGTCGTCCGTGCAGCGTGTTCGTTCGGCTGCGCATTTCGCTCAGTTTGATGATGATTGATGACAAGAACTAAGACACTCGTGCATTCGGTATCGCTTTTATTCATCACTGAGCCATGGCCGAACCTCAAATTGTAAAATTCCACGATTTGGAACTGGATGACAGAATTTTGAAGGTATGTCACCGACAGTTAGGAGGTTAACCTCCTATGTCATATGGGCTGCATGTTTCTAATATGGGTCTTTGTGCACTCGCTTCTATTTGATTCTCCATTTTTCTTGTTTCAGGCTATAGCTAAGGAAGGTTGGACAGAGCCCACACTAATCCAGGAACGAGCTATTCCTCTTATTTTGCAAGGCAAAGACGTGTTAGTCAAAGCCCGAACGGGTTCAGGAAAGACTGGAGCCTTTGCGATACCCATCATTCAGAAGATTTTGAACTCGAAATTGGTGAGCCACTATTTACTAGTTGAGGTTTTTTTCCTTTTTTTGATTTTTTCAACTTACTCAAATTTAATGTATTGCATTTTATGTTCTCAGATTGCCACAGAACAAGCAGTGAAAGCACTTGTCCTTGCTCCATCAAGAGAACTGTGTCAGCAAGTTGCAAGAAATTTTGAACAGCTGACTTACAAATGCTCAAGAGATGTCAGAATTTTGGACATTTCGCCCCAAGTATGTCATCCTCTATTTCCCCCAAGACTTTCTTGAAGGATTGGGGCTCAATTAAAAAGACTAAATATTTGGCTGTCCCTTTTTTGACTGGAACTATTTTTTTTCCACAGGTTGATGTAAATGTCCAGCGTCCATTACTTGTTAGTAAACCAGATGTTGTTGTTTCAACCCCTGCAAGAGCTCTCCTCCACTTAAAGTCAGGAAGTTTGGTGCTCAAAGAGTCCCTTGAAGTTCTTATTATTGATGAGGCTGACTTAGTTCTCGCTCATGGGTATGAGTCTGAGACAACAGCACTACTTGAGTAGGTCTACTTTTCAAATCCCTTTTATCTGGTCAGCCTGATATATAGCAAACATTTGACACTTATCTGGTCCCTTTTATTTAGGTTTCTGCCTTCTGTTTACCAAGCCATCCTTGCTAGTGCAACACTATCAGATGATGTTCTGCAACTGAAGAAACTTATTCTCCACAACGCTGTAACACTGAAACTAGAAGAACCATCTCTTGCACCAACATCTCAGCTCCAACATTATCATCTGTTTGCTGAAGAGAAGGATAAAGCAGCCATTCTCTATGCACTTATTAAATTACATTTACTTCGTGGCAAAACGATCATTTTTGTAAATAATGTCGATCGTTGCTTCAAGTAAGATTGTTGTATTTACACTTTTGCTCTGTTGATAATAAGTATCAATTGGAATAGATTCCAACAATATAATTCAATTGTTTCAGGCTCAAATTATTTTTGGAACAATTCAATGTCCGAACAGTGGTGCTCAACTCAGAACTACCTGCTGCCACCAGGTGTCATGCCGTCAATCAATTTAATGAGGGCATCTATGATATAATTATTGCATCTGATGAAACTGTGCTTGCCGAACCAGCGACAGCAAGCTCATCTCAAAAGTAAGTGTCATTGAAAATTCTTCTTAATTTAATTTCTGCTATTTCACTCACTGTCTTTCTCGTTCTCTAGAAAGAAAAAGAAGAAGAAGAAGGAGGAAAAGGAAGAAAAAGAAGAAGCGGAGGAGAAGGCAAGCAAAAGAAAGAGTGACAAAGAATCTGGTGTTTCCCGGGGCATTGACTTTCAATTTGTTTCCAATGTTATCAATTTTGACTTCCCTCTGGACATCAAGTCATATATCCATAGAGCTGGTCGAACTGCCCGTGGAAAAAACAAGGGCACGGCTTTGTCTTTTGTGAGCCTCCTTGAACAGCCTCGTATGCACCAAGTTGAAAACTACTTAAAAAATGAACATAGTGTAGAAGAAAATGTTATGAAAGCTTACCAATTTAAATTGGAAGAAGTAGAAGCCTTTAGGTATCGCGCCAGGGATGCATGGACAGCAGTCACCAAAATTGCAATAAGAGAAGCCCGTATAAAGGAGATCAAACAAGAATTATTTAACACCAATGAACTCAAGAGCTATTTTGAGGACAACCCACGGGACTTACAATCCTTGAGACATGATAAGGCTCTTCACACAGTCAAAGTACATCCCCATTTAGCTAATGTACCAGATTATATTGTTCCTGATGCTTTGAGGAAGCTGTCAGGAATTGGTCACAATCGGAAACGGCGCCGTTTTCACCAGAAGACACCTAGACAAGAGATGTTCCTTGTAAGTTTATTGTGCATAACTTTTCATTTATGTTTGAACAAAAAAGCTCTGAGATTTATGAGTAATGTTTTATTTTGGATCTTTTATATTAACCTTTGGTGTTTTGTTTTCAGGCTGCAAGGAGCAATCCACTGATGAGTATGGAATTTGAAGGATTTGGGAAGCGGCAAAAGAAATAGTGTTTGTTACAATAAAATTTGCTTTGAAACTTAATTTGTTGATGAATCCATGCGTATTACAAAATGGGGATGAGAAAGATTGTTTCAATAATTTGCAATTCATTTATCAAACAGTGAAAATAACCATAGTTTTATTTTACTTCTAAATAATGGTAACAAAGTTTGAAATAAACTTTGAAAGTAAACAAATAATACTGTCAGTTCTATTTGTACGACGAATTAAGAGACATAAACACAAAAGCTTCATGGCAAGAGAAATGAAAGGAAATTCACATCATGCACACACATCACAAGGCACTTAATTATGGCATTACCACTTTGAGGCACTGATAGTGCCTGTATCAGTACTAGTGTTCAGGGTGTAATCACCCCTCAATCTCTTCTGTGGAGGGCTTAGGGTAACATCACAACTGGAGTTCAGAACAACACTTTGATTTTCCAATGAATTAAAAGAGCTCATTGTAATTGTTTCCGAAAGCTCATCATTGCAGAGTGCATGTGCTTTGGCTAACATATTGCAATCGTCCTGCATAGAAAAGTGATGACTTAACACAAATACTATATGTTTAATTGAATATAGGTAATATTTAATGTACCTGAAACCATCTCTCATTCAGAATTTCACTGATTTTTATTCTTTCTTCAGGATCCTCCATCAGCATCCTGTCGATGAGAGACTTTGCATCTTTTGAAACAGGATCCCATATGGTAGAGGGCACTGTGTAGATCGCCTCCTTTATTAATTCCTGAATATTTTCGGGTTCTGAGCAGAATGGCTCTATCCCAGACAAACTTCAAAATTTGGAATTAAATTCAATTCTTATCACAAATTATAAATTAACAACCCTTTTCAATCACTCACCAAACGTATAAAATTACACCCAAGCTCCAAATGTCGACTTGTTTTGTGTACTCAAAAGACCCTCCTCCAAATACGATCTCAGGCGCAACGTACATTTTGGTCCCACAAAGAGTCTTCATCATGGTGAATGATGAAAGAACTTTAGAGAGACCAAAGTCCGTCAGTTTAACCAGTGTTTCATCGCTTGAGGTAGCCAATAAAATGTTTGCTGGCTTTAGAAAAAAGAAAAAACAGTGAAAAAATGAAATATACAAAATGATAGAAAGCCATAAAAGTCAGAAAAAAATTACCTTGAGATCCCGATGGATAATGCCCCTGCTATGCAAATACTCGACACCACATGAAATTTGGTAGAAGTACAGTTTAGCAGTATCCTCTTTCAATCTTTGACAGTCATGTATTTTATGAGATAAATCTTTGCCTTCCATGTACTCTAATATTAAAAACTGCTCCATCTTGCAGTCAAGAACATCCATTAACTTGATAACATTAGGCTGAAAAGGAGCAAATTAAAAGAATTGGCAGAGCTGATTGGTAAATAATAATAAATTAAAGCAATGCCGAAAGTAACACTCACATGATTAACAGTTTGAAGAATATCCAACTCATTTAACAATTTTTTTTTGCATGAATTGAGAACAGCTCCAGTGGAATGCATATCTTTGGTGATTGTTTTCAATGCAAATGGTCGTTTGCTGACCTGTACAATGTGCAAATGTAGGATGATCATCACAAATTAATAAAGTAACAGTGCATTATTTAATGGATTGTTGAATACCTACCTTGTTGAAGACAAGAGAAACCTCACCAAATGTGCCAGCTCCAAGGCGAAAAGAGATATGATATTTTTTTCTAACGGAATGTGGGATGGTTGTGCTCTGGGGCATAAGCGCATCCACAAACACATAAGCTGCAACAAGCACAATACAGTAAAGAAACCCTAATAGGTCTAGACATAGTAAAGCCTTGGGCAAAACGTGTGCTACCTTCATAGGCACGAGCAGGCTTTCCCACAGAAGGAAAGCCAATCACATCATTTGTAGCTAAAATCTTCTTTTTAAGTACTCCCTCCTTCTTTTTTTTCAGCATGTGCCCATTAATGTAAGTCCCATTCGAACTCGTGTCTATGAGCACCACTCTGGTGGCAGGAGCGCCCATGATATTCACTTGTTGCCGCTCTATGTAGAAGTGTTTCTTGCTACAATTCTTTAACACTCCTTCTGGGATTTGCTCCCGGCAGAGAGCAACGTCCACGTCATTTCCTTGTCCAAACGTGTACTTGTCAAGGATTAGATCTGAAAAAGAGTCGGAGTCAATTGGCATTCAAGTTGCATGCATCGTACCATACTGTTCAAATTATGGGGTACATTGACAAATAAGACAGCTCAGCAGAAGAAACCTCTTGCTTATGGCAGGAGCGACGGACAGGAATGGGAGAGGCTTAGAAGCGTTCAAGTTCAACAATGACCCAAAGACTTAACCTACCTACAGCGTCGAGTGACGCCTTGAGAGGGTAAAGGCGCCCCCAAAAATGGGGCTCACTCTCGGTCTGGGATTGTGTTTCATACCCACTTTCCGAGCACTGCTGGGTGCTTTCTTGAGTTTCTTCGGTATACGCCTCCATCACTCACAATCGGAAAGGATCTGGTCTGGTGCGGATATTGATGGTTCGCCAAAATTTTTGCCGCTTCAACCCATGCCGGTCCAGAACATGCCTCAACAGCAACAAACAAAGGGGATGGGGGTGGGGGAGTGGCGCGGGCGGCAACATTTAAAGGGACAGTGCATGGTTACCAACCTAAGATATGCTCGCAGACGCGATTGACTCAGTTTTCTAGGACGTCTGAAGTGGTTGAGAGCAAGATTGATGCCGCGAGACAGGCTGACATCAAACAACGGAAAATTCAAAGAGCTGTCTTCTATGCGAATCGAAACCACCGTGGCGTGTGTGAACGGACACCTGCTGCACCTGCTTGCCAGGTTGCCACCCCCCCCCCCTCCCCTTCTCCTCTCCCCCGCCCCTCCCCTTCTCTGCTGTTCTTTGGTCCTCGCTCCACTCCTCGTCCGCAAAATAATTTAAGACAAGTTTTGCGAAAGTTGAAGGATTTATTTGAAAGGTGCACATTGGTACAGTGTCACTGCCTCCTCTTCCCGCGACGCGCCGGCCGCGCCTTGCCGGGCGTGGCTTGCGCGCCCCCGGACTTGTGCGGGTCCAGCTGCGCCACCATGTCCTGCCGGATGCTGTCCTCCACGGCGTCGAGCTCCTGCAGGGCGAGGAGGTGCAGGCGGCCTTCGGGGGACTCCCTGGGCTCGTGCTGCAGGTGGTGCAGGCTGGCCTGCAGCAGGTCCCGAGCCCGCTGCAGGTGGTGGGCCTCGCCGTCGTGGCCGCCCAGGGCGCCGCCCAGGGCCACTGCGACGTGCATCTCGTGCAGCGCGATGCCTGTGGCAGAACGGGCAGCAGACTGATTCCCGAACTCGAGTTCGTCGCTCCGTCTCTCTCGCTTCTGTACGGCGCCCGATGAGTGCGAGAGAGACGGAGCGACGGAAAACAGACGAGTTCGTTTGGAATCCGCTCGACTTGGTTTCCAACTCGCAGCCCTGGGGGCTCTGCCTTACGGACCTTTGAGACGCGACACCCGGCCCGGCAGCAGGCGCTCCAGCACGTCGACGATCTCCTGGCAGAGCTGCTGCATGCGCTGCAGGGCGTGCGCGGCGGGCCGGCGCGCGCTCAGCACGGCGTCGCGGTACATGGCCACCAGCACCTGCTTGGCGGAGAGCTGCACGGCGTGCTGGGGCGGCAGGGTGCGCGACAGACGCAGCAGCAGCGCCTCCAGGCCGCGCGCGTCCGCCTCGTCCTCGCCGTCGTCGCCGTCCTGGCCGCGACGCGCGCTCTCCCACGCCTCGGCGCAGCGACGCGAGGCGGACAGGGCGGCGCGCGACGACACGGCGCCCCCGCAGCCCCCGCAGCGCCACGAGGACGGCGACGGCGGCCTTCGCGTCCTCGGCGAGCACGACGAGGGTAGGGCCGCCACCCCCGGCGGCAGCGGCTTCCTGGAGCGCGGCGCCGTCGGCGTCCTGGACTCTGCTCGGGGCGGGGACGCCGCGGACACCGGGGACACGAGGCCCGCTTGGCAGTGCGGGCACCACAGGGAGCTGAGGTGCGTGCCGCACTCGGTGGGGTCGGCGCAGCGCTCGCACGAGCACTCGAAGTACTTGCCCTCGCGGAGGTGCTCCTGGCGACGGACCGTCGTCTGCGGACAGCGGAAAGAGTCACTACACTGCAGACTGCCGTCGTCCGGTGTGGGACTTCCCCGCGCGAGGCTCACCTCCAGCAGCTCGCAGTAGTTGTACTTGAGGGCGGAGGCGCGCGGCATCTCGCAGGTGGCGCGCACCGTCAGCTGCAGCTGGTCGTCGACGGCCAGCTGCACGTTGGGCACGCAGCTGTGGGACATCATGGCGGCGCGCAAGAACACGGCGCGGAGCTGTTCGCCTGCAAGCGGAGCGGCACCGTGGTGGCTGGCTTAGCGGGGCGTGGGATCAATGGCAACTTGAACTTGATTGGCTGGACCAGGGGGAAGGTGTACCTGCCTGCTGGCCCGCCAAGCCCTGTGCCGGCCCGCGGACCTCGAAGCTGTTGACGTCCAGGATGGCGCAGACCCGCTGCAGGAGCTCATCCTCGGAGCCGTCCGCCGCCAGCAGTCCCGCGGCGCGCAGCACCTGCAACGCGACGCGGCAAGTGGCTCTGTCTCTCTCACACTCATGGGGCGTTCCCTTTAGGCGCGAGAGAGACAGAGCGACGCACCTCCACGACGCCCTTCTGGCGCTCCTCCCAGACGGGCCGGGAGCGCCGCTTGTCCAGGTGGGCCTCCAGGTCCAGGAAGGACTTCCAGGCGGCCGTCCCGGAGCGCACCCCGATCAGGCACCGCAGCGGCAGGACGAGCTCGGGCCGGCCGTCCAGCAGTGCGCCTGCCGCGCCGAGCACCCGGCACTCCCACTCGCTGTGTGCGGCCAGCTTCTCGCACTCGGCGTCGCAGACGGCCGCCCCGCAGCCGGTGCACCGGTAGCCACCCGGCCGTGGGCCCTGCAGGGACTGCAGGGGGCAGTGGCACCCCAGACACAGCGGCCGGGCCCCGGCGCAGGGCCCCGCCACCAGGGGCCACTCCTTGACGAGCAGCGTGCCGGTCGCCACCGCGCGGCTCGTGGAGAGGAACCTGCGGCAGGACGACGGCGATGTTACACCCGGGAGCACCGCGTCGGCGGTAACCGCGAGTGCCTCTCGGAGGGCCCCACCTGCCCAGCTGTTCGTTGCGCTGCAGCGTACACGGGAAGCAGCCCGGCCGGTGCTCGGGCCAGTGCTGCCTCTGGTGCTCCTTGCTGCAGTACGCCGCCGTGCCGCAGTTGGCGCACACCGTGGGAGCCGCGGCCCCGCACAGCGCGCACAGCGTGGCCATGGCTTTCTCGTCCACCTGCAGGTTCTCGCGGTCCCCGTCACCAGGACTCCCTGGCCGCCATCACACCGGCGCTCTTGAGGGGCTCCACCGCGAGCGTGCGACGCGTAACGCCGCCCGGCGACGTGGCGACTGCCGGGTATATTTAGACGAAAGGGCACCGAGGAGGGGTCCGCTCTCAACTGGGCCGCCTTGGGCGGAGGCGCCACTAGACTCGCAGGCAGCACTGGGCAGCCTAGGCTGTGGCTGCAGTGAAGCCACTTCAGGGAAGGAAAGGGGCGGGGCGAAGCGTCCAAAAAAGACAACATGTTCAGTGCTTCCGAAAAGATTTAATTACTTGCAATTTTTCAATAGATCTTTTTTTTTTTTCAGAACAGCCGTTGGTGGCTGACTTTGCACATTTGTCCTGTACAGGACGCAATCTGGAACACCAGGGTTTATCAGGCTGGTTTACATCTTTCTTTTAAAAGACATTCATTAGATAATTAATATCAATGTCTGACATATTAACAAAATACATGAGACTTCTTTTTCTTTTAAGTTTAAACACAACCCTCAGAGCCAAGTAAACATGAAGTCGTTGGTGAGGATCAATTCTTTCTTAAGTTTGAACTAACAAAAGCAACAGGTACTAGTCTGGAACACTAATAAGTTTAAGGGGGAGAATGTGGGGTAGGGAGTTAACTATACACATTTAAAATTCACCAATAATTTGATCTTTCAACTTTGAAAAAATACAAGAAACTCATTGCAATAAAACAATGAAATGAATAAACATTAACTGTAAGAATTGTCAAAAGAAATTGAAGAGCGGCACAATCAAACTTTATATATTAAAAAAAGAAAAATTACAGCCTTAGTTTACTCATTCATTCTAACAATAAATTAAACAACTTGAACCTAGTTACATAGAAATAAAATAAATGTACATGAAATAACCAAAGCAATTTGTGATATATCAGTACATTCATTGGGCTCGGTTTCAGGTGCATAATTGTTCCACTTATGACTTGAATACATTAACTGAGAAAGTAACAAACCAACAATGATGTTGGGAACACAGAACAAAGCTTCTTGTACACTAGAAAATTATGTTCATCTGACAAAAGGTTTTATACTACTAAACCACACAGAAGTGAAGAACGTATTATTGGGGGATAAATGAAGTTGGGAAACTAGCAAGAGACCAGCACAACAGCTCACAACTTGAGGAATTGAAAAGTTAAAACAAAAAAAAACATGCCTAAACGGAACACAATTGCAATGTGGAATAATGAGCGTCACATCACCAAGACACAAAATTTTCACCCAAAGTGATTTTTTCAAAATTGAGTGCACGTGCCAAAAGCTTGCTTCCTCTACATGGTCTCACTCACCCTGCTAGGGTGTGCCCTGATGATGGGTGCAACTAGCAAATAAATTAACCAATAACAACCCTCTTTCCCCACAAGGTGAACTCAAGTATAATCTTTGGACATTTATGGTCTGTTATTGTTGCTTGAAAAAAAAAAAGAGTGGAATACACTAAGCATACACCAGCAGGGGTTCCAAACAGCTCACAGCTGGAGACCAGAGAGGCGTGCTAAAACTCAGGACGGCAGTTCCGCACCATTTGCTTCTGAGTTTTTCATTACATCTGGCAGATCAGGTGGGGATGAGTAGGGGGTCATCTCCAACTGTTCAAAGCTGCCATCTTCTCCCCTGTAATGAGGTACAATAATGGATTTATTGGCATCAGAAGACAAATACTCTCCTGCTAGTTTTTAAATAATGAGTTATTTAACACTTACCTAACAGCAAGCCCAATTTGAGCGGGGCATTGAGCCTTGGCAGAACTAGCAGTCAAGCCATAGTCTTGTAATGCTCTGTGGTCATCCATTTCAACATTATCTTTGTTAAAAAGTTGCTGGTTTTCAGGTGAGACTTTAATAATGCCTAAAGAGAAAAAACAAAATAAAATTTACAAAAAAACATAAAAGATTGATCACCTACATTATCACAAAACCTCAAATATAAATATGAGACCTCATTACCTTCTATCATTTTCTTTAGTTCCAGTACAGTAGTGGAGTCCTTAGCATCGGTAAATATCGTTAGCTTCTTTCTTCTAATCATGAGAAAGACATCCTGTAAAAATGGAAATAACATACTATTACTCATTTGCATACAACTAGAAAGGATTGAGTTTTACTGACAACTGACCAGCCAGAGTTGTAATGCAATGCTTCAAGGTACAAAGTCTGTCAAATAACCAATATCTAGTAGGTCAACGACGTAAAATTTTATGATACGAATAAAAATTGCCTACAATCCCTGGCGTCCCAATAGTAAATTAGATAAACCTATACCGAAATGATAGGAGCACCGAAAAATAAATGGCAAGAAGAATTTCCGCAAGGACAGCAACAACGTTCGAAACACCCAAACAATGTCGAGCAACAACCCTCGCGGGACAGCAGAAAGCCTTTTCTCGATGACAAGACCGTCTGACTGCACTTGATCCGTCCACCGGGCGGAGCGCTCAGACTTGACAGCCCTTCCACCACGATCCCCGGAGAAAACACCCAGGAAATGCGAAAGTCCAAATCGATCACGGGCCAAGATTCAGCGACTTAATTTTTTTTCCAAATGGCTGATGAGTATGGAGCCGGCGGCTGCCAAACCTCGCTCCTGTCCGCGATGCTTAACCACTCACCATGTTTTCGCCGGTTCGCGACCTAGTCGGTCGGTACCCTGAGGTGGACGCCACTCCGAGGCCGAGAACGGGTTCGTTCGCTCACCGCAACAATTCCTTGAATTTCTAGTTCCAGTTTTGTAAGGGCCTGTTTTTTCGTGGCCTGTCGATCGGAGACTTGGGGTGAGGGGGTGGGTGGTTGAAAAATATGGGGTGGAGAGGGGGTTAGACGCCTTGTAGACAGAAACATGCTACATGGACGCACCAAAATTCTCTCGCGAATCCAATCTGCTAACAAATCTTCTCCAGATCAGACCACTCCGGAATAGCAATTGTTTCTATTTAAAAATAAAAACTCAAGGTTCAGAATGCTTTTTTCGTCTATCTTCAAATACCTGCGCTCAATTTGAAATCAGGATATTTTTTTGTTGTTCTGTTGGTGAGCTGACGACAGCGACGCTAGCGCTCTAGCGACAGCAGACGACCGATCCCCCACCACCCACCGCAGGTGGTTTTTTTTTCAGTGATTGATGTCCGATGTGAAAATGGCCGGCTCTGTGATTTATGGACGTTTATTGGAAGTTATGTTATTTTCCCAGCCTGGCTTAAAGATGGTGTAGCTGCCATCCTCATCGATTGGGGCGAGTGCCTAACCGTTGGAGTGGATTTCAGCTGTTACTTTGGGGTCAGTACCTGGTGTTCATAGTCATAGGATAACCACCATGATTTGTTTATAAATTTTGTAGAGGTGTCATGGAATTCCTCGGCTTTCCAACTTCCAACTTTAAGCTCTCAAAATAATCTATGATTTCTCATCCACTTGTTTCCCCTGTACACTTATCATTGGTTTGTTTACATTTGATACTGTTTTCATGTGACACTTAATGCACCTGTTATGTCCTGAATGTTTTCATACAAGCTTTCAAGTCATCATTTCGTTTATAAGCTAGTCAATTTCTATCATGTCTCAAGGCATTCCCCTTTACTAGTAAAGCCTATTACCACCGGAAACAAGTGCAAGGAATGTGGTTTTCAAATATGTACATCTAGTTTTTCACCTCTGACCAGTTACCACACACATGAAGCTGCCGATTCATAAAATTCAACCTACATTCTAAATATGTTCCCTCCATTGTTTGTACATAGGCAAGCTGGAGGACGTAGAGATGTCTCCGGTCCCATTGGAAGGCCAGCAGTTGCTGCAGCAACAGCCGCAGCAGCAACTTCAACAGCTCTTGCAGCAGACACAGCAACCGCCCCAGCTTTTACAACTTCCACCTCAGCATCTGCAACAGCAGCAACATCAACATCTACAGCAGCAACTGCAACAGCAGCAACAACATCAGCAGCAGCACCAACATCAGCAACAACAGCATCAACATCAGCAACAGTTACAACAACAACTGCAACAGCATCAGCATCAGCAGCAACATCAGCATCAGATGCCTGAACAGGACCAAGACCAATCACACCAGCAACTGCAAGTTCATTTGCCGCATGATGGGCAGCGCAGCGGCACCATCAGCCTTGCTGTGCTCATTGACCACATCGTTCAAAGGACATATCATGAACTCACTGTTCTTGCAGAAATGTAAGTCATTATAACAAATTTATGTCAGTTTATATCAGTAGTTCACATAGCATGTTCTTATTCTTTTTCTTGTTTCTTCCCGTTATTTTTTAGCCTCCCAAAAAAATCAGATATTGAAAGAAAAATAGAAATTCACAATTTTGCCGCAAGAACAAGACAGCTATTTGTACGTCTGCTGGCTTTGGTAAAATGGGCCAACTCTGCCTCCAAAGTTGACAAATCTGCTCATATCATGGCTTTCCTGGACAAGCAGTCCTTACTCTTTGTGGACACTGCTGACATGTTAGCAAGAATGGCTAGAGAAACTCTAGTTAATGCATGTTTGCCTGATTTCCAAATTCCTGCAGCTGTTGAAGTTTTGACTACTGGTACCTATGGCAGATTGCCTCAATGTATCCGGGTTAGTGTATGGCTATCAATATTAATTGTGATTGATCATCTTTTTCTAAAATCTTTGGAAAATGCTAACTGGGTTTTACTTTCAGGACCGTGTTGTCCCTCAAGAGCCAATCACTCCAATTGAAAAAGAAAATACTCTTCTGAGGCTAAATCAAGTCATTCAACACCGTCTTGTGACTGGTAATGTTTTGCCCCAAATGAGAAATGTGAAAGTAAGTAACTCTTTCTCCTTCTTACTTTGTCATTCTCAGACTTTGCAGCACCAAATATGAAATTCACTTGATTTTTTCCCCCTTCTTTTCCAGATTGAGGGTGGCAGAGCAACATTTCATGTAAAGCATGAGTTTGAAGTATCACTCACTGTGATGGGTGATGGCCCGAACATTCCTTGGAAGCTACTTAATGTTGAAATACTTGTGGACGACAAAGATTGTGGAGGTATTTTTGAATTAAATGGAAATTTGTGAAATCTGTATAGCAAAAAGGTTGTAAGGAGTCTAGAAAGTCATATTTTTCTTTATTTCTTAAACAGGTGGACAGGCACTAGTCCATCCATTACAAGTTGATTATGTTCAGGAAGTAATTCAGGCTCGCCTCACTGACTGCCCCCATCCACTTAATGAGGTTCGATTATCTTAGGATAACCTCAAGATTTGCTACATTTTTGGAAGATTTTTTGTCCTTTTCAATGTTTGGTTGGTATTTTTTTTCCAGGTCTACAACATTCTCCATTTTTTTGCCCAATCTCTACAGCTTGAGGTTCTTTATGCCCAAGCACTTCGACTGAAAAAAGACCGTCTAGGTGACCATATTAGTATTTATAGCTATGTACCAGGGGATCATTTGACCATTTCATATTGGTGCGAACTGTCTAAAAAAGATGCTGCCAAGTCTGAGATGGGTTACAAGTTTTCAACCCAAGTCAACCAGAATGAAAGTGCCAAACCATTAGCTGTTCTTCATCTTCCCCACTTGGGCTGTGTTGAGGTATGTGACACTCTTAATTCTTTTTTATTTACTTTTTCCGGTATTTTTGGCTCCTTTTGATTAGTGTGTCTTTCTCTCCTCAGACTGAAATAGCCGAAAAATCTATTCATACTGGTGTGTTATCCTTGGAAAGATTACTTGTTCACACCATTCACATTAGAACCAAAACTTGCTTGACTGACTTGAAAGCAGAACTGCAGACCCTTCTGCCTGGTGTAGAGTGCACTGTGAGTGGTGTGCCAGCAATGTTAAGTGTTCCTCTCCTGCATCCGTGCCAAAGGGCGGAGCAAATGCTTATCACGGTCAGTGATTTTCTGAAAAATTAAAATACCATCATTTTTCATGAAATGTGGTTTGATTCCAAATTTATTCCTTGCAGATTGAGACATACACTGGCATCATACAGTGCTGTGTCCCTCAATATGATGCACCTATGATAGGGGGTATTCAAGTTGCTCTGAACGGGGACAAATCCAAATTGCCAACTCTGCTATCAGAGCTGCGGTTTTGGGTTATGAAGAGGCGCTGTGAAAAGACCCTAATGCAGTTACCAGTCACTGTAAAAGATTATCTGCCGCTGCTTTCCTTGCAGGAAAGCCCTCTTGCTTCTAGGTAAAGCACACATACTTTGTTTGCATTTATTACTAATCCCATTGACTTTCTGATTTTTTAATTGTAACAATGATTAATCCACTTTACAGATTAGGACGACATCACATGTTAGTGCAGCTCAACCATCATTCATCATCCATCCTCATTATTGATTTGCATGAGAACAAGGGCTCCACAAGAGGAATTGGGATTGATTGCAACTTTTATTTGGCATCTGTGAAGCCGGTCTCTGTGCAAGAAGATGAAGAAACCGTCCCCGAAAGTGGAATGCCTAAGCCTTACCTGAAGGTATGATACGCCAGAATGACTTAATTGTGAAAATTACAGCCTCCAAAAATTGGAACAAAATAACAATTTCCTTTATTTTTTCCTGCTCTAACTTTAGGTTATTGCATTGATGGAACTGAATACATTCGTTGCGACTCATGGTCCGTGTACAAGTGTGGATGAATCTCCATGGCCTGGCAAGCGGAAACTGTGTCCTTCAGGAGATTATGAGGCACACTTAAAATCAAAACACCCTGCATATTTCATTCCTGAGTTAGCTCATATTGTATCAATGTGTGAAGACAGGATCCCATTCATTAGTTTAACTCAAGAACTGTCTAGACGATTGATCGCTCACCAGGGAATTCAAGTGTGTACTCTTTGAAATGATTGGCACATTATTAAAATCCATTGAGCTCATTAAAATTTACTTAAATTTATATTTTCAGGTGGAATCTGAAGCTAGTGGTTTAGTGCTAAGACTTTTAACCTTCCCCACTCCTGAACATATTTCAAGTTCAGACCCCTACTATGTGGCTCTTATGCAAAGATTATTATCAATTTCAATTAGATCTTCATCACAAGGGGAGGGAAGAAGATGGATTCTGGAACTTGTATGTAAAATTTATGTAACTTGAAATGTATTCTAAAATATTTTTTAGTTTACCTATAATTGTTTATCAATGTTTTTTAGGTGTTTTCTGGCTCTCCTGTTCCATCTCTCCTTCCAAAGGAACAAGGGAGTCGCCGTCCTGTGTACCTTTACTATGATATGCTAAGTGACGACAACTCTGCTAAGACAATAAATGCAATGCTAGCAGATTGGGCGTCAATTGCCCACTTGTACATGGTATTTATGAACATTACGATAAGGTTTCATCTTGAAGTAGTCTTCAAAGAAAGGATTGCTTGAAATTTATTATTTATTTGCAGTTGGCTGAAGAGCTTTCAGAAGGTTTTAAAAGTAGCAAATACAATTTCTCTGACATTTGCTCCGTAAAGTCCTTCAACTACTTAAAGTTGCACCTTGGTTATGGTCCAAGCAAAGCAGCATCTGTTACCATCAGGTGGAGTATTGAAAAAAAAGCCTTCTACCTACTGTTTGGTGAGTGCACCTTTATCAAGCTTTCTTTTAATTTATTCTGCTTTAGTACTATGGTTGACATTTCCTCTTTCCCTGCAGGTCCGTCAGGTAAAGCAGCATGTGTACATGCCCCGGTTCGTTCACACTTAGAAGTCTTCCTCAATAAAAATTCTAGTTGTATCCTCCTGATTCAAGTGCTTCATGAAACTTATGAAGCTCTTGCTTCTATTTCCAAACTTTCTACCACACCCCACTTTGGAGTGATCAGCACGGTAAGTGAATATGTCTTTTAAATGTGTCCGGAGATTTGGATTTCGCCACTCTAACCCTGTCACGAATCTTGTTTCCAGAGGCCAACAATTCCAATTCAAACTTGGAATATCATTGCTCTGAGTCCTACCACACTTCGTCTTATATATGAGGGAACTTTTGGTATTGAAGTCAAAATTAAAGGAAATGGCTATGTTTCACTCAAAGACGGTGTTTTTTCTTTATTTGGTAGTATGTCTGTTCCTGATCTGATCAGAGCTCACAATTTGGAAGTAAGTAAGCCCCATTGAGCTCATCAAAAATTATTTAGTGTATCATTTTGATGAATGTGATGTAAGACAGAAATACTTTCCTCCTGATGCAGGTATTCCTCGCCAAGTACTCAGCTGAAAATTCTTCCTCCATAAGTTTGTTTCATGCTGATGATGACAGCCAGCCCTCTCCAGCTACTTTTGATCCAGAGACTGGCAACATTGGGCTAGGAAGAGGACCCAACTCTCCTGCTAATCAGAAAGATGGCCTTAACTTCCATGCTCCTATGACTCCACCACAAGGAAGCAACCCACATACACCAGCCAGCCCTCATATGTCCAGCTTGCAGGTAGTTGCATACACATAGTAAATAAGTTTAGGTTCTTCTGTCTTCAGGAGGGCACCAATTTCCTACGCTTCTTTCACTATTTTCAGAACAACCAACACCAACAAAACTTTGGTTCTTCACCCGCAACCTCATTCAATCTTGCATCGCCACCGTCCATTTCTGGAGTTGGCCAATCTGCCTCGCCTGGAGTTGGTCTCATGTCCAGCAATTCTCCAAATCCGTTGTCGCTGCCCAGCCCCAGTCCTCTTCATATCCCAAGTGCCTCACCCCAACCCTCAATGATTGGGCACTCCCCGGCAGGTGCCGGCTCTTTCATGGGTGGTAAGAAATTCAACATTTTTAATTATTTTTTTAAACATCTATTTACAATGCAAACCCCATGTGGGATCAATTAATTGGTAGTTATGTTTTTGTTGTTGTTGTTGTGAATGACTTGAATGGCCTTGGCTTACAGGCCACCTCGACGGGCACGGCAGCCCGTTTCCGAACATGGCTTCGCCCGGCGCGGCGAACTGGCCCGGCTCCCCTGCCATGCCTCGGCCGTCCCCCGCGCGCCCGGGCCAGAGCCCCACCCCGAGGCCCGGCCAGAGCGGCCAGAGCCCCGGCCCGGAGCAGCAGCAGGCCCGGGCCCTGGCGAGGCTGGGGCCGGGAGGGCTGGGGCCGGGCACGGGGAGAATGTGGGCGGCCAGGCCCACGCTGCTCACGTGCAAGTCCTTGGAGATGCTGTGCCGGCCCGCCACCGCGCCGCCCCCGGGCCCCAACATGCCCCAGTCGCAGGCACAGCCCGGCATCCTGGACCTGTGCCCCCTCGAGCGCTTCCTTGGCTGCGTTTTCATGAGTCGCCAGATGCACCGCTTCATCCAGGCAGAAGAAATGGTAGGGAGGTTCTTCCAATCGGTCTGGCTCTACGTACATTGCTAGTTTGTCCACTTATCTATGGCTTTCATTCTTGCAGCTCACTGATCTAAGAACCGAGGACCCTGCTTTTAAAACGGAATGTCTGCAATGTCGTCTAATTCAAAATCCGTACCATTTCCAAACGCTTCATCTGAAAGTGGCAGCTCTTCCTGAGTATAAAGAGCAGCTCTCAATGGATGAAATACAAGTAAGATATACCTACCTCCTTTCCTCTTTCAAATTTCTTGTTTAAGGTAGTATAGATATTTTTCTATACTATAATATATTGTGTTTGTACTTTTGCAGATAATTGAAAAATTTTTTGAAATGAGAGTAGCTTGTCCTCCTTTTAAGCCCAACAATCTTCTTGGGCTTGCTCGGATCCTCTGCACTCCTCTCTTTGTGTTGAGAGACTTTATTCAGATCATGAAATTTGATTTGGTAAAAGCATACTTTTATGAGCTTAATTAACAAGAATATTTGTCAGGTCAAACCTTCAGTTCATGCCTATTCTCTTAAATTTCCAGATGCCAAATTTAGCCCAACAAGCCAACTTCAAGTGGACTGTGCAACTTTGCTTAAGAGTACCACCTTCATCAGCAGCTCCAATAGTCCCTACTGGGCAGGCTGGTGTTTTATTATTCCGCAACAAAATCCTATGTTTTGTAAGGCCACTTATTTACTTTGATTGGTTTATGAAGTGATGTAGCACTGCCACTAAGCTGGTTCTTGCCTTTGATTCTAGATACAACTTACCAGAATATGTGTGGGTCCTGGAGAGCGTGCTTCCATTGTTCTCCCTCTGGTTTATGATGTTGCGCATCGCAACACTCAAGTTGCCGAGAAACGAGAGCCAGGCCCAGCACTTGCTGTGACAGCTGCAAATATACAACTGAAACGGTTTGCAGAGTATGCTGCCACTTCTCATATTGGACAGGAGTCTATGCTGTTGTTAGCTGTCCGAGATCTTCTGATGAACCTAAACCTTCCATCTGATATGGCACAGGTGATTACTAACACAGCAAAAATCATAATTAAAATCACTAAATTCTCTGGCCCTATTAGATACTGATTGTTGTGTGCTTTGTTTCAGGTTGGTCTCGGAAACAATGGTTGCCATTCCCCAGCAGGCATGATGCACTCTCCTTTGGGGATGCCCATGGGCGGTATGGGTCCTATGGGCCCCATGGGACATGGCATGGGCCACAACATGAACATGGGTCCGGGTCCCCATGGGGGTATGGGAATGCACGTCGGCCACGGTCCTATGGGAGGGATGGGGATGGGACCTATGGGGCCTATGATGGGTGGTCACAGCCCTGGCATGGGCATGGGACATGGAGGAGGGATGGGAATGGGTCATGGAATGCCACACATGGGACCCATGTCCATGATGGGACCTATCGGGCCCATGGGAAATCAAATGGGCAGCAACATGCCCATGTGTGGTCCAATGTCCGGTCCCATGGGAAGCCCTATGCCCCACTCAGGACCAATGGGTAGCCCCATGCCTGGGCCCATGGGCAGCCCTATGGGTGGGCCCATGGGCCCCATGAGTGGTCCAGGTCCCATGAGTGGACCGGGCCCAGGACCAGGGCCGGGGCCCGGACCCATGAGCGGACCAGGCCCCATGGGGAGCCACATGACCGTTCCTATGGGCCCAGCAAGTCATGTAGGACAGCACCCAATGATGGGGCCCTAGAAATTCCAATAGGAAATGTATTATCTGTAAAGGTTACCAATTGTCAGCTCTATTGACAAATATCGATACCAAAGTGATCTAAAGAATAAATTGTTTCCTTATGTAGCTGAAGTACAAAGTTGAACCCATTTTGATAATTTTATTTCATGGACTCTTTTGTTAATGTATTTCATTAATTTTATTATTTGTAATTATATTTTCTGAATTTAAAAATGTTATTTATTGCTTGTTATAAATTGTTTTTAAGTAGATCTGTGCTTTGTTTGAACTTGTTCTATATACTTTAAGTATTCTGATGCCTTGCAAAATGTACTATAAAATTTTATCACTGTCTTTACTTTTAGAACTTTGTTCCGAATTGTGGCTGTATCTAGCTTGCATATTATATAAACATATGGATATAGTTTTTATAAATAAATGGTACATGGTCACATTTTATACTGGGAGTGATGTAGTAAATAGGATTCGTAAACTCGTAAACATGTGAATAATCTCATTTTAATATTTAACAACTTTTCTGCAACCAAAATGGATACATTTCTGCACAGGTTATGAAATAATTATAATGGCTGTTATGGTTTGTGTTACAATAATAAACCAACATATAAAATGATTCAGGTGCTTTTTTTCCCCCCTCACTCTTCACACATTTAAAAAAGGAGATCAAATTAAATGTCAGTTGAATCATGAATTATTTTTACATCTCTATTTATTTAGCTTAAGCATAGTAGTTAAGGTTAGCCTTCTTCTTGGCCTGCACTTCCATAATAGCATCCATGAAGTCCTCATGGGTGACAGTATTTGCACTCCTCCTCAGAGCAATCATACCCTGAAAAAGACAAGAGAAATTAAAACCTTATTCAATCCCCATACACATTGCGAAATAGTTAAGACTTCTCACCGCTTCCACACAGACAGCTTTGCATTGGGCACCATTAAAGTCATCGGTAGTTCTTGACAGTTCTTCAAAATTGACATCAGGAGAAACATTCATCTTCCTGGAGTGAATTTGCATAATCCTAGCTCTAGCTTCCTCATTAGGGTGTGGGAATTCAATTTTACGGTCCAAACGTCCAGATCGCAACAAAGCAGGATCTAAAATGTCCACTCTGTTTGTTGCTGCTATAACCTAATGAACCAAAAACAATTTAATAAATTAAGAGAAAGGCACATTAATAGTTAACAATTTGAAACATAGGAATTCCTCTTAATACATACCTTAATGTCAGCAGTGGAACTGAAACCATCCAACTGATTGAGGAGTTCTAACATAGTTCTTTGCACTTCTCGGTCTCCAGCCTTCTCAGAATCAAAACGCTTTGTTCCTATAGCATCTAACTCGTCAATAAAAACAATTGCTGGTGACTTTTCTTTGGCCAAAGCGAAAGCATCTCGAACAAGTTTGGCTCCATCACCGATAAACATCTGTACCAGTTGAGGCCCAGCCAATTTCAGGAAAGTTGATTTTGTTTGAGCCGCACATGCTCGAGCTAAAAGTGTTTTGCCTGAAAATGGGTATGAAAATTAGATGAAGGCCACCAACAGATAAGCAGTGTGTTCAAACAAGCAGATGTTTACCTGTTCCTGGTGGACCATACAATAAGACTCCTTTGGGTGGATGAATTCCCAGGTTCACAAACTTTTCTTTGTGTGTCATTGGTAAAACAACAGCCTCAATTAGCTGCCAAAAGAACATAAACAAATTATGACCCTCAAAATATTTCTATAATTTCAACCCTAAAAAATTAATTTGAACAGACCTCTTGAATCTGCTTGTCGAGACCACCGATATCAGAGTACTGCTCAGTTGGTCTTTCATCTACCTCCATCGCCTTTACTCTGGCGTCATATTCAGCAGGGAGAGTTTCAAGAATCAAGTAGGAGTCTTTATTCACACCAACTAAGTCACCAGGTTTCAACTTTTCAGCATCAACAAGGCCTATCACAGGCAAGAAGTATGTCTACAAACACAAGATATACATACATTTAGCAAAGAAAATTGAAAAGGTTGAGACGTCAGTAGTTACAATTAGCTAACCTGTCTCGTAGATGTCTTAATTACGGCGCATTTTCCCTTCCGCTGGGAGTCTAGGTCAACAACAGCACCCTCTTCCTCAGTTTCTTCAGGATCAACATCTAGAAGCTGAAAAATATAATAGAAACTATAATTTTTGCTGGAACTTGTCCTTCTAAAACAATGAAATAAAATAACAAACCTCAATAACATTGGAGACCAAATAGGGCAAGGTCTTATTAACTTTGATCTTCTCGGTGTTCTCTTTGATTTTGTCCGTCTGAGCCTGAAGCTCATGTGAGATACGCATCACTTCACTTTTCATGATTTTGACTTCATTATCGAGAAGTCGGGCTCTAGATACGATTTCATCCGTAGACATACGCAGGACCTCCTCGGCAAGGGCGTCCTGCAAACCAGAAAGAAAATGACAGTGAGACAATGACAGGAACAAGGAGACCATGGTTTATAATATGGAGCTATGAGTCAAAAATGCAAGAAAAAACCCTAAAAACAGCGTAAAATTTTATTACAATGCAAATTATGGTTTAGGGGCATAAAAAATAGCTTCCGCAACGAAAAGAGAGTGTGAAATAATAAATGTCAAGTCATAACATCAATAGGTTATGTTTCCATACATTCAACATTCGACGGGATTATGAAGGAAGCAGCAAACTTGCACTCACCTCTTCGTCCTCCCACATCTTCTCGTCTTCAAGAGCAGCATTTTCGGCCGCCATGCTGACGTTTAAATCTAGCTTTTCTCACTAAACTTGCAATATCTGCGTCAATGAGTGCGGCGTCTGCCAGCGTCTGCTCTCTTTCTCTTCCCCAACCCCTATGTTGTAGGACGTTGCCAACTACCCACGATGAACTACTGGCGTACTTCTCCAAAACCGTCTCTACTGTGTGCTAGGAATGGCTACTGAGTCGTAAATCATTCTAGAAACAAGTTAGTCAGTCTATTTCTGAAGTAGTTATCGAGCCTCGAGCTCTCGCACTTAACAATGAGTAAAATACTTTTTGAAATCCGTTTGGCTGGCAGTCCGACTGGCGCGAAGAAATCATTTGTCTTTTCTAATTTAATGTTGTTGCTTTTTGCCGGCCAGATTTTACCATTCTCAATGAGTATTCAACTCTTTTTCTACTGAAAACTGTCTTTATTTTTTGTAATTTTGTTGTAGGATAACCGTAAGTATCACCAAAGGTGTTCGTAATGTGTATTGGACCGCGAAGCATGTAAAGCCTTAGCACTGTGGCTTCATAACCTACAAATAGTTTCTTTTTAATGTCTTTGTTGACAACTTTTTGGCATGTCACATGTTATTCTTTGCTTAATCCCTACTAGTGTTTTAAGTGACATCTCTCAGTTCTACTTAGAACTCGTTTTTTTTTGTTCGTTGTTTGGGCCAAGACCATGATGATGGTTCCATGCTTCACTAGCCCTCATCCTTTCACCACATTGATAGTACAGCGCTTTGTCACAGCCAGTTCTTTATGACAGCTCAGATATTCAGTTGCCTGAAGGATTTATTTGCTTCTAGCCTTTTATTTTGTTTTGTATGTAGCTTTCATTGAGTCACCGCTATTCTTCATTTTCTGTTTCTATTGCCATTTTTTATTGCAGACATTCCCATCATGAGGTGCACAATCCCAGAAATATCATGGCACAACAGAGACCCTGTACTTAGCATAGATATCCAGAAACAACATTCAGATGAACCTTTTTACCGACTAGCAACTGGTGGTACTGATTCCCATGTCCTGGTATGACTGATTGCGATCCTGTCCATTATTATGGCGTTCTTTGGAAGAATTCAGTGGAATCCCTCTGCATTAAAAATAATATTGTTTGTCGTAACAGATCTGGCATATTACTTCGAACGATGAGGGTGTTACCACTGTTGATTTTGCGTCAGACCTAGTAAGACATCAAAAAGCTGTGAATGCTGTTCGGTTCTCTCCATGTGGTACCTTCCTTGCCTCTGGTGATGATGGTAAGCTAAGGCACAAGTCTTACATTAAACACCATCATGCTAGTTTTTACATCCATAATTATAATGTGATTTTTTTTTATTTTTTTTTTAAACAACTTTTTATAGAATCAGCCATTATAATATGGAAGAAGCGTCTGGACTCGGATGCCCCAGAACTTACTGGTCCAGGGGAAACAGAGGTTGTGAACAAGGAATCATGGGTTGTGCTGAAGATTCTTCGTGGACATCTTGAGGATGTCTATGATCTTTGTTGGAGCCCAGACTCCACATCGCTCATCTCAGGATCTGTTGACAACACAGCTATTATTTGGGATGTTCAAAAAGGTAACCATGATTGCACCACCCAAGTTAAAAACTTGAGGCATACAATTTTGTTAATTTCTTCTGACTAACTTTTACTGTATTATTCTCTAGGTTCCAGATCAATTCTCGAAGATCACAAGGGTTTTGTTCAAGGAGTAGCGTGGGACCCAAAGAATGACCTATTGGCCACTCTAAGCAGTGATAGGTAACTATATTACCTCTTTGATTTCATGCTTTTTTATCGTTTCCGTTCTATTTGTAACTTTTGTTTTTATTTCAGAAAAATGAGAGTTTTTCAAACATCCTCAAAGAAGTTATTGGCCAGAGTTGGCAAAGCGCCCTTACCTGTCCCAAAAGATCATGAGTTAAATGGAAAGAAGATAAATTTATTTCATGATGACACCATTCAAACATTTTTCCGGCGTCTGACCTTTTCTCCTGATGGAGAGTTACTGATTGTGCCATCAGGGGTAATTGAACCACAAGAAGCTGGCAAAAAACAAAGTAGTACAACTCTTGTATTTTCCAGAAGACTTTTAAGCAGGTGAAAATTAACAAAAGAAAATTGAGAATTTTTCAAAAGTATCATTTGGTGTATTTTGACCTTTTATTTTCTTATTCCAATTAAAGGCCGGTGTGTTACTTACCCTCTCTGGATCAATATTCAGTTTGTGTGAGATGTTGCCCTGTTTTGTTTGAACTGCGCAACATTGATCCTTCAACTAAGCCAGAATCAATGTTTTTACTACCTTATCGTGTCATATTTGCTGTTGCCACCGCTAGTGCGGTGGTGTTATACGACACACAGCAACCCATGCCTTTTGGGTATGTCTCTAATCTCCACTACACCAGGCTCACTGATCTTTCGTGGTATGTATATCTTTTGCCAGGTGATCTTCTATCCTCTTTGGTATTTTACTTTTTCAAGATGACAATTCCTTAATTTAATTTTGTTACTTACAGGTCACCGAAGGGTGATTTGCTCATGGTGTCTTCAACTGATGGTTATTGCTCCATCATAACATTTTCTCCTGGTGAATTAGGTGTTCCCTATGAGCCCCGAGAAGAGACATCCACACAAACTACACAAACTGCCAATACTAATGCAACTTCCAATACCACTGCAAGTGCCACTCCAAAGGCCACTGTGGCTGCAACTGCCCCGGCAACGGCACCTGTCTCTGAATCAGCTTCTGAGACAGCTATTGAAACAGTTTCTTCCAACAGTATGGAGTGTGAGGATGTCAACGGCTTAATATCAAGACAGTCAGATCTTGTTGCTAGCATAGATTTGACCAAGGATGAAGACGACTTTGAGGGTATTAAGAAGTTGGATGATGACAATTCAAATGATAAGAAGCCTGATGAAGAAAAGGAAATTCCCATTCAAAAGGATTCAAGTGAGTCTGTAACAAAGCAGGAGGAGAAAAGGAATTCATCACCTTCCAAGGAAATCTCCCAAAATGACGAATCTAGAAGTAACCAATGCAGTTCCCCTGATGCAAAATCAGATACAAACCCTGCAAAGAATTGTGGGGGGACACCTTCAGCCAATGCACCTAGAATTGAGGAAGTAATCACACCGGGTAATTCGGGGAAAAAGGCCAGGCGAGTTCAGCTGATAACCCTTTCAAGTCCTAAAAGTAGAAAGAAGTTGCTTTAGGGACATCATCTATTTTTTTTATAAATCATGGTGTTTGGCAATTTATTTTTTCTGCTTGTCTCTTTACCTAGTTCATTCTGATTTGTAACCATTTTTTCTGCCTCCTGTTTTATTTTATTCCTATCTTATTTTATTTTGAGAACCTACATAACTCCCATGTAATGGAGGTGACTAGTAACCTTGGTATATTTTCTATCAATATATTTGTAATTATTATTATTAAATAAGTGGCTTCTTACAGATTTCTTTCTCATAATTTTAATGCTCCTCAGGGATACAATGCTTGTTTATGTGGGTGCCTGTGCATTGATGGGAACAGTTTTTTTTTTTTTTCTTCTTACTTGAGATTGAATTAGCAAAATAATTAGATGTCCATTCTCATTCCTCAAAAGTAAGCAAATGAAATAACAAATCTAATTTGACATATTTCTTTAATTTTGGTCTTCCAGTTACAGAATATACACATTGCAAAGCAATATATGGGCTCTACCATTATATAGTACAGTATACAACAACAAAAGTGAAGACAATGCTTGTGTGGTTAAGTATGGAATCCCAAATTTGCGCGTGCAATGTAGAAGCAAACTGTACATTCTTGACTCAAGGAATTAATATCCCACTGAACATCCTTCTATCTGGATGAAAATGCTAGATGAAGTAAAAGGTGCTGAAGACACGAGTTGTGATGAAGAGGTCTCTCCGAGGGCATTATTAGGAGGTTCCAGCAGCTTCAGGGTTTCACTTCGTAGTGTCGTCCGTCGAGGATGTCTTCCGTCTCTTCATTTCCTTGTTGGTCTTGTTGCTTGGTCCCTTTGGCCGCGTGGGTCGCTCCGTCTCTCTCGCACTCACGGGGCGTCCCATTGTGGTGCGAGAGAGACGGCGACGAAACGTCGTCCGGTGCGCCGAGCGCGCCTCGGCGGCCTCGGCCTCAGCGAGCCGACGCCAGCAAGGCCAGCAGCCCCATGCACAGCGCGAGCGCGGACCGCGTCGGGGAGTGCGTCAAGGGACCCGCCGGCCCGGAGTTGCAGCCGTCCGCGTCGTCGCAGCTCTGGACACATCCTCGTATGTACCTGCGGACCAAAGACCGAGGGCCGAGGACCAATCAAAACGCGCAGCGCGCAGCCATGGCGTAGCGCAGCGCGGCCCGGCCAAGTCAAACAGTCAAACGGGGCGCGCGGCGCAAAGCACGCAAAGCCAAACAAAGCCCGGGGGAGGGGAAGTTGGATGGCCTTTTCCGCTCCGTTTATTTCGAGAAAAGAGGACAACCCCAACAAAAAATAAAACATCGAAACATAGAGGTGGCCAAATGACGCACGGTAAATTCAAATGAAAAGAGGGGTGTGTGTGTATATGTATATATAGTATTTATATATATACGGTCCGCAAAGTTGCGCCCCGCGTGGTTTCTGTAGGAACTATTCCATTCCCCCGGGCGCTGCTGCGCTGCACTAGCTATTAGCCATCCTAGAAATGGCAGCACCGCTTCGGCGGCTGAATCGGATGAATCAGGGATGAGACGCCGGCCGGCGGGTTCCGCGGCGGCGAGCGGCAAGCCCAGTGGCCCAGCAGACTGATTCCGAGAGTCGTTTCCGTCGCTCTGTCTCTCTCGCACCTACAGGGGATGCTCTATATGAGTGCGCGAGAGACAGAGCGACGGAAGCGACTCCCGGAATCAGTCTATGCAGTGGCCCAGAAGACGAGGCAGGCACACCGGCAGACCAGGCGAGCCAGGTGCGCGTTAATGACTCATTTTAATTGCCAGGGCTCTCGGGTCGCAGCAGCCTGGCTGGCTGGCTGCCTGGCTGCCTGCAGGGCGCAGGGTAGGGTTACAAGGCGGGCCTGGAGGCCGGCTCGCGGGAAACGCGACCCCCTCGCCCATCACTCGGCTGGCTTCCGGGGCCGGGCGGCCTACAGTGGACTGTCTGTCTCTCTCGCACCTATAGGGGACGCCCCGTGCGCGCGAGAGAGAGACAGAGCGACGGAAACGACTCTCGGCATCGGTGCGCAGGGCGTGCCGGAACGCCATTCGCAGATCAGATCGCCCTGGCAGCACTTGCAGCGCCACCGTAAACCTGGCGGCGCTTGCAGTGCACTGTGCAGCGTGCAGTGCAGTGGCAATGCAGTGCCGCAGTGTGGCGCACTGACGCGCCTCGTCAACCTCCACACGCCCAGCCCATCCCCTGCATGCACATCCCCAACACGCTCACCCACTTCACTGTTAAAAATTTAAAAAATCGCGGAAATTCAATGTGTTTATTTTCATTGAGTTTCCGGCAAGCAGATACAGTTGTATGTAGTGCTCCAAATTTAAGAGTGGGTCGGCTTACCGGTTCTCGAAGTAGAAGCTGCCGCAGTGCGACATGCGGATGATCTCGGTGTCCGTGGTGAGCGTGCCGCTGTCCAGCGCGCACGCGCGGATCGTGATGCTCTCGTCCGTGTCGGCTGGGGACAAAAGGTACGTCGCTCTGTCTCTCTCGCACGCACGCGGCGAACGCGGCGCCGCCACGAGTGCGAGAGAGACGGAGCGACCAGTGGGCCACGCGGTCCCGGGACTCCGGAATCCCGAATCAAATCAGTGCCGTCCGCCGTCGTCCTGGCGACCGTGCCGGCCTGTCTCTCTCGCACCCTTCGAGTGGCCCGGCCGCCAGACAGCGCGACGGCATGCCTGCCATTCGTGAATCCAACAGCGTGGTGGCCTGAGCGCCCGAGCGCGTCGGCTGGGCAGCGCGCCGTGCGCGCGTGCGTCGCGGGCTGGCCCACCCGAAGCTCGACAGGCGCCCGGGCACCAGGCTCTTGACTTGCCAGTCCTTGCAGTAGTCCTTGAAGTCCTCGCAGCAGATTGACTCCGAGAGTCGTTTTCGTCGCTCTGCCTCCCTCGCACTCCCGGGGCGTCCCGTGCAGGTGCGAGAGAGACAGAGCGACGAGGCACTCACTGTATCTGCCGTCCATCTTGATGCAGGCGGTGGCGGGGAAGACGCCGTCGCGGCCCTTGCGGCCCCCCATGCACGGCGACTCGAGCAGCTTCAGGGAGTTGTTGTTGTGGAAGGGGTCCTCGCACGCCGGGTTGTCGCCATTCACCGACACGCACTTGAAGCAGTCGATGGAGGACGTGCCTGCGAATCATTCATGCGTCATACGTTGTGTTTCTCGGCGTGGTTCGTTTGCGTTGGAGGTTAGGTTAGGTAGGGGCTCGGCGCGTGGGGCACTCCAGACCTAGGTAAGGCTGCCACATGGCAGAGAAGTCTCGGCTCGGCTCGGCTCGGCTCGGCTCGGGGACACAAAGGGGAGAGGGTGCGCGCCGGGGACGCAGGGAAGGGCAGGACCCAAGGCGGCTCGGCGGGGCAAGTGTCTGAATACCAGATTGTCGGCCGCCAAATGAGTTTGCATTATGCAGGCCGACCGCCCCGCCCCGCCCCGCCCCGCCCCGCCCCTGTTCGGTAGTGCGGACCCGCCGGTCACCGGAAGTTGATCGACCACCGTCCCGCGACGTCCCGGCCGCGACCCCCTCGGGAGGGAAAGGGGGTAGTTCGGACATCAAGCCGTCTTGCCTCGCGATATGACCGCACTCGGCTGCCCTGCACACTCATTTCGTTTTTCTTCGCTCTGTCTCTGTCACACTCGCGCGGGGGGCTTGCCGTGCGGGTGTGCGAGAGAGACAGGGAACGACTCCCAGTCTGCTGACTGGAAAGACGCCAAGCTGGAGCGCCGGCCATCAGTCACCGCGCGAGGCACACATGTGTCATTGCAGGCACTGCCAGGCAGGCAGACAGACAGTCAGACTGACAGACAGTGGCAAGCACACTGCAGCACAACCTTTCGCTTTTTTTCGGTTTTTGTTTTAGTTATTTTGTCGCGGTCGGTTTCACAGCCTCGCGCATAATGTCAAAGGGGTTTGCTGTCCTTCATCAAGAATAAAAAAAAAAGTCGGAACGGAAAAAGAAAACAGTCCGGGCGGGTCTGCGGATTCATCAAGCGGAAACCGCAACGAGGAGACAAACAAAAAAACAAAAAGAAAAACGAATAGAGATGAGGAGGACGCGACTTTTGGCAGTGCAGCGCGCGTATTCGTACACACGCACCCCTCCGCCCACATAAAGGCCACGGCCTGGCATGGCCACGATGGTGTCGGGCTTTTTAATGAAACACGCTGTCCGCTTTTGTCCCGGGCCCCATCTTGAGAGGCCGGGGGCGGCCGGGGGCGGCCGGGGGCGGGACAGGCGGCCCGGTGAGCCTGCCGAGCCCGCCGAGCCCGCCGAGCCCGCCAGCCGGCCTGGAGACTGATTCCGAGCGGGCGGTCTCTCTCTCTCTCTCTCTCTCTCTCTCTCTCTCTCTCTCTCTCTCTCTCTCTCTCTCTCTCTCTCTCTCTCTCTCTCGCACCCATGGGGCGTCCACTGTGAGTGCGAGAGAGAGAGAGAGAGAGGCCGACGGCGACCCCCCGTGCTCGGAATGAACCTGATGGTGAAGCGCGCGGCGCGCTGCCTGCAGACTGATTCCGAGGGTCGTTTTCGTCGCTCTGTCTCTCTCGCACTCATGGGGCGTCCCGTGTGGGTGCGAGAGAGACAGCGCGAAGGCTTGCTCCCCCTCCCCCTCCCCGGTAGTTTGCTAATTAGAAGCCACGTGCCCGCGCGGCGTGGGAAGTTGGACCGCGAGTATGATTTAGGGACAGCTGCGGGGAGGGACGGCGAAACAAGCAACAAGCCACCCTGCAGACTGATTCCGAGAGTCATCGCTCTGTCTCTCTCGCACCCACACGGGACACCCCATGAGTGCGAGAGAGACAGAGCGACGGCCTGCGCGCAGCGATTAGATTGGAGATTGAAATGAATGGCCGTTTGCCGGGCAAAGCGAAGGTAAACGGCCCGCCGTTTCGGAGTCATCATTCTGGGCGCGATTTTCATTCTTCATTTTTCATTTTTCCCTCCGTCTCGTTTTTCATGGGAGCAAGTTTGCTGACGAGTCGCGGCCGCAACTTTGTTTGAGATTCCTCCGCGGCGCAGCAGGCCGAATCCGGGAGTCGGTTTTCTGTCTCTCTCGCACCCATACAGGGCGCCCCATGAGAGTGACAGAGACAGAGCGACGAAAACGACTCTCAGTCCACTCCACTGCGCGAGAGGGAACAGGAGAACGTCCCGGCGTTTCGGCCGCGGCTGCTGCCTCATTGTCTCATTACCGGCATCACGGTGTCGCTCTGTCTCTCTCGCACTCATGGGGCGTTCCGTAAGGGTGCGAGAGAGACAGAGCGACTCTTGGAATCAGTCTGCTGCTGCCTGCCCGCTGCCCCATCTCCGAAGGCCAGACGTATTCCTTTGAAGGTGTGAGGGTCCGCGGCGCGTAGCGTGGTCCGCGTCGGCGTGGCTTGGCGTGGCCGGGGCCGCGCTGCGCTGCGAAAGCAGCAATAAAAATGAAAAATTCGTCATGTTCGGGGATGGGAGGGCAACACCTCAACAGAGGGGGTGGGGGTGGTCTTCAGTATGCCGGGGAGTCATCTCCATCAGCTCCGCCCCCCCGCCCCCCCCCCCTCCCGCCGCGCTGCTCGGTCGGTCGTATTGCTCCTCCCCTCCCCGCCTCCGCATTTCGGTTCGGTTCGAACGCGCCACGAGTGGGACACTGTTCTGTTTCGCCCAAGTTGCCATCGCGCGGTCAGGGAATCACACGTCCCACTGAGCACGCCGTTCCACTTGTCAGAGAGAGAGAGAGAGAGGTGGGCGTTGGGTGGGTGTTGGGGGCTGCACTCGGTGCGTGGGCGTGCGCGTTCGTTGGCGTGTAGCATCCCCGCTTCCTCCGCATGTGACGCACATGTGAAGAGAACAGTTTGCTCGCGGCTGCGAGGGTCTTTAGCGGTTTGTCGCTACCTTCAACACCCCTCTGGCCCTCTCCACCCGACGCCACTTCCCCTCCGCCCCCTCCGGGGCCCTTTGGCGCTTTTGCTTCCAGCGCTACACGGCGAGGCGGGGGGAGGGAGAGGCGGATGTAGAGTGCAGCAGTCGGAGGGGGGGGGGCAAATTGCTACTGTCACAACGAACAATGCACGCGACGGCTCGACGGCCGGGCTGAGCAGGCAGAGCACAGGGCTGCCTCTGGCCTCTCCACTTCACGAAGTGCACGCGCCTAAGCGTTCGCCTCCGGACGACGGGGAGCTAGCTAGGTGCCGGAAGGGTGCTGGGGGCTCTCTTTTAGGGTTGCCCTCATAGGGTTGCCCCTATAGGGTTGCCCACCACGGCAGACGCGTTCCCTTCCTGTTTGACCCCCCACCGGCCCAAAACTGACCAAAACTATCCGACTAATCTGCCGATAGTTCGGCCCCCATCACGGCGCTTTCTACCGACTTGACGGCGGGATAACCGATATAACGTTGAATCCCCCCCCCCTCTGGGTGGACCTGAAATAAGGGGGAGAGAGGTGGGAAAGGGAAACCTTCGTCACCTCACCGTCCATTTTTAACGCGTCGATCCAGGCACTCTAAGAGGCGATGAAAGGTGAAGGGAGAGGGGGGGGGGTTTCCACGGCTTGACGGTAGTTGACGAACGGCCCCGCAGACGAGAGAAAAGTTTGGCCGCCTGAAATTTTAACGCGCTGTACCGCTAGTTGTTCCCCGCGGTGCGCCGAGCCGAGCCGAGGGCAAAGTGCGAGGCGCGGGGGCCGCTGAGCACGGAGCAATTAAAGTGAACCGATTGACAAAGTTTGGAGGGGAGTTGCATGCCAAAGTGCAGGCCGACGAGCGCTCCGCCGCGACGCCGAGCGAAACTGCACCGGCCGGGCGGGATTATGGGAGTGATCCCGGGTGTTCATTTCGAACGTTCAAAACTCAAAATGTTAGCTTTGTTCAGCAAATTTTTTTTAAAGAATTAAGCTATCAATTTTTGGGAACAGTTAGATACAATAGCACTATGCGCCTGGACGAAAACGAAAACGCGAAAACGAAAACGCGAAAACGAAAACGTGAAAACGAAAACGAGCGCATGAATGAATGTAATGAATGCACTAATGAAGGCGGGAATGGAGGCCTCGGCCGTTTCCTGAAAAAAAAATCGTCATTATTTTTGCGCGGCGTGCCCAGACACGGAGGCTCCACATCCCCCCTCTCTCTCACTCCCTCGTGCCTCGCCGGCCTCGCCAATTCGTCGCGTCGGACGGGGTTTGACAGGGACAGGGGCCCGGCTGGTCCTGCCGGGGCTTTTAGCGCCACACTTAAAATTTCGGATGGTATTATTTGTTTATCCACAGGGGTCCCGAGCACGAGGGGGAGACCCCGCCTTTTTTTGCGCTGCCGTACAGTGTTATCAGTGTGCTTTCGCCGCTTTTGCCCGCCGCGGAGCTCGCGATCCCGAAAAGAAACCAAAACGCTCGCGAATAGCGCAGCCCTTATCAAAATGCACCAAATTTAGCGACAAGTCCCTCCGGCCGAAAAGAAAAAGTTGTTTGGTTTGCCGTTCATGACGATTTGATGTGCGGGGAGAAACACACACCATTAAAAATAGACGGGCACGCTTGTGCGGCTTTTGCGGCTTTTGCGTGCGTCGTTTGCTTACCCATGGAGAAGAGGAAAAGCTGCCCCAGCACGCCGGCCACCACGACGGACCACGGCAGGGTCCACGGCGACAACCCCATCGCACGCGCACCTGGGGACACACACAGACACATGTAGCGAAAACGCGTTCCGGGCGGACATTAGCACCGCCATCACCGTCGTCTGCCCCTTCCCTTTTACTACCAATATCTTCGCGTAAGTACGTATCGTCTTGCAGCAGTCGTTCTGCTTCAAACCCTTCCCCCCTCCCTCTTCCGGTTAATTTTTTAAGCGGGCTGGGACGGGACGTCGCGGAAGTTCCTTTCCTTGCGCCAACGCACGCAGTGTGTGTGTGTGTGTGGATGTCTATGTATAAGTGCGCTCACCGGGGGAGGGGGAGGGGGGGGGGAGTGTGCGTCCGCGCCCTGCTCACCCGCCAGTGTGTTGCGCGCGCGTGCGTGTGTGTGAGTGCAGAGATGTCGCGTGGGTTGCCTACCTGCTGCCCCCTCCCCCTCCCTTCGAAACGCATGCTGTTGCGTCGTAAAGCGTGGCCGTGCCGGGGCTGGTGCTCTGGGGACACCGATAGGACGGAACGCGAGGTCGCTCCCGGTTTCCTTGCTGCCTGCCAGCTCGGCCGGCGCGGCCGCCAAAAAGTGCCGGCGTAAAAATTCAATGCCTCCGCGGTTTGGAGCGAGCACACCAGCAGACTGCATCTTTGAAATTGAATGACGCCATTTCAGCGGTTCTCAACCTTTCTCGGCTCGCGACCCCAAATTTGAAGCCAAAAATTTCCGCGACCCCCAGGAAAAATTTCACGACCCCACGGGACCCCTCCTTTAACATGCCACGGCGTCTGATCCGAGGCGGGCATTTTGCTCCCTCAACGGGCAACTGGTCTTTGGACCTTCCTTTAGCATGCCTTTGTTACGGAGTGCAATTATCAGTCTTAGTTTGGGAGCAGTATTGTCTCAAAGTTGGCCGAAACGCTCAGAAATGTCTATGAAAAATCGTGTTTTGGGATGATTTTAAGCAGCCACAGCGTCTGATCCGAGGCGGGCATTTTGCTCCCTCAACGGGCAGTTGGTCTTTGGACCTTCCTTTAGCATGCCTCTGTTACGGAGTGCGATTATCAGTCTTAGTTTGGGAGCAGTATTGTCTCAAAGTTGGCCGAAACGGTCAGCAGTGTCTTTGAAAAATCGTGTTTTGGGCCGATTTTAAGCAGCCACTGCGTCTGATCCGAGGCGGGCATTTTGCTCCCTCAACGGGCAGTTGGTCTTTGGACCTTCCTTTAGCATGCCTTTGTTACGGAGTGCAATTATCAGTCTTAGTTTGAGAGCAGTATTGTCTCTAAGTTGGCCGAAACGCTCAGAAATGTCTATGAAAAATCGTGTTTTGGGCCGATTTTAAGCAGCCACTGCGTCTGATCCGAGGCGGGCAATTTGCTCCCTCAACGGGCAATTGGTCTTTGGACCTTCCTTTAGCATGCCTTTGTTACGGAGTGCGATTATCAGTCTTAGTTTGGGAGCAGTATTGTCTCAAAGTTGACCAAAATAGTCACAACGATTTTTCAAAGACACTTGCGACCGTTTTGATCGACTTTGAGACAATACTGCTCCCAAACTAAGACTGACAATCGCACTCCGTAACAAAGGCATGCTAAAGGAAGGTCCAAAGACCAATTGCCCGTTGAGGGAGCAAAATGCCCGCCTCGGATCAGACGCAGTGGCTGCTTAAAATCGGCCCAAAACACGATTTTTCATAGACATTTCTGAGCGTTTCGGCCAACTTTGAGACAATACTGCTCCCAAACTAAGACTGATAATTGCACTCCGTAACAAAGGCATGCTAAAGGAAGGTCCAAAGACCGATTTCCCGTTGAGGGAGCAAAATGCCCGCCTCGGATCAGACGCAGTGGCTGCTTAAAATCGGCCCAAAACACGATTTTTCATAGACATTTCTGAGCGTTTCGGCCAACTTTGAGACAATACTGCTCCCAAACTAAGACTGATAATTGCACTCCGTAACAAAGGCATGCTAAAGGAAGGTCCAAAGACCGATTGCCCGTTGAGGGAGCAAAATGCCCGCCTCGGATCAGACGCAGTGGCTGCTTAAAATCGGCCTAAAACACGACCCCAGCATCGCCGCGACCCCTTAAAAAAATTTCGCGACCCCGCTTGGGGTCGCGATCCTAAGGTTGAGAACCACTGCGCCATTTTCAAGCTTTCTGCTGCCTCTGACTCGGCCCCTTGGGAAACTAACCTACTCTAGTGTGTCAGCTTTCTAGTGTAGCCTTGCGTGGCCTTCTGTAGTAGTGGCTCGTAGTTGCTATGGCGCTGCTTCCGAACGCCTTCCTCATTGGCTTGCGGGCCCAGCAGACGATTCCGAGAGTCCCTGTCTCTCTCGCACTCACCGGGCGTCCCGTGTGGGTGCGAGAGAGACAGGGCGACGAAAACGACTCTCGGAATCAGCCTCGCTGGGCCCGACCAATGGCGCCGGGTCCCTCTCCAGGCGAGCGCTAAAAATAATTCAATACGCAGAGAGCGAGCCGAGCCTCTCGCAGGGGGCTGCCTTCTGCCGCCTTCTGCCTGCGGGGCGAGAAGAACACCGTTGCTCCCTTTGCCGCTCCGCTGCCAGGGTGGGAGCGCTCTCTCTCTCTCTCTCTCTCTCTCTCTCTCTCTCTCTCTCTCTCTCTCTCTCTCTCTCTCTCTCTCTCTCTCTCTCTCTCTCTCTCTCGGGAGGAAAGTAGTGTAGCGGTAGGCATCAGAAGAAGACGCCAGGTAGAGGCGGCCGTGCAGCGCGGAATCGAGTTTCGCGCCCGGAAAGTTTCTTGTGTTCCAGGTTGTGTTGCTGTTGTTGGCTTTGGTTCATGTTGTTGTTGTTGCTGCTGCTGCCGCGGCGGACGGCCCCAGTGTGTCAGTCAGCAGAGTCCGACGCGCCAGAATCTCTCGTCCACCACTTTTACGCTCTTATCGTTTGAACTTCTTTTTGAAAAATCTTTTTTTCGGCAAGGTCCTCTAGACGTCGCACCGAGGTAGCTAATGACTACGGCAGCACCCCGGTAGGCACCAGGAGGGGGGGAGGGGGTGTCCGGTAAGGGGGACAAATCAATTAACCGCGTAATCAGTGTCGCCCATCCGAGTGGAAGTAACCAAGTCTGCCGAGAGACAAATTGAAATTTGGGCGCGCGGCCAGCGGTACAAGGAGGGGGGAGGGGGGATGATGCCGAGGCTGAAGCCAAGGCTGGTGAAACAAAGGCATCAAAAATCGTGCCTTTACAGTGTGTTAAAGATCTACCGCCCACTGCGTGAATTGGTAAAGGCCTCCTAGGCAAAATTTTGATGCTCTTTAAGAGGCATTTACCTTTTTACCCCCTTGAAGAGCGTAAAAAGACTGTTGTGCCCTAACGGGCGTAGATTTTACGCCTTTGTTTTACCAGGCTGAAGCTAGGCTGGAGCAGACTGAAGGGCGTGGCGCCAGTCCACTGCTGCAACGGACCGACTCAGGGCTGATTGACTGCCTGCTTATCCTTTGCGAACGAACGGCTAACGACTCCGTTGCTGGACGGACACTGTCGCTCTGAAAAGAAGGTCTGCGTGTGTGACGACTACACTGTGAGGAGCAGGATCAACAGGTTATCTGCGCAACGTAGGCGTATAGTGCCTCCCCCACCACATACACGCAATTTCCCTCTCTCTCTCTCTCTCTCTCTCTCTCTCTCTCTCTCTCTCTCTCTCTCTCTCTCTCTCTCTCTCTCTCTCTCTCTCTCTCTCTCTCTCTCTCTCTGTTAACGTGCGGGGCGTTTCACTCAAGACGTGTTGCCGTTGCCTTTCGTCGCCTCCGAGACAAACCAGCCCGGCCTGTGTTCCCGCCGTGAGACAGGCCAACCCGCAACACTGCGGCGGGCGGCTAGAGTGCACAGTGGGCCAGAAGACCGGTGGAGTGGAGGCGGCCAAAATTCTAGACGCGTTTCGAGTTTGTTGAGCAAGCACAGAGCACCTTTCGGGCTTTCTAGGGTCGAGAATAAATCCTGTTGCTCCCTTTCAATACCGTCCACAACGGACTGTTGGCTCCGCCGTTTGCTTAGACACTAGCAAAACTAGTGGCGTTGTGTGAACAGCTTAACCGCCTGACGTTATCATGATGCGACTATCGGGGGATTGTTGCGTCGGGAGATATGAAGTGCCTTCTTTCCGCATCGCCACTCACTAACCCTCGGCTCTCCTACCACCACCCTTTCCTCTGATACGCGTACCTCTCACCACCACCACACCCTTCACCAGCGCTGCCACCACCACCACTACCTCCGCCACTGCCGCACTGGTCGCTTGTCACGCAAAGTAGTCCAAACCCCGCTCCGCGGTCGTGGTGTAAGGCGTGGCGTGGCGGGGCGTGGCGGGGCGTGGCGTGGCGGGGCGGGGCGGGGCGGGGTGGGGCGGGTTGGGGCGGTCCGCTCGGCGTATCACGCAAGTATATCGACCTCCGGGTCGAAAGGCAGGGAGTAAAAGCCAGGTGGCGGCAAGCCTAGGCCAAGCCTAGGCCATGCCTAGGCCGGCCCGACCGGCGCGGCGAGGGCTGTGCGCACAGTGTGCGGGCTGGGCTGCAAGTCCCAACCCAGACCCGCTCTTCTGGCCCACTGTGGAGGGGTGCTCCAGCTTCGGCTGCCGCTTCGGCTCCAGCCTCAATATCCTCATTACATCCGGCCCGTCTGTTTGAAGGCTGTGCCCGGCGCTGCCCGGCGCTGCCACAAAGTGGGCCAGCCGACTTCAACTCGCGGCCGAATTAAAAAGTTTCCTCCCGTTTCCGGCTTCCGGCCATCCTTCCGGATAGCCGTGCCTGCGCGCGTCGCGGCGTCGCGGCGAGGGGGCGTCTTGTCGGCCAGCCTGGCCGTCCCACAGTGGGCCGGAAGACCGGTGGAGGCGGCCAAGGCTCGAGACGCGTTTTGAGCTCCAGAGTCGCCGAACAGGACTGGAACCGGACGTGTGACCCCACCAATGGATTGCTCGTTCGGCGAGCCTCGGCAGAGAGGACTTCACCCAGGGCCCCAAGCCCCCCCCCCCCCCCCCCCCCCCCCCCGAGCCTGCCACGCACCTGCACTGGTTGTTAGGTTAAGTTAGGGTAGTTTTTCGAGTTATCTCTCCCGATCGCGCACAAAGCTTGCCGTTCACTTGCCGATGATAAACGGGGGAAAGGGATTGAGTGCCTCGCTGGGTTCGCGCTGGCTTCATCTGTGCGAACGAAATCCCTCCGTAACGACTCCCATTTTGAGCCTGTTACGGACTCATTCCGACCGACTGGGAGCACTATGGCTATTCGCTGCTCATACCGCGCAGTGCCGCGCAGTGCCGAGAGAGAGAGAGACGAAGCCTCCAGCCTCGCATTGCGTGCCAATGCGGCAGTTTCGCTGAGACTCGCGCTTCGGCAAGGCACGCCCCATAGCAAAGAGAAAATGGGCGTCAAAAATCTTTCGCAACCGCCTAAAAAGAACAACAACAAAAACGCATTAGCCGAAAACTTTCGCCGATTACTCAAGACCGTAAATCCGGAGTGAAGCATCGCACTTCAGGGAAACAAAATACGTGGAAACGCCGCAACAAAAATTCGGAAACGCACACAAGAAACTTTGCGAACGGGAGTGTGTAGACCAAACTTAAACCTGCTCCCCTACACCTTGGCCGCAGGCGCGGCCCCGCCCCGCCGCGCCCCGCCACGGCATCTGTCTTCATTCCGCCGCTCCGTCACAACACTGCCGAGTCTACCCGCCGCGCCTGTGGACTGATTCCGACCAGAAGTGTTCCCTTCGTCGCTCTGCCTCTCTCGCACCCCACTGGGACGCACCGTGAGTGGGAGAGAGACAGAGCGACAGGCTCCGCTTCCCCTCGACATCGGCTCGGCCCGTTGCCGTTCGGGCCGTGCGCCTCGCTGCTCCAGTGGCTTCATTCACGGCCGTGCTTTACGGTAAAGACACCGAGTCGCCTCCCTGTCGCGCTCGCGGGGCGCTGGGCCTTCCGTAGGGGTGCCACGAAACGACTCTTCGACGCCGCTCGGCTCGCCGCTCGGCTCGCCGCTCGGCCCGGCAGGTTGCCTGACAGCACCGCGCCTCTCTCGTTCTGCCGGGGCCACCCCACTGATCCACCCGCTGGCGCTGTCGTCTGATTCCCAGAGTCGTTTCCGTCGCTCTGTCGTTCTCTCTCGCACGCTCGCGGGACGCCCCGTGAGTGCGGGAGAGACGGAAACGACTCTCAGTGTGCTGGGCGGAGGACGGGCTCGACGTGTGGAAGCGCGACCTTCTGCCTTTCGCCTTTTGTTGGGCCGGTCCATGTAACGCGCTTCCAGTGCCGTGCCTCCCGAGTGCGCCTTTCTGCCAGACTCTGTCAGACCCTCCGTCAATCTTTCCACCCTGTCTGTCTGCCTGTCTGTCTGTCTGTCTGTCCGTCCGTCAGTCCTTCTGCATCCGTCAGTCTTCCATCCGTCCGTTCCGTGCCTGAAGGCCCCGAAGGCCCCGAAGGCCCTGAAGGGTGCAGCGCGGTGCCGGGGGCGGCAGCTGCTTAGGCAACCCCTCCGCACGGCACCCTGCCTACCTGTCGGCTTGCCAACTTCCCCGTCACCCTGTCGGGCGGTAGTGTCTCATTTACACGGCCCGTGACTCTCACGCCTCCCGGAGTGCGCACACTCCACCGGCACGGCGCGGCGCGGCGCGGGCTTGCATCCCATCATTAGTGCCCCCGGGAGATCCCTGGCTGAGGGGGTCGGAAAGGGGGGGGGGGGAGGACGTCGGTGTAGTTTGTTTGGCAGGTCTGTTGACTCGCGATTTCGTTGGTTTACATCTTTCTTTCTGTCTTCCTCGCCTCTTCCCCTGTGCCGATGCAGCGGCACGGCGGCCGATGGCACGAGGAAGCAAAGCCTTTGGTTAGGGGCCCGTCCTCCTCCGAGTGGGGTCGGGATGAGAGGGCTGCGGAGGAAACAAACATTCCCGAAACGACGATGAAACGAAACTAAAATCCGAGGGGGAAATCACTCTTAAAAACTGTGACCCGACTACTCCCTATTACGTTCTATTACGCTATTACAGAAGGCTTATTACGCTCAAAAATATCCAGATTTAGGCTAAAAGCGGACCCTAAATAGGGGAAATTTTAAGAAATTTGGCTATTACGCTATTACTATTACGCGTAATACTAGGAATCGGTGACCCGACTATTACGCGAGTGATTTCCCCCTCGCTAAAATCGCTAAAAACTGGCCGGAGCCGAAATTGGCACGCCACTGAAAGTAACGAAACAAGACGGGCAAAACACGTAAAGTGTCCTGATGCTGAGCGACATTTTGCTTGTATTCCCCTCGGGGGGGTCTCTGCTCCCAAGGACGGACGCGACAGACCCCCGCTGCGAAATGGATTCCAGGACGATCCCTCGTAAAACCGCGCCTATTCATTTGAACAGCGGTCCCGCTGTGTCGCCGAGGCGCGCCGAAGCAACCCAAATCGCTGGGCCGTCCCTTTGAAACAACTAGGGCGCCCCCAGCGGACTGATCCCCCCCCCCCTCACCGCACTCATGGGACAGACGAACCCCTTTGAAAAGCGAAGGTTTGCCGGCCGGCCGGCCGAGGGCCGCGTCGCGACCGCGTCCATCCGAGGACCTCCCTGCCTGCAGTCGCTGTCTCTCTCGCACTCGTGGGGAGGGGGGGGGGGCAAAGCGCAAATAGCGCGGGGCTATAACGACTTCGGCCAGCCTCAGTTTTGCAGTGGCGTGCCCGGCGTGCCCCCACGCTGACACAAATTCATGCGAAAAGTTCGTGTGCACGAAAAACTGTGATGCGTCTCGTACAAAATTGTGCATCACATTCAGTGTGCAGTTGTGCAACAAAGACAGCTGGGAGCCCAGCACCTCCTTTTCCTTTTCTGGACGAGAGTGTCCTTCTCATTCTCGCTCGTGTTTTCCTTTCCCGCCCCTCGCCATCGTCCTGCCGCCTTCCCTGTGCAGCCACTCTGGTAATGAGCACCGCTATGCTGCCCCGATTCGCCCCCCCCCCTCCCCCTCCCCCTCTGCACTCACACGAAGCCCTCCGCTGCACTGGTCCACTCCACAAGTTCGGCACATTTCCAGCGCGTTTCCCGCCGCGCTTTATGCATCACGAAATGGCAATGGCCGACGGGTCGAATCCGACGGGCACTTCAAGTGCAGCCGGCAGTCATCAGCGCGAGCGCCATTTACCACCGGCCAATTATTTTAAAAAAAATGATAAAGCGATATAAAAGACAAACAAAAAAAAAGTGGATTCCATACCTCTCAGGCCTATACAGAGCGCCGGGAGGGTAGGCAGCCCCGGATGCAAACGTGTTCGACGGAGAGAGAGAGAGAGGGAGAGAGAGAGCGTGTCTTTCGTCGTGTTACATACAGTGTGTTCGCATCATCATACGTCACGTGGAACTGGAGCCGCGATCCATTAGCTCCACCGCGACGCGCGCCCAGCCGCCTCAGCTCTGCGTCCGCTCTGTCTCTCTCGCACGCATGCACGCATTCGATACTTTTAATCGAACCACCACGACGGAGTTTATATTTTACCGCGAGTCTGGGCCTTTCCGCTCTAGGACCGGTGGGTGATGTTTCTCGCCCACCGAGCCCGCAGCCGCAGCCCGCACGTTTGCACTGCAGCGAATTAAGCTGTCGTCGGCAGGCCGGGGGCAGGTCGTGCCGCACCAAGATTGGTTGGCCACCCTAAAATAGCATTTTCGGCAGCGATTTTTCTCCTCTTTTGAGAGGACGTTTGCGAGATGTGTCCTTCTGGTGAAGTGCGAGTCCCCCTGCCCGCCGCGGTGTCCTCCCAGCAGACCGATTCCGAACAACAGAGCCGCTCTGTCTCTCTCGCACGCGCTCGCTCGCCAGCGGGAGAGTTTGAGTGTGTGGAGAGTGGCGGGGCGACGCGACCCGGCCCAATCACCGGGGGTGTACACTGTACACCGAGGCCGCCGCTTCGCTGCCGCTGTCTCTCCCTTCCTTCCTCGTTTGTCGGATTGTCGGTCGCCGAGTCCCGCCTTTTTTTTTTTTTGCGGTTGTCGTCTTTTCTTCACGGCGGCGCGCCCTTCGCGCCTTTTCACCCCGGCTGACCGGAAATTGGGGAGGGGGGGGAGTCAGTGCAAAGTCCGCACTGCGCCTTTGTGGCCACGACGCGCCCACCTTTATTGTTGGAAATTGGCGAAATGGGCGGCACGGCCACGACAAAAGGGCTGCAGACTCAATCCGAGAGTCCACTTCGTCGCTCTGTCTCTCTCGCACTCATGGAGCGACCCGCATAGGTGCGAGAGAGACAGAGCGACGAAGTCGACTCGCGGCGCTCCTACACGAATATGCCGTGCCGGATCTTCGCCGGCCGGCCAGTCGGAGACACACCGGTGGCGGGCCGCGGCCGCACCGACCCGCTGTGGTTAGAAAGACATGGCTGTCTGTCTCTTTCGCACTCAAGGAACGTAGCTTGGAGGTGCGGGGCAGAAAGAACCACTAATTCGTGGTTGCGAGCAGAGACTGCAGGTTCGGCCGTAGTTTGGCCGCTGTACAACGTAACCCGCACCACCTTGCGTGTTAAAGACAACGTCGACCCTCATCGCTGAGCCGGACGCACCACACAGGTGGAAACTCGGCCGTGTCCGAGCACTCGATTCGTATCCGTCCGGGGATCGACCGCGTATCGACGACCTGCCGCGGTGCGTTGCAGTGTGCCAGAGTGGCGGCGTGGCGGCGCTCACCTGTGAGGGTGGCCTGGCCGGCCTGCGCGCCTCGGAGACCGTCGGCTTGTTCAACTCATCGGCGACCGCCAGTGCCGAGCGCGGCGCGGCCTTCGCCGGGCCGGCACTGCATGACGTGCTGGCGGTGCTGGCGCATTCACCCTCCTGGGGCAGGCGGCAGGGGTGGGGGTGACGTCGGCGACGACGCCTGCACTGGGGTCGCTACAGTGGAGGAGCACGACGAGCACGCGAGCCGAGCTGCGCCCCGCGGCCGAGCCGAGTCAAGCCGAGCCGAGCCGAGCCGTCGACGTGGTCCCGTCAAGCACGTGCGCTGCACTGCTTGCTTACTCAACCTGCTCCTGCCTCGCCTCGCCGGCCTCGCCACCGGCGGCGTGGCGCGCCAAGCGCCGAGCGTGGGGGTGGAGGGGGTGGTCGCGGCGCCGCAGCCCTGCCTTGCCCTGCCTTGCCTTGGTCACCGCGCGATGGCCCGATGGCCGAGGCAGCCAAAGGCAGGCCGGAGGGCGGCCGCCGCACAGTGGGCCAGAAGACCGGTGGAGGCGGCCAAAACTCTAGACGCGTTTTGAGCTCCAGAGTCGCTAAATGGGACTCGAACCGAGCGTGTGACCCCACCAATGGATTGCTCTCTCGCATTCATGGGGCGTCCCGTACAGGTGCGAGAGAAACACAGCGACGAAAACGACTCTCGGAATCAGTCTGCAGAACCACAGAGCCTGAGCCCCACAGCCCCGCATGGGGCATGGATGGATGGAACGGCCCATCACGATCGCCCAATCCGCATATGGCTCGGGCCGTGAAGAGAAGCCGGGCTGGCGAGCTGCTGGCGAGGCGAGGGCCCCACTGGGGCGGGGCGGTTCGCGGCGGGGTGGTTTGGGGCGGGGCGGGGCGGGGCGGGGCGGGGCGGGGCGGGGCGGGGCGGGGCGGGGCGGGGCAGCCGTGTGCGAGTCAACAACACACCAGGAAGGGAGGCAGCCAGCCAGTCAGACCCGACAGGCGGGCATTCATTCAATCATGTTTTCCATCTTCATACACCTTCAGTCCTTCTCCTACACGGCCAGAAATCTCTGCGGGGAGGCCACTGGCCTGGCGGTCGCAACGCACTCTCGGACCAGCGTATCAACTTTTCTTTTCGTGTTTGTTCGGGGGCTTATTCAACTCGGGGGTTCCCGGCGTCGGTGTGTTTTGCATTTTCTTTATTTCGTGAACTCTGTTCAGTAATGGGCACTGGGCAAGAGGTACAACTTCATGAGTTCGTGAGGCCATATGGAAGAATGACATGTTTCGCTGCCATTTCTTGCTCACTTTTTGCCGTGATGTAAAACATAGATACGGTGAGCCATCAACGGCCACGACGGTCCTGGGTCCTGCAGCAGGCTGGTCGGCCCTGACTCCGCACAGTGCCCTCTCACGCCCCGCGAGTGCGTGGGAGGCAGGGCCAGGCAGGGCGGCGTCCCAGTGACCAACTGGTATCGGGGGGCAGTCCGACGTCCGCCTGGGAACTCCGCGATCCGCTGCTCGTCGGCTGGGCCTGCCACGGGCCACCAGCGGACTCATTCCGAGAGTCGTTTTCGTCGCTCTGTCTCTCTCGCACTCACGCGGCGTCCCGTAAGGGTTAGTCAGAGCGACGAGCACGACTCTTGGAGTCAGCCCCCGGCGACCCTGGAGCAGAACCTGACGTTGAAGCCGCCGCGCAGGCGCGACATGACCACCATGGTCATGCGGTCCGTGAGGCCCTGCAGGTCCTCGATGCCGTCGTCCACGGGCTGCACCGACAAGGCCCTGAGCACGCTGGCGAGGAGGACGGTCATGATCTGCATGGCGTACGCGCCGCCGATGCAGTTCCTGCCGCCCGCGCTGAAGGGTATGTACGCGTGCGGGTGCCGGTCCCTGGAGTTCTCCGGCAGGAAGCGGTCCGGGTCGAAGCGGTCGGGCTCCGGCCAGTGCTTGGCGTCCCGGTGGATGCCCAGGATGTTGATGCCGATGACCGTGTTGGCGGGGATCTGGTAGCCCCACAACTCCGTCTGGTGGTAGCACTGTCGCCCGATCATGAGCGCGGGCGGGAACATCCGCATCACCTCCTTGATGAAGCGCACCAGGTAGTGGAGCCTGCACAGAGGAGGCGGCGCAAGGCGCCGCGAAACTGAGTGGAGTCCAAGCCACACAACGAAATCCACCGAACGAGCAAATTCTCCTCGAAAATTTCCTTATATTGCGTACGTTGCGTACTCACTTGGTGATGTCGTCGAGGCCGACGTCCCTGTCCGAGTCCCCGAACACCTCGTCGAGCTCGGCGTGGACGCGGCGCTGCTCGTCCGGCAGCAGGGACAGCACCTTCACGGCCCAGCTGAGCGCGGACGCCGTCGTCTCGACCGCGGCGAAGAAGAACGTCTTCACCTCGTCCTGGATCACCTGCTCCGACGGGGTGTCCTCGTGCTCCTCCAGCATGATGTCCATGAGCGTCTTGCGCGCCGTGTCGGCCGTGGCGGCCGTCGAGGCCTTGGCGTCGCGCAGCGCCTGCCGCTTGCGGTCCATGAAGCGCTTCGTGAAGGCGTCGAAGTTGACCTTGGCCCTGAGCAGACTGCGCCCGTCCGCCGTCAGCAAGAACGTCCAGTCCAACCAGAGCAGCGGCCGGAACGCGCGCTTCATGATGCTGTCGAACCACTGGTCGATGAAGTCCGTGGCGGTCTTCACCTCCTCCTCGCGGTCCCAGGCGTCGCCCAGCGCCGTGGTGATGAAGGCCCTCGACATGGTCCGCATGAACATGGCCCGCGCCTCCACGACCTCGCCGACGGGCACCGTGCTCAGGAAGTGTCTCGCCACGGCGTTGAAGTCCCCGATGAAGCTGTCCAGCACCTTCTTCTTGAAGCCCGGCACCAGCCACGTCCGGTGCTGCTTCCACTCGGCGCCGCCCAGCTGCACCAGGCCCTGCTTGGCCACCACGTGCATCAGGTTGTAGCCGAAGACGGCCTTGTCGACGAGGTCCTTGCGCCGCACCACCTCGCTCATGTACGTCGCGTCGCTCACCACGATGAACGTCTTGCCCAGGCAGAAGAAGCGGCTCAGGGGCCGGCCGTCGATCATCTCCAGGATCTTGGGCAGCAGCATGTCGATGTCGACGCCGATGAAGTCCCAGGCGTGCCCGATGACGGGCATCCCCGGCGTCACCGGGATGGTGGAGCCGCCCCTGGAGTCCCTCATGGAGTCCCTCACGGCGCGCAGGACCAGGGCGACGATGCAGGCCGCCAGCGCCGCCAGCAGCACCGCGGTCGCGGCCTCCATCACGGCCATGGCCGAAATGGACCGCCGCGCGGCGAGCAACTTGTATTTCTAGCCTCGCGGTCGGCCCGATGCCGCGACCACTGACGGACCGCCGACCGCACCAAGCGATGGCGCCGATAGCGAGGAAGCGCACAGACTTCGCGGAGTCAAAACCGTCAAACGGTGAACGCTGACGTATCCAGTGCGACAGCGCGGTACCGAAGGAGAGTGCAGTTTTCAAATTCACCTGTGAAGAAGACCGTTCAAATCCGGTGGTACCGATCGGACGGTGTGCCGCTTCGACTTGTGCGTGGCGCCCGCGAAGGCATGCACTGTGGCTCGGGGTGAGGGTGGGAGTCGGGCTGGGGCTCGAGGAGCCGTTGGCTCTGATAACGGTGCAAAGCGTGTCTTTCTCTTATCTCGCACACCTCCGTTGAGACACGGCAGGGGTGCAGAGCGCTGCCCTTGGCGCTGCCGGCGCAGGGCGGTAAGAGTGAGAGCCGTTGATGGCTTTCTGATCTGTTTCCACATCCCAAAAAAGAGGGGGAGAGACCACCGGAACCACCATCCCCCCACCGCCGGCAAACCCCCGCACCGCATCATCAAAGGCTTGTGGCCCCTACTGGTCGGGGTCCCTAGGGAGGTACTCCTCCACACACCAGAGCTCAACTAGCGTCACGGTGAAAGTCAGTTTTGTTTGGTTGTGTATGTGTGCGTTGTGCTCGTAAGCAAGGTGGAGGAAGATGGAAAATTATAAGGCAAAAACTTGGCGTCAAATACCGTGAAAATATACATAGTTTTATTTTCTTCAGCACTGTGCGTATAAAAATTCACGTTCAAACAAAAATAAAAATACGTCAACAATTTCATGGATTACAATCACGTTTCTTCCCTCTCTTCCGCTGTCTGAGTTTTGTCAAATGAGTAGGCAAAAATTCACACGATTCATTAGTGTCAAAAGGGTTGCCAACCTCGCCCCGCGCACAGGCAATACCTCAAAGGGGCTTTGTCCTGCGAGACGGTCAATCGAGGTCCAGCGTCTCAAGTCCCGAGGTTGGCAGCCCTTTCGACACGGGGGCGGGAAACACTGGAGGCGAACGCCGGCAGGCAGCCTCGACCTCAAGCGACCCGGGGCAGGCGGGTCCAGCGGCGCGACGCCCAGCACAGCAGCTGCTTGAAGGCGTCCATGTCGATGGCGTCCAGGACGCGGACGGGCCGGCGGCCCTGGGCGTCCACGCAGCCCGGCCGGCAGCCCGACTCCAGGCTCACGCAGCCGGGCACCATCTGGCCGCGCGTGCGCCAGCCGCCCAGCTCGACCGTCACGTGGCGGAGATGGTGGCGGAGCACGAGGGCGGGCCGCAGCAGCGCCGCCACCGTAAGTTGGTCGCAGCACACCCACGAGGGCCGCGCGTTGGAGGACAGCACGCGCCGGTCCGCCTCCGTCACCAGCTGCAGCGCCAGGTTGTCGCCCGACGCCACGCCGCCCTCCCTGGGCAGCACGTCCAGCCGCCAGTCCTGCCAGACACAGACAGGCATCAGTCGCGTCGCCGAACTTGTCACACCCACACTCTGAAAACCTGACAAACTATTTTAGGCCTCACAAAGCAAAGCAGCTTGTTGTAACAAAAGTATGTTTTCCTGCGCATGTGGTAACAATGCGGCGGGACGCGCGGCTCAGGACAGGAGATTTGCGGTCGAGGCCAAAAGAGAGCCAGCCGGCATCTCCCGCTTGAGGGCTCGCTGCTCGCTTGAGGGGCTTACCAGGGGGAGCGCGAGGTCGGTGCAGGTCTCCCACGGCGTCAACTGGACGGGGCACGTGGACGCCAGGCTCTCCAGCACCACGTGGGCCGCCTCGGGGTCCGTGCAGAAGTTGAACTCGGCGGCCGGGGTGGTGTTGCCGTGACCTGCGGCACAGCACGTCATCACTTTATGATATTCTTGCAAGGAAATACCAGCTTTGAAAATTGTCATCAACTGACGGCTAAAATTTATACAGAGTAGTTTCTGCGCACCGCCCATGTTCAGGTAGCTACGCACCGCGCACGTTGCCGCCCATGATGTGGACTTCCCTGAGGCTCTTCTTGAAGGCGCTGTAGGTGCGGACGGCCAGCGCGATGTTGGTGAGCGGCGCGAGACACACCAGCGTCACCTCACCTGTAAAAGCACCACCGCCGTGTTTACGGTGTCGGGGTGTCCGTCCAGCAGTCACTGTTCTTTTCCCGCCCTTTTAGCGCCTGCGAGGTAGGCCACCGGCCCGTCGCGCAACACACGGATGTGGAGACGGTGGCCTACCCCGCGCCTGGCGCTTCACAGGGGCGAGGTAGGCCACCGTCTCCACAGATGAGTGTTGCGGGACGGGCCGGTGGCCTACCTCGCAGGCGCCAAAGACGACCGGAGTCGTGTAAAGGAGCTTTCTGGCCAAAAGCAAGCGGCAGCAGCATTTTTTTTTTTACAAAAACAAAAGTTATTTGGCATTGAGTTTTATTTTTGGAATACGGTACCTTCGTTTTCACACACGAGCCGGTTGAGGGCGGCGACGGCGTTCTCCTTCTGAAGAAAGCCGTCCAGTTCGGAATCGTCTCCGGGGAAAGCCTGCTCGGATCAGAGTGGACGAATCAAGCATAAAAAACAGAAAGGTGACTCGAAAACAGCGACGGATAGAGAAGCAAATCCATACCTCGTGGTCCAGGTCGCCGAAGCCGTCCCGGCCGTGGAAGGGGTGCGAGGTGACGGGCCTGTCCGTGACCAGAGGGCCGTCGGCCCCGGCGAACACGGGAATCTGTGGCGGGAAATTTTTAAAACACAGTGCAACGCAGGGGGCAGGTCGGGGTCTGAGGTTTGGGCTTCCGGCAAGCGGCACGGCGAGGCGCAGCGCCTATCGTGGTTGCTGGCCCGCTTATCAGATGAATCCGGCTAGGCCCGCGAGCCGGCCGAGAAGAACCCGGCCAAAACTCTGGGCGCGTTTTGAGCGCCAGAGTCGCTAAGCAGGACTCGAACCGAACGTGTGACCCCACCAATGGATTCCTCGTTCGGAGGGCAATCCATTGGTGGGGTCACACGTTCGGCTTGAGTCCCATTCAGCGACTCTGGAGCTCAAAACGCGTCCGGGATTTTGACCTCCTCCGACGGTACTCACGTCTAGTCGGTTGGCGGCGCGCAGCAGCCGCAGCGTGTTGCGGCACACGTTGGCCAGTGGCGTGTTCCCCGCCACGCACGTCACCCCCAGCAGCTTCACCTCGCCCACGGCGTCCGCGGCCAGCAGCATGAGCAGGGCCAGGGCGTCGTCCGTGCCCGTGTCCACGTCCACCACCACCAGCCTGGGAAACCGCGCCGGCAAGGTTCAAGTTGTTGGTTCAAGTTGTTGCATGACGTCATGCGTTGACTGACCTGCGCTGCTGGGCCGCGCCGCTCATGTTGAGTGTGTGGAGGACGAAGGGCCGAAGCGGAGTGCCGACGCCTAGTTCCTAGTCGCCGTATATGCCTGGCAGTGCCTAGAGCGAGGGAAGGGATCAAGATAAGAGCGCTTCACGTATGTTAGGATACAAGTGGAAAACAATTCCCACTAATCAATAAACACCACTCTAAAAGTCTTCCAAAGACTATATGGCTGCGGTGTAATGAGAATTTTGCGCAGACACGCACCTTTTGATGGGAATATTTTTCTGTCGCTCCAAATAGTCGTAACTTTGTTATCAAAATCGACTAAAAGTGCAACGGACTTCTTCGAACGGGACAATCTCTTTCTCACCGGCCCCCTTATCCAGGAAGCCGAGAATATCCCTTGTCAGCTCGAACAGAATCGTTGCGAAAAGCTCCTCGTGAGCTGTTTCAAGCCACTTGCGACCTCAAAAGAGCTAAAACCGAGACGAAAATCCGCCACTTGCAGCTTATGATGACGTTTTGGGACCATTTCGTTCTCCTTGGCGCGAGATGAACGAGAGCGCCTGCAGATTCAAGGGTAGGCAACCCATCGGACAAGGCGGGCTAAATTTAAACTGCTCTGCGCAGAGTGGGGGTGGCCATTCTAAGCGATGACTTTACTAGAAATGTCGAAATTTCATCCACAAATCGTGTCCTTTCCATCCACTCAGCAGCCAGTGGTGAAGACTCGCGGGAACTTCCAGTCAAAATTGAATTCTGCAAAGGACCATCGGCGGCCGGGAAAGTGGAGGGAAGTTTCCGTTCCTCTCCGATCACTGCACATCCGGGCAGCACGGCATGGCCGCCTTGGCGCCAGAAAGCCAACCCTAACCTATCACAGGTTCCGTTTACATCCGCCATTTCCAGACGGGCCGTCGAGTATTTGCACAAGCGCTTACTCACAGAGATTAGGTGTCGGGGTAATGCCAGGGTGCGTCGACTGGGCAAGCGTGCCAAGGTCACAATTCGGTTTAAAGTTGGATACTTGACTCGCAGCCCAGGGCCGGCGATTGGCGAGCAGATGCTTCCTTTGACAGTGTTGCCAGCCAAACTCGTCAAAGTTCCCTGGGCTTCTCCGACTGGAACTGGACATTCCCTTGGAGAGTATATTTCAGACCCACTCGAGTTTTTCAACTTATTGTGATGAACTGTTTAAACAAGTGTTTCTCTATTTCTTTTTTTTTAGTAATGTGTGGGTGCGAGTGAAAAGGAAAAGTTTGCGAGGAGAATAGAAACGCAACAGCTCAACATTGTATCATGTTTATTAAGTTCGAACTTATACAGCTACTTGAATCACAGATGAAAATAAAAACAACATAAATATTGAGACACATATGAAAGGTAAAATCAGATAAAAAACAAACAAAATAATAATTTTCAAAACCCATGCTGAGGTATAAATTATCATGATTTTTAAAATGTTCTCAGGTCAGTCCAACACAGAAATGGTTACTGATGACAATTGTTCATATTGATAAAATAAGAAAAGATAAAGGGGAAGAACGAAATAGCAGTAAAAGTCAGATCTAAAATTTGATAGGCATAAACACATGACTGACAAAAATATTCCAAAACAAAAAGGATGTCAAAGTCAATTTTACAAGGAAGGCAAGTATTAAAAACTAAATTATAATGGAACTTCCTCATTGGAATCTACGCAAGTGACTTCTTGAAACTGCTACTTCCACATGTTTTTTCAAATACCCACCCCTTCCCCACCTTAAGCTTTGAGGTACCTAATGATAACTTATGATATTTACTAGACACACATGTCAGATGAGTCAACTAAAGGTACACTGACTTGCTGTACAAAATCTGACCATCACCAATTACTATGGCAGACAAAACAGTATTACAATGGTCACATAAAAATTTGTAGTTAATGGCAATAACTTTGGGTTTAAGTAACTTCCAACACAACAAAGTTTTAGGTTCCATAACTGTGATTCACAAAAACATCCAGACTTAAAAATAATAACATGATGATTCATTGAGGCATGAATAATACAATGAGTATAAGAAACACATATATAAACTTAGGGGGACATAATTGGGACAGTCATAGACAGGTGCAGGGCAGTGAGGGGCGAGCAAGTCTGACTCGAAAACAGGCAATATGGGCAGTGATTTAGCTATCATCTCGCACCACCTAATGTCTGCGCGTCAAACTCTCAGTAAATGATGGTGCTGTATACAAAACTCAAAGGACTCCGGAGTAATAAGATACAGTAACAACATAAAAACTTGCAAATCACAATATGTTAAGTAAGGGATACATAATTCTTGCTAAAAATTATACATATAGGAACATAAAGCAACAATAATCAGACCACCATTCAGGAGAGATACATTGTGTCCATTATAAAAAAATTGGGGAGCAATCATAGCAGTCATGGAACATTTAGCCGCAGCTCACACTCAGTTTGATTTAAGTGTAAAATTCAGAGTAGGCCGAAATCTCACTATGGCTTGATTCAGCAAGAAAGTTCCTACCTAAAGGCAGAGGGGCAGGAGTATTTCAATTTATTATAAGAAAGGATTTAAGACTTAATTTTAAACAGCTTTGAGCATTGATGAAAACAACCTCAGATGCCCATGATGATTGAAATCAAAATGAGCCACCAAAGTACTTTGGAAGATTCAATTGTAAGACGAATAAAAAAATTATGTAAAACACGTAAGAAGATGATTTTAAATGGCCCAATTATTTAAATTATTCTTATGATACATTTGGGAATTTTTAATACTGATTTTCATCCTCTGTTTGAAAACTGATTGCTGTATTCCACACACCTAGAAGAAATTTTATGACCATAGATCAGACATAAATGAGAAAAAGCTACTTGCTCATAAGGGAACTGGTCAAATGCAAGTGTACGAATAAGAATTTGTGCATGTGACACCAAGGACAATAGTTCAAATGACAAACTAACCATTTCTGACTTCAATAAACGCTTTTGCAACTGTTCCACAATGCCATGGCGTGTCATGACAAACATGTCATCAAGTAATGTGAACCAGTGCCATCCTGATGTAACAAACAAACACAAATTACAAAAATAAAGAATTGACACAATGCTTCTTAACTAATAAAAATACTTGTATCTAATAGTTTTGGCAAAGTATGAGTGATCAGCATGGAAACATTGATCCTTTCCAACAATAGTTGAAAAGTGTTCAAAGGAATGCTATAGAGGCCGAGCCAGCATGACTTAAATTACCAATATGGCAAGGCTATCAACAGAAGCCACCTTAATCTAAACAATAAATAAAAACACGGCATATATTACTTTGTCCTTAACACATAGAAATGATTGAAATCATAGTACAAAAGACTTGTGAGTTTATGAGACTTTGGTATTGTTTAAACTTAAACTAGAAAAAACAAGCACTACTATCTGGGCCACAAACATTTGCACACATAAATATACAGTTTTGATGAGAGGAATATCTGAGCTTCCACAGAAGTTGGCACTTCTCCAATAAGATTGAATTCAACATAAATAAATAGAAAAAGGAAAAACTTACACCACTTAACATTTGATTTAACTTCACTAAAGTACAGTATAACCATTCAATATCTTTGGAACAACACATTTCAAATCCGATGGAGAAGTGCAAAAACTAAATATTACTTCACTCACTCCCATGAAATTTTCCATTCAAACTGCACCAAGAATGGGAATAATGATGCACATTCCCACAATGAACCTGGCATACCAGTTCAGGGTAGAAAACTTGCTTTAGGAGTCACCTCAACACGTCATTCAGTCAGTGCTATTTTCAACTTCTTATCGCTATGTGCAAAAAACATTCTTAAATACTCCGCACCAACATGGCATCCTATTTACATAACAAATCTACTTAGTACTGATTCAGTTGAGTATCTTGAAACAATTTTAATACAGCTCACTACACCTATTATGTACATTATTATTAGGTACGACAAACATGCAGCACATATTCCTTTACAAATGATCTAGATTCTTTGTTTAGAAGTAAAATTACACTCACTTAAATTATGAGAAATGACAGCTGTTGTCTTGAAGTAGGCAAACAAATAGGATTCTTACGTTGAGAATGAATTAGCATGTCTCTTCCATTAAAATTAAGTAATTAACTTGTGATTAGAGTAGTCGCAATGTTACAGTCTTCAATTAACTTCTACAAGTCCATACAGGCACTTCGGAAACCTGAGGCTCAGAAAAACAGAACTGCAAAGTGACAAGAGCTGATGAGACTAGAGGGGAGGACGGTACAGGCAAAATGAAAGTTTGCTCCCAACCACACGGAAGAGATGTCTGCACAATGATTGAAAGTTCTCCTTTCAAACATCATCCTCTTCTTCTTCTTCACTTTCACCCTCCTGTCCGTACATGTCAGCTAATTTGTCAAATCGTGGCCCCCAAGCTCCTAGATAATCAAATTCTTGCTGTTCATCATCCGTGCCTGAAACATGAAATAAAATTGTGATTACTGATGCATAAATAACTAAGGCTAATGAAAGGTCCAATCTACTAAGGAAACAAAACTCTTCTTACCTGAAGCTAATGAAGAGAGGGAACCAGCTGTACTGCCGCCACCTTCGTATGCATAATTACGAAGATCATCGAATGGTGGTGCGTTCGGATCACTGTCGGCTCTCTTTTTGTGCTCTTCAATGAAAACGCCAACATTGGGATCTTGACCAAGATGAGGATCTGAAAAAATAGTTACGTGTACAGTTAAAAATTGTCAGTTGGTTTTAAAACAAAAAAAAAACAAAAAAAAACAACACCAACATCACCAACAAGTTTTTTAACTTACATGGCATTTTAGCAGTCATTGGTAATGGTCCACCGATGGGAATTTGAAGAGGCGTAATGTCAAAGGCAGTCATGTCATCCTCGCCTCCTCCCTCATCATCGTAGTTAATAATGTTCTCCCTAACGTCGTCATCCGGACCAGGATACTTAATGTGAGCTTCACGTCGTCGGTTGTAGACCACAAACACCAAAACTAATACTGCAAAATGAAAAAGAAAAGTTAAAATTGTTGTGTAATGGTCCAAAATTGTAACAATGCAAATGAAGGATGTACCAATGCGGCCAAAAGAAAAATAAGCAAGGTTGTATTTTAAACATGAAGTCAACAAATACTAAGGTAAAGCATTGAGTGAAATTACATAAAGACACACAATTTGCACTAGCTATTTGCGTCAAAACACTACATTCTTACGAATCTACAACAACAAGCAGTCATAAGATAAAATCAATTTCAAATACCCCACTGCAAGGTTTCCATGAGATAAAACTGAAGATTTAACGGCATTAGTTATTTTCTTTTTAATGGTTCTCTGCTCGTCTTACTCACCAAGAAGCAACACAGCGCAAACAAAAATAGCAATGATAAAATCAGTGGATGGCGTGATGATTCCCGACTCCAGGAGTTCCAGCTCGCAGTTGAGCCCAGTGAACCCTCGGGAACACAAGCACTCGTACCGACGGTCGTCGTCATAGTCGATGCAGGTGCCACCATTCATGCATGGCTTCCACTCCAGGCATTCATTCTCATTGACACACTGGTGGCCTTGCACTCTAAATCCAGCAGGGCAACTACAAATCAAAAATAATAAAGCAAACTTAAAACAAAAACGGCCACTAACAACTTTTTTTTTACAAGCTACACAAATAAAATAAGCAACTGAAAAAATAATCTTCCTAGGGAATTAAAAAAGAGAGGAGAGACAAACGAGATGGTGCCATAAAACTAAATTGGAGGATCATAAATAAAACTATGCCATGTAAATCATATACACACATTCACTACTCTGCTAAAAAAATAAAAATAAAAAAAAAATAGAAGGTTGCAAAATAAATCCGCTACAACAGTGGCCTGGTACTCCGAGCTGAAATAGGATGAACATACTGAGGATGACGAGAAGGCAGACAAGTATTGCTGCCAGGGCACCCATGCTCAATTTCAGAGTCTGGCCTTCCTGTACAAGTTCGCAGTTCTCGCCCCAGAATCCATCAGGGCATTCACACCGATATCGAGTGCGAGGGTCTTCGTTGAAGCAATGTCCTCCATTTTCACATGGCTTGTCAAGACATTCGTCTTTGTCCATGCAACCCTTTCCATCAGGCGACATGATGCGACCCACTCCACAGCTATAGAAACAATGCACACAATGAGGACTCTACACGCCAGAACACTTCATTGTCCTATACTGACTCATATTCAACGAAAAGATTCATTTAACCCAGGGTCTCTAAGAGATAAAATGAAACTCTAACATTTCTTTGATCCTTTCTTATTCATGACTTTAACAATCTCATTCACTTCTCATTCATAATAAGGGAAAATTTGAGAAGAGCAAATCACAGAAACTATCATACCGATATATGGTCCCCATCAGGTACACACAGCACAGCTCAGAGAGTAGAGAACAGTACTGCTCTGACCACACTGACACACACAGTGAGCACAGAGCAGACTTGTGTTTTGGAAGAGGCTCAGGAAGGAGTGGGAGGTGGAAAAGAGGCCGGGATGGAAGACCGCGCCGGGAGGGGGAGGGGGAGGGGACCGGAGGCAGGATGGGAGGAGATGACATCCTGTCTTGCTCAACTGGCCATCCTAGAGATACATGGTGATCCCAAAAAATTCTTGCCGTTTTAAAATAAACTTGACTGAGAAAGGGGACCTGGGTAACCTACATAATACAGTCAGTCTGGGTAATAATCAAACGAGATCATCACATCACCTGGATGCCAACTGAGGGGGAACAGAAAGTCATTCCCCATTCACAACTCTTCCACAATCCAATTTTGTTCCCTTTATACAGGGGTCAGAAAACTCCTGGATCACTATTGGGAAATGCGAGAGGGCAAGAGGGAGCGGGAAGAGAGGGGAAGTTGGGAGGGGGGAAGGCCCTACTACTTGCAGTCCGGGCGCCGCGGGCTCCGGGCACCACACCTTGTCACAGTGTATGCACACAGCATGCTCGAGTGCCCCGCAGGAAGCACTTAAGAGCGGCGCGGCGCCCGGCGGTCTGGCTGCCCGTCTGACTGCCTGACTGCCTGTTTCTCTCTCTCTCCCTCCCTCCGTCCGCGGCTCTTCTGAACTGCCTACCGTTCTTTGTGCCGTACTTCCACCACGCCCGCGGCCCGCGGTTCCAGGATGAATTAGGTCAAAGGAAGGCAAAGTTGGTACTCACGTGCATTCATACTCGTTCCACAGGTCCACACACTCGAACGGATCGGGGCAGATTACATTGGCACATGGGTTGTTGGATGGGCAATTGCGCTCCAGGTTTCGTGCCATAGTGGCCTGTCCCCACTGAGTCCCATTCATTCCAGGTGGCAGAGGCAGATGCTTGCCTTCCAGCCGAATGTCATCAAGGCAACCTGTTGGTTCCAATAGCGTGAGTAAATTACATAGGCAAAGGCAAAATCCAAAATAAGTTTGAAAATCTAAAAAAAATATTTAACATCCGGAATAATTAAAAAAGTCCAAAATATTGCTCATCTTACCCTTCTGGAAGTCTGAGTAAACCTCAAATGTTCGCACACCAGTGTACTCGGCCTTTCCACCGGCATAAACACCCTCTTGCTTGTCCACAATGAGCCACTGGTGACCACTGAAAGTGAAGGTCTCATTGTACCGCCGCCCTTCACCACCATCCAGCTCCAGGAATGCTGCTGAGCCGTAGCGATGGACACGAATGGTGTGCCATTGGCCATCATCCACATACATTGCGGCAAGCCACAAATCTTTTTCCTCTGTACGAATGCTATTCAGGTTGAACTTGAAGTGGAGTTTCCGGTCTTTGATCTACAACAATGTTAATACACAATCAAGTTAACTACAAGAGAGAGCAAAGAGATCTTCTGAGATGTCAGAGAAAAATAGGCTGAAAGCTTACCTCAAGGATTCCATATTCACGGTTGTGCTGATCGCTGACACGGAACAGCTCACCGTTTTGCTCCCTTGTGCGGAAGCGCAGTTGGATGGAAGTGGAATACTTGTCAGGGTCAAAGGAGAGCGCGTATTTGACATAACTCTGCGGTTTGAATGTGGTGGGGACTGTGGGGACAGAGCAAGATGGACCAGTCCAGCCAGGCAGGCATTGGCAGCGGGCCTCAGTCATACTGCCAGTGCAAGTGCCGTGTTCCCAACAACGGAATGTGAGATCAGATTGGGCGCAGAGTTCCTCAGTCTGAGGGCAACCAGCAACTGTATTTCTGGAAAGACCAGGATGGGCTAGATCGTACAGCTGGAATGTAGATAGAAAGAAAACCAATGAGTCACTCAAAAAGCAAGTAAACAGCAGTGTCAAAACAATTTAAAACAAACAAACAAACAATGAAACAGTAGGAAAGAAAAATAGATTACCTTGCTATTGTGGAAAATATTCCTAATGCAACCATCAAAGCTTTTACCAAAGGGCTTGTACTGCCAATGATATGCTGACGGTTCAAATTCATCCACATAAAATCCACCTATTTGAAGAGGTGCATTAACATTCAGGTACTCATTGAATGCAGGGATAGTTCCACTGGCGTGACATGAGGAATCATCAAACATTGGCGGGGATCCATTCTCTGATTCATCAATATCCGCTCCCTTGCAGAAGTCCACAACTAATCTGACAGTCTATGTTAAAAGAGTAAAAAAATTCCATTAATAATTAAAATAATACTATTTGAAAAAAAAATTACATTTCATCGCAATTCTGCACAGTAATTGTTCATTGGAGAAAAAAAAGTGACATTTACCTCTGTGTCCCAGAAAATGTCAATACGATGCCATTCTCCATCATCTAAAGTGTGTTTTGGTTTTACTTTAAGCTCCAAGGTGCCGGAGCCAAAGTCGATGAGAAGCCTTGGGTGTCCTTTGTCCAACTCAAGTGAGATAAAATCTGAAATTTTTTTTAAAGAAGTTAGAAACATTGTACAGTCGTACATAATTAGGTGTTTAATGATGACAAGTATCACAAAATATTTATTAGAATTTCTTTGAATAAAATCCAAGTACAAACCTGAAATTAGTACTTCCTCAGGTTCTGGGGGTACTATGGGACCATTGTAAAGAAGTGTACCATCTCCAACACGGGTGGCAAATTCAAGACTAAGATGTGAAGAGTCACAGAGCTCTAGAGGTGGGTACCAGGCCCATCCATTTCCACGGAAACTCCTGGCAGTTTGTTGGCAGCGAGGACCACTGTATCCACTTGGACATGAGCATCTACAAAAGATACAAAATGTTGAAGAAACGAGCATAAAACAAAAAGATGAAAGGAGAAAACAAAGTGATCTATTCAATACTTACGTCACACCATTCCTTCCTTCTTGACATCGGCCTCCATTGTGGCACGGACTATTTCTGCAAGATTCTTCTTTACTAAAGTTGCGAGCCCCACATGTACACTCAGGAATGATGTCCACTCGAACACCAACCAATGCTGTTTTGTTTGCATTGACCATGTATGGAAGGTTACTGATTTCCATTTGATTGGTGCAGGAACCTTCACAATTTTGGTTCTCATAGAGACATTCATCAATGCCAACCATTGTGATATTAATTCCAACTTCTTTCTCAATCTTCAGGTAAAAAAATGAAAGAGAATATTAGAAACATATAAAAAACAAATTACAGTAAACAAGTTTAACAATATTTTGGCTGTTTATATTTTACACTGACCTCTTCTCTCTTCATTAGGACTAAACCATTCAGTCTGACTGGTTTGTAGTACGGTGATCCATGGGCCGCAAAGCGGATGTCAGTGAGAGGGGGATTCCTGCGTCTTAGTTGAACACTGAACACATCTACATTCTCCCGGTCGATGTGAAGTAAATCAGCTAGCTTTTCTCTGAATTTATCGGCCTTGCTTCTCATAACACCTTGAGTCTATAAATTAAAAACAAATTTATAAGAGTTTTTTTCAAAGGAAAAAAATGCAACAAATGCAACAAACCCACTGTACTTACTCTGTAATCCCAGACGCGTATGAAATCTTCATCTGATATACCAGATATTCTAATTGATCCCGAGTTGATCACAGCTTCATGGGGAATTTCCCTAACAGTAACTGTGACATTGGCAGGCACATCTGTCTGGGTGTGTTTTCTATCAAATACTTTGAACCTTAGATGATATTTTCCGTCTCGAGTGCCATGCTTCATAGTTATCATGCCAGTGTGTTCATTGAGCTTGAAATTTGGATGTTCAATTGATTCCCAATAGAACATCTTATCAGGTAGATCCCAGTCGTCAAGATCATAGACATAAACTCTACCAATCTCAGTGTCTGGAGCTTGACCCTGTAATAAACACAAGCAATGAACATGATCAATAGAATCAATGCAAAAATATTTCCAAAATGATCTGTGAAGCTGATAAAAATGATAAAAGTGAGTTACATACCATGTAGTTGTAAACGAATATCTCCTTTGAACCAGATTGCATCTTGTTGTCATTTACATCACCGATAATGACCGTCAAGGTGCTTGTTCCAGACATGGCAGGGTTACCAGAATCCTTGATCACAATGGGGATGAGGTATTCTTTCTGCTGTTCACGATCAAATGAACGGAGGGATGACACAACTGCCATACCATCTCCATTGGCACCCTCTGCAAAAATTAAAATAAATGTTAGCACAGGTTTGAAAGGAAAAATACAACGAATGTAAACAAAAGAGACGTACTTTGATCATGTTCCACTTTGAAAGACGCCCTAATAACATCATCTGCTGCAGGATCCATGCGGAAAATAAATGGAGGCCCATTGCTCTTGGAGCGATCATCGTCATCAGTGGCAAGAACTTCAACAACAGTGCGAGCTGATGTGTGTTCTGGCAGAACAGGCCTGTAGTCCTTGAGGAATGTTGGGGCATTGTCGTTAATGTCTTCGACAATGACAGTGAGAGTGGCTGTAGCCGTCTTAGGGGGTACACCATCGTCAATGGCCAGAATCTTGACCTGGTGCCGAGGAGTTTCCTCTCTGTCAAGAGATCTCTGGATGTTAACTTGGCCCTCCGGACTAATGGAGAATTGTCGCCTGCGGTCTGAGGACCGGTCAATGGCATACGTCACGTGGCTCTTTCCGCCTTGATCTGGATCAGTGGCCTTGAAGCTTTCCAAGCTTTTTCCGATTTCGGCATTCTCAAAGACTCGGACCTCAATGTTGGGCCGGTCGAACTGGGGCTTGTTGTCATTGATGTCTCGCAGCCTCACAACCACCCAGCAATAGGCCACGTGGTACTTGTCGTTGTCGTTGTCCTCCCCTTTGTCGTTGACCTGGATCTTGAAGCGGAACCCGTTGCTCTGCAGAGGGTCCTCGTAGTCCAGCGGCTGGACGATCTTGAGCGAGCCAGTGCCGTCGTTGTTGCGCACCATGGTGAACTTGTCGGCGCCCAGGCCGGAGTTCTCGATCACCTTGTACTGGAACTTGTTGGTCTCGTCCTCGTCGTGCACCGTCACCGTCAGGATGGGCATGTCGGGCAGCGTGGTGCCGTCCGTCTCGTCCACCTCGGTGCACCACTCGTCCTTGGTGAACTTGGGCGGCATGTCGTTGATGTCCTTGACGCGTATGGACGCCGTCCCCGTGCCCTTTAACCCCCCGCCGTCTATAGCCACCACTTGTATCGAGTACTCGGGCGTCCGCTCCCGGTCCAGGCAGCACACGGCCGTCTTGATGACGCCGGTGTCGGGCTCGATGTCGAAGATGGGCGACCCGGTCTCCTCCTCGATCACGTTCTTCTCGATGGAGTAGGTGAGCTTGGCGTTGGTGCCCTCCTGGGGGTCGTCGTAGTCCACGGCCGTCATGGTCATCACCACCATGCCTGCAGAGGGAGGAAGTCCGGTCAGTCTCACCCCAGCGCGCAGTCCCGAGGGACTCGGACGGGCCAAGAGAAGTCACGACTCACCTGCGGTGCCGTTCTCCGTGACGTTGCCGAAGTACACGCCCTGCGGGAAGGCCGGGTTGTTGTCGTTGATGTCCTTGAGGTTGACCTGCACGTCGGTGTAGCCCACCAGGCCCTCGCCGCCCTCGTCCTGGGCGAACACCGTGAAGCGCCACTGCGCGCGGCCGTTGGGCTGGTCGCGGTCAAGAGGCTGCGGCACAAGAAGAGCAGGGAGGTCAGCACAGCGTCGCCGCGTCGCAGAGAGGAAAGGTCGCTTCACAGTAGCGCGGCGCAGTGCGCAGCTGTCGCCCAAACCACCCCGCCAGCCCCGCCAGCCCCGCCCCCTGGGCCCTGCCGAGGGTCCTGGGACTCGTCCCGGGTCTCAGATCGGGACCTCTTCCCTTCCATCCCCATCTCGCCGGTGCAGCGAGGGAGAGAGAGCACTCCATCCATCCAACCGCAAGAGATTGCCCGGCCACCGCCAAGACCACCGAGAGCCCCGCAGAGTGGCGGGGAGGGGACTCGAGTCTGTCTCGAGGCGCGCGAGCGAACGCGAACAGCGAATGCAAGTCGAGAGGACGACAGACGGGGCGAGGCACGCCCGGTGCTGTCTCTCTCGCACCCCGACGCAGAGCCCCGCGAGTGCGACAGAGACAGAGCGACGAGTCGCACGGCGGCAGCGCGGCAGGGCGCAGCGGGGTCGGCCCAAAGTGGCGAGGGGCAGGGCAAGGACTGCGAAGGGCCGGAAGGGAAGCGTGGAGGGGGGTAAATTGGGACACAAACGCAGCCGCGCCCTCCTGAGCCGTCGCCTAGGCGAGGCTGGGCGAGGCGGCAGCGGTGGCAGCTCCAAAGGCGTGCCACGGGCGTGCCTGGGGCGTGCCCGGGGCGTGCCGGGGACACGACAGAGCGTCCTGCCGCGCCGTGGCGGAGCAGAGCGCTTGGGCGAAAAGGGCTTCGCCCCGCCCCGCCTCATTTAAATCCCCGCGCCGCCGTGTCCTTGGGACGCGGAAGAGACAGGGCAGGCGCCGCCACTAAAACTTGCCGACACTTTTTTACGACTTCGCTCTGTGCCTTGCAGTGCCGTGAGTGCTGCAGTGTGCCGCCGCTCCGCGGCCCGCGGCCGCTGCCCTGCTGCGCTTCCATCCCGGACCGTCCCGGACGTCGCGCGTGGGCGGGCGGACAGAGTCCGGCAGGTCGCTCCGTCTCGCTCACACTCGCGGGGCGGGCCGAGCGCCGCCAGGGCGTGCGAGTGAGACTGACCCACTGTTCGGATGCGGCCTGCAGCAGACACCGTGGGCCGGGCGAATCATAACGCGACACAGCGCGCCGAGCGATGAGTGGTGGGACGAATGCAGGGGAAAGGGGGGGGGGGGAGGAGGAGGATCAGGCAGAGGATCAAGGAGGGGAAGGGAGGGGGCAAGACAAATGGTCCACTGCGGGACAGGCTACTGGCTACTGCCACCACTGGGCCGCTCGCCGGACACTCCGATACCGTTATTTATTAGGGACATTTATACATATACGTTGACACCCTGTCTACTCCCTCCTCCCCCCTCCCCCTCCCCTCTTGCCGGCGTGGCGGCCGCAAGTCCTCGTGTCAGGAGGGATCGCACATTTCAAATCTAAAATCCAATAGCGAATGCAACACCCGCGCTCGATGCCCCCCCCCCCCTTTCCCCGGCCGCTCTCTGCTCTTGCCGCATTTCGTGCCAGTCGGCGTCCTCTCTATCTATCTGCATATGCACACTGACACACGCACACACACACACACGAACGCGAACGCTCGACATTTACAGTGCGAGCAGGAACAGGGCGATGCAAATACGCTCGGCGCGAGCTCTGATTTCTTGCCTCGCCGATCTGCTCCAAATGAATAGTAAACAAAAAAGAGAGAGAGAGAGAGAGAGAGAGAGAAAAACGAAACAAAAACAGAGCAGCCCGGCGAATGAAATAAATAAATATATCTATATATATTTACAGAGGAGGGAGGGGGAGAGGGAGAGAGAGAGAGAGAGAGAGAGAGAGAGAGAGAGAGAGAGAGAGAGAGAGAGAGAGAGAGAGAGAGAGAGAGAGAGAGAGAGAGAGAGAGCCACGCCCTTGTTCCCTTTAACCCGCTTGTTTCCAATATGCGGCTGAAGGGCTGCGAGGCAGGAGTGGCGGCCCTCAGCCCTCGGCCCTTTGCAGTGTGGGGAACACGATCGGACAACACGCCTCGACATGGTGGCGCCGCGGTACCTGCAACGCGCTCTTTCCGAAGAGCGTTTCCTCGCTCCGTCTCTCTCGCACCCACACGCAACGCCCCACGAGTGCGAGAGAGACGGAGCGACGAAAACGACTCTCGGAATCAGTCCGCCGCGTGGAGCTACGACGCACCGGCTGTCCGGCCCCCTCCCCACCGCCGCACCCTTCCGGCTGCCCTGCGTCGGAAAACGAGCGAAAAATAATTTAACCAAGAGTTCCCTCCCGGGGCGGGGCGGCTTTTAAGCTCCCAGCAGAGCACTACGAAGCGGCCGGCGCCGGCGGGCTGATGCCGAGTGGTGGATCCCGTCGCTCTGTCTCTCTCGCACCCAGCGGCACGCTCCACGAGTGCGAGAGAGAGCTTCCCACCGCCCGCCCGCCCTCCGAGTCACAAAGCAGGCAGGCAGCAGCCGGCACGCCGGGACGCTGACCCAGCGAACCACTGCGAGCCCTGCCCCGGCCCTGGCCCGGCCGGCGCTCAGAGAAAGAACCAAAGAACACACCCAGCTGGAGGTTTTCAATGTTAATGTTCGGCCGGCATCCCTAATGCAGTGCAGTCCACTGTCCCGTGAAGTTGGGGTGCAGCGGCAGGGGCGGATTCAGCGACGACTGGGGGAGAGAGTCGGCCCGCTCACGCCCCCGCTTCACGGTAAGCGGTGGAGCGCCGAGCCGAACATCAAAGTGAATGATTCCGGCCATCCGGGAATGCCGCTGCCAGTGCCGTGGCCCATGGCGTGGCTGCGACCGGCACTCTGATTGCGCGGTTTGTTTCCGCGTCGCATTTTTCATCCTCGTCGTTTTTCCTGCCTTCCCCCTCCCCTCCCCCAAACGATTGGTTCTAATTGTCGGAAGCGTTCGCTTCTCTGCGAGATTGCCTCACATCAGGAGGGCGGCGAGCTCGGACTAGGTCAAACTGGGAACCGGGACGAAACGACTCCTCCGAGCGGCGGGAGCGCCTGCGAAGTCGAGGGTAGGCAGGCCCGGCCGACGCGGCCGCGCGCTGTGCTGCCTACCCCGGAGTTCACAGGCGCTACCGACAACACACCGACGGAGTGGAACTGCTGCGGAACCGAGCGGCCCCCGCGGTCGCCGAACCCTTTAGGGGGCGGGGGGGAGGGGAGGGGGGGGGGGGGTTGAAGAGAAAGGGTTGAGGGCTCCGGCGCACAGATGGCGCTGCGCGTGTAACAAGTGGCGCGCTGCACGATACAGCTGCCGCGGTTTAAATACCCAGTTAAAAAGAAAAAAAAAACCCTTTTCGAGAGAGAAGAAATTCATCAGCGGAAGCTTTTAACGCTGACGGCGCGCGCGCTGCGCTGGTGCGCTCAAAACACGGTCTGGAGGGGGGGGGAGAGGAGCGCGGTAAAAAGTTGTACGGGGAGAATGAAAGGATTACAGCGGATCCTTCGTGGAATTTCTTTTCTTACTGGGGCCGGAACACCGACTTTTGACAGAAACCCGTGAAAAAAAATCTAAACGAAGGCTGACGCTGAACTTTCAACACCAATATTTTGAACACGAGGTCAATGTCAGTTTCAATTTCCGGATTTTCGCTGTCTACTTTTTGGTTTCTTTCACAGCCCTGGGTGTTGCGGGGAAACCGGTTTCGGAGGCCGCCTTCTCGTTTCCGTTTAAAAAGAAAACACCCTCCCCTCCCCGGCAGTGGGGGCGCGGAGAGACTGCTGGTCGGCCGCACTGGAAGGCACTGGAAGGGGAGGGGGTCCTTCAACACCTTTGCGGCTTCCCGGGCCCATCCCAGCAAGGCCGGCCGGCCGGTTCCGAAGGCTAGCCCCGTCGCTCTGTCTCTGTCGCACCCGTGGGGGGCGTCCCGCGGGCGTGCGAGAGAGACAGAGCGACAAGGCCTGCCGCCGCCTGCCGGCCCAGGGGAAGGGCGTTATCACTGATAACGCACGCCCCGCTGCCCCGGTCCTGGTGGGCCCTGGCTGCTTGCGGACGCCCAGGCCGACCCACCCAGGCCAAGGGCAACGCAAGGACCGGCCGGGGGGCCGGGGGGCCGGGGGGCGCTGTCTACCAAGAAGCAATCTCATTTCGCGGCGTGCGTCCAGGAGCCCCGCGCCTCACCGCCACTGACCAGCGAGAGAGAGAGAGAGAGAGAGAGAGAGAGAGAGAGACAACACCAGCCCCGTTCGGAATCAGCCTGCTGCGCTGCCCCTCTGCCTTGCTCCCTGCACGCCCCCCCCCCCCCCCCCCCCCCGGTCGCCGCGCCGTGGCAGGTCGGGACCGTTGTTTCTATCAGGCACAAAGTGATCGGCCCCGGGGACCCATCGCCCCGGCCTCGGCCCCGGCCGGCCGCTGCCAACTGCCTCCCCTCCCCCCTCCCACACCCCGCACGCCTCCATCCGTGCGGCCACCGAGGTGGACCGCGTGGCAACGGTCATGGAGTCCGGAACGAGTACACCGAATTGAAAAAAAAAGAGGCGACACAAACAAAAGGAACAGCCTCCGTACGGTCTGAGCACTGTGCATTGAACCACCACACTGTACGAATCAATCCGCAACGTCGCAGTCTCGCCCTTCAGGTTGTGGCCGCCGTGCAACGCCGTGACAGGTACCGGCGTCAGGCCGACAGATAGCGCCAGCTGTCACGGCGTTGCACGGCCGCCACAACCCGACGGACGGACGGACAGACGACAGACAGAGAAAGAGTTGGGTGACGGAAGGTCGCCACGACATTGTGACGGATGCGTGTGTGACGGTAACGATGATGGCCCGGCGGGAAATATGACTCAGGTAACCACACCGTAAGAGCGTGACTCGGTGGTGTGTGCACGTGGAAAAGGGGATGGGGAGGGGGTTTAGACGTCGTCTTGCGCATACCGTGTCTCACGCATCCTCGCTCTGTCTCCGTCGCACTCAAGGGGCGTACCGCACGGGAGCGAGAGAGACAGAGCGACATCCTTCGGAATCGCCCACTTGCACTACTTCCCCCTCCCGCCTCAATACCGAATCGGCGTCAGCAAAAAAAAAAAAAAAAAAAAAAAAAAGGCGCGCAATCTTTGCCTTTACTCGCGTTGGCTTATTTTTGTTCCCGCCAACAACAACAAAACAACAAGTAAAGAGCGAACCCACGAAGAAAAAAAAACATTTAAAACAAGCGCGCGACACTGGTATAGTATTATGATATTGAAATCCGATATGTCCGCTTTTGCCATTCGATGCTCTCTCTTTCCGCGGGGCTGCCAGGCCGTGCAGAAATTAAAAACAAAATGGAAACAGAAAACACGCAGCAGCAGTCGTCCTATCTGCGGTTAAAATAAAATCGCGACCAGGAAACGCTGAAAAAAAAGGCGGGGGCGGGGAGGGGCAACGAAGGGGTGAGAGAAGATCGGGGTGCAAGATGACGCGGAGTGGAGGGGGAAAGGGTTGGGGCCAGAAGGGGAAAAGGGAAAGGGGGGGGGGTAGACCGCAGGCCGGCGATTGTGGGCCTCATCAATCCCGTCGACGCGCGTCCACAAGATAAGGGCTGCACTGACACAATGGACACACTTTCTCTCTCTTAGCCCCGGCCAAATGCACGTCTGTCGGACTCTTTCACACGGCGCCGCCCCCCACCCTCCCCTTTGGCACGCTTGCACACACACACACACACACACACACACACACAGCGTCGGTATCGGCCCGTTCACTGCAAGGCGCAGGTAGCGCAGAGAATGCGAACAAGGCGGCGAGGGAATCGCTCGCACTCACTCCGGCAACGGTCGCACAAACGGGCAAACGGGCGCCTGTAAAAGTCCCGCCCTTTATGGCTGGCGAAAATGCGAACCACTTTTGCGCAAAGCGGAGCCGTTCGGTTGCATTTTTCTCTCCCGCCGGGAACGGCACGGGTTTCTTAGCTCCTTTTTGGGGCTCCGCGCGGGTCTACGAGAAGCCGCCACACTGTGGAAATTTTGGTTGCCAGTTGGGTCTCGTCTCGTCACAGACGCTACACTGCGGACTGATTCCGAGAGTCCATTTTCGCCTCTCTCGCACTCATGGGGCGCTCCGCGAAGGTGCGAGAGGGAGAGGGAGTCAGGTGCCGGGCCGGGCGGTCGGAGGGGCCACCGCCGCCAACCAACCCCCTGACCTCGAAATTGCCCCCGAGACGGACCCGTTCCGGAGGGTGGCGCTCAAAGGGCGCGGAAACTCACCTTGAGGACGTAGATGTCGCCGGTGGTCTTGTTGATGTCGAACTTGGAGTTGGCCGGGTTGTCCGGATCGATGCCCTGGCCCGTCAAGAAGTACACGATGTTCTGCGGCCGGTCCTGGTCGCCGTCCGTGGCCGTCACCTGCAGCGCCGAGGAGAAAAGTGAGTAAAGGGAGTCGCCTCACAGTGGGCCAGAAGATCGGTGGAGGCGGTCGAAATCCCGGACGCGTTTTGAGCTCCAGAGTCGCTAAATGGGACTCGAAACGAACGTATGACCCCACCAATGGATTGCTCTCCGGACGAGGAATCCATCGGAAGTGTCACACACTCGGTTCTGGCGAGCTCAAAAAGCGGCGAGTTTTGGCCGCTTCCACCGGTCTTCTGGCCCACTGTGCGCCTCGAAACTACTCGATGTTCGTGCCATATACTCATCGTGAAATTCCTTAAACAATGTCAAAAGAATTTTATTTATCGAGTGGTTCCTTGGACGAACTAAATATTTCGTGAACCACTACTACTGTGGGAGTATTTTTTTTTTCGAAAACAAACCAAACACACAAAAGTCTACAGCAGGGTGCTGGTTAGTGCAGCGGGTGACATGCTTTACTAGAATACCGGGCAAACATCGTTAGGGTGCTGCTATATACGAGATCATCTACAACAAGCTCACAAACTTCGGGGAAGCTACTCTTGGCAACTTTTTCCCTCCAGAATTAAGTCGGCGTCCATTGTCGTTCGACGACGGCTCGTCTTATATATTGCCGTGGGACCGGGGGGGGGGGGGACATGCCGCTGGGGCCATGACTCACGAACGCACACCACATATATCGCTCGGTATCCGAGTGCTGCTGCGGTGATGGATAAAAAAAGGAGACGAAAACAATTTGCCGTGATCCCTATACCACCCCTTCCTGACTAGTTTAAGTCGGCTCCCAACCCTTCCCTCGTATCAACAGTCTCATCTCCTCTCCGATCGCCTTCGGGGCGGGGCGCGCGGGGCCCAGTCCCTATTTTTGTGGTGCTCTACACTGCTAACACCCACTGGTGGCCACTACTTGGGTTTCCGGACGGGTCCTTCGACAAGTCACTGTTCTCGTATCCGCTACCTGCGCGCGCCCGCTTCGAAGAAGAAGAAGAAGAAGAAGAAGAAGAAGAAGAAGAAGAAGAAGAAGAAGAAGAAGAAGAAGAAGAAGAAGAAGAAGAAGGGGAGGGATGTTCGCTCCGTCGGACAAAAAGGCGCTTTGGGCGGCAACAACTTGGACGGGGAGCGCTGCTGCCACCGGCTTGGGAGGACTGTCTTGCACTGTCGTGGACTGTCGAGGACGGCCTGGGCTTGGTTGGCTTGGGCCTGGGACGGTCCCGGACTCGTCCCGGACTCGTCCCGGACTGGCCACAAACACCGTTTGGGACAGACAAAAGGAAGGGGAGGGCCCGCCAAAGCCGCCAGGGCGCGCCACGGCCACCGGGGCGAACAGGCACACCGTGCAAGGAGAAGGTCACTCGCTTCACGGACCCCATTGCCGGGGAGACAAGACAAAACCCACAAAAAAAAAGAGAGAGAGAAAAAAGAAGGAAAAAATGGAGAAAGAAGACGAGGTGCGGATAATTATCGCGACGCGCGAGTTAAGAACAAAATCTTGCCCCCTCCCTCCCCTTTTCTTGCGGAGCAGACAGGATGGCACTAATTGGATCAATTCCTTTTCATTCGGCGGGGCGGAGGCGGGCCGAGGCGGCGACATAGCGCGCCCCGTCGTCCGCTCTGTCTCTCTCGCACTCGCGGGGCGTCGCGCCGTTTAAGGTATAGGATACTCAATGAAATCCGCCTTGCCTGGTCTCGAAACTGCTAAACACTCTTTCTGAGGATTCACCGTGTTGAAACTTGCCCAGGGTGGGTAGGGGCAAGGGGCCACCTTACCTGCGTCAAGTGGCGGGGGCGAGGGGGCACCTTACCTGCATCAAGTGGTGGGGATGGGGGCCCTCGAACTCCTCGAGCATGGTGGCCTCGAACAGGGGCTTGGCGAACACGGGCGGCAGGTCGTTCTTGTCGTTAATGTGGATCACCACGTGGGTGTGGTTCTCGTTGAGGGAGTCGGAGGCCGTGAGGAGGAGCTCGTACTGCGCAACACGCCATGCGTCAGACCATGCACTCATGCAGCAGCAACAAAAACAACTACAGAGGCTACGGCGCTACGGCGGGGGAGCGCGGCCGGGGGCGGCAGCGCAGCGATGGGCTGCGAATACACGTGCAGGCGCATCGGTTTGTCGTTAGAGGCGCGGCGAAACCAGTGGAGGCAACCTGGCGCACTGGGTCACGGACAGACGGACGGACAGACAGACAGACAGAAGGCCGGCCCAAATAATAACGAACGCGGTCGAGGTCACGCGCCGCTTTGGCCGCTTGCAGTTCTTTCCTTCTTGTTCCCGCACTTGTTGTCCTGGTTGTTCTCGCGGCACCGCGCGGCACTCATTGGCATGCCGCTCGCGGGGCAAGCTCTGCAGGCTGTGCGTGGGCTGTGCCCGGGCCGTGCCCGTCCAGGCCGAGGCGAGGCTCCCAGACTCCCCGGACAAATGACAAACGAACCGCCCCGGCCAAACGCGCGCGCGCGCAAACGCACGAGCTAGGGTGGCCACCCGGCCCACGGCGCTCTTTCCCCCGCCGTCTTGTTTCACGTTTTTATTCGCGGCGAGAAATTTGCAGGGGCGAAATAAAATAAAGTTGCGCGAGGGGCGCGAAGCGCGGACAAGGCGTGCGCCACTGTGAACCCACCCACGCGCCGCCGTAGCCTCTGTATTGCCAATTTAACGGTGGCCGGCAAAATGAGAAAACGAGAAAATTGATAAGCAAAAAAATAAAGAAAACACATTTTAAAAAAAACTTAAAAATGAGTGCACGACCCTGTGCCAAACAGTCCTGTGTGTTTGGTATTCAGGCCACTGGGAACTACAAAGTGAAGAGCAAACGATGGAACCAAAATAAAAATAAAAAACAAATGAAACAAAAAAAAAAGATCAGCAGAATTAAAACGTCAACAAACGAAACAAAACCACAACGGCAAAGTAATCATGAGACACACGGGCCTACGACATGCCAAACAACGGATCGACCACAAATACACACAAAGCAAACGCTAAAAAATATAAAACGAGAGAAAATGAAAGGAAACAAGACATGCTGGACACAACGACAACGCATGCGCAGCCAAGCCCCCAACGCTGGGGCGCCAGGGCGGCCAGGCCTTGGTCCAGGCGCGGACCCAGGGGGAAGGGGGCGTCCACTCCTAAGGACAGGTCGCACTTCGCCCCTAGTAGGCAACTATCGCGACATCGCACAGTGGGCTAGAGCCCCAGCGGAGGTGGTGAAAATTCCGGACGCGTTTTGAGCTCCAAAGTCGCTAAATGGGACTCGAATCGAACGTGTGACCCCTCCAATGGATTGCTCTTCGAACGAGGAATCTATTGGTGGGGTCACACGCCCGTTTCGAGTCCTGTTTAGCGACTCTGGGGCTCAAAATGCGTCGAGAGTTTTGGCCACCTCCACCGGTCTTCTGCCCCCTGTGCAGCATCCCCTCCCCCTGAACCCGTCTCTGGAGCCGCCCTTGGGCGAGGCGTTGACCTTGAGGATCTGCTTGGGCAGCGCGCGGTCGTCCTCCTCCGTGATCTGGCTCTGGTACGTCGGGCGCTCGAACACGGGCGGGTTGTCGTTGACGTCCTTGACGTGGATCACCACCGTGGTGTAGTTCTCGCGGAGGTTGTCGGAGGCCGTGAGGCGCAGCTCGTACTGCAGGGGGGAGAGGTCAGGTGAAACACTCGTCAACAACAAGAGCCAACACACAAACAACAACAGCACGGCAGAGAGCAACCGCAACCGGTGGTCAGCACGCCGAAAAACAGATCAGCTTCCTGAAAATGCAAAAAAAAAAAATAACAACGTGATTTTAATTATTTAGGCAATTTGTTTCACGCTTATTTCTCGTCTAGTCCCGTTGGATTGCTTGCTGTCTGGAAAGTTTTGAGGCGATTTCTCCCTCCAAAAGAGAGGTCGGAGTGCACAGACGGACGGCGACAGCTGCAAATAGGTAAACGGAGAGAGCGCGCAGTAAATTAAAAATCGTGTAAAAAAAGCCTTTTGAGAAGCTGTAGTTTCAGGTGTAAGGGTACAGCCATGCCTCGCGCGGCTTCGAGTCCCACCTCGCCACCCCGCAAAACACAGAAAAATAAAAAACAAAAAAAAAAAACTTTGCCAGTTTGGTGGCGTTGCGCCACGCCGCGCCGCCAAAGACCGAGGCCGCATTTATCATTGGATCTCCTCCGCGCGCACGAAAACACGACAGGAAAGAAATATAAAACCAGAAGAATAATAAAAAAAGGAAAAGGCAAGCGATGCAGTAGTAAAGTCGCAACGATCAAAAACACGGCGACACTGGAAGTAAAAGACTGATTGCGCGCCGAGGCCCCCCCCCCTCTCTCTCTCCGGAACCAGTGTGCTGGTATCGGGCCTCCGCTTCCGGTCATACGATCGCCGTAATGCGGCAACACGCGTCGCCGAAGTCTGTCCGTTTCCTTCCCCGCAACTGTTAACGCATCGTTTGTCCTTGTCTGAAAAAGTGCGCCGGTTTTCTCTTTGGTTCGCAATCGGTGCAATCGGCAACCCTGCCGACACACTGGTGCATCGTGGGGCCACACTGGTGCAGCCTGGGGGTGGCTGCTGCGCTTGCTGCCGCTCTGCCGCTGACGGCCAGGCCGCGCTTCCCGCCAAAAAGGCGCAAAGAAAGGCCACTACAAAGTTTATACACTGATCCCTCCCAACTTTACTCTGCTCTTCATGTTTAGCCCCCCGGCTTCCTTGCCGTCCGTCCGTCCGTCCGTCCGTCCGTCCGTCCGTCCCAGCTCCGCGCGGGACTCTCCCCGGGACACCGGTAGCGTCCGCGGCCCGACTCCGAGAGTCCTTCCTCGTCGCTCTGTCTCTCTCGCACCCGCACGGGACGCCCCATGAGTGCGAGAGAGACGGAGACAGTCCGCCGCCGCAGGACCCGCAAGAAGGCAGCGAGCTCATCGCCAGACGGCGACGGGTAGTAAAAAAGTTCCGGAAGCGAAAATGAGACTGGCCGGGCGGGGCGGACGGACGTTTTACCAGACTTTAGTTCTGCCGGGAAGTCACAACTATTAGGTCACTGTGAAAAAAAAGACTTACGGAGCGTCTGGAGCACTCGGCTATCATTCAAATGTACGCAGGAACAAAATCATCGGGAAGGGGGATGCAAAGATCTCGTTGATAACACTCGAGTTAACAAAATCTTTTTGCTTCACAGCGTTCTCTTTTGTTTTTGTTTTTACAATGTGCGGAGAGAGCGGGCTGCAGCGGATTCCTCGGAGGCCGTTACACTGTTACACGGCCGTTAAGCGGATCTTAAAAACAACTAGACTACCTCGCAGAGTGTTCGTCGGGGCGGCGAGGGAAATAATTGGAGCAAAGAGGAACGCGGCGGGAACCTCAGAGGCGGGAGCGAAAGAAAACAACTCGCCGCACTCAAAACGGAAAGCAAAGCCCCCTCTCAAGGAGGCTGCAACACGTAAGTATGTTAAAGGCGCGTATGTGCGGCGAGCAAGGGCGAGCAAAGGATGACCTCGGGGCGGGGCGGGGTGGGGCGGAGTGAGGAAGGGTCAGCAGGGCGTGGGCTTGCTTTTATGTCCGCTGTCGAGGGCAAACTTCCCCCTTGCCTCAGCTGCGACACAGCAGAAGCACCCCCTTTACCCCCTCACCCCCCCCCTTTTCGGCAAGCCCTCCCAACACATAAAGCAACTTATGTAAGTTATTCCGTGCAGATCCCGGCAGCCTGGGGCACCAGCCCCTCGTATGACGACTCAAACATGTCGCGTTCAAAGTTGACGCGCTCAAACACGCACACACACACACACACACACAAAGCGGGGGCCTTATGACACTGTTGGACAGTGTCGCGCGCACAAGGGAGTGGGGCAGTGGATTCTCAAAGGGCGCGGGTCGGAAGACGCGACAGACGCGGGCGAGCGGACGGACGGACGGACGGACGGACAGAACGGCAGCTCGTGTCCGTGACGCTAAACTGCTGGGTTTCCGGTTTCCGGTTCTACTTGGTCAGAAAGGCTGCCTCCGAGGCTGACCGTGACTCCTGCAGACTGATTCCGAGAGTCCCGGAGTGGCGAGAGTCGCGGCGCTTATCCACCGCGGCACTTTATCGAGGCGACCAGGGCACAGATAGGGCCGGCCATAAAGGCATGTGGGGCACACACACGAGCGAGTCTGCGCTCACACACACTCGATCACACTAACACACACACACACGCGTCGAAGTCGCCAAGGTAAACGGCGGCCAGCCAGTGCAGTGTGGGCCCGAAGGCCCCGAAGGCCCCGAAGGCACCGAAGGCCCCGGCGAGGACGCGATGCCCCGCGATAGCGGTGCAGCGCGGCCACAAATCCCAGGCAAAACCGGCGAAACTTGGGCGGCGGCTGCAGCGGCCCGATTCCGAGAGTCGTCTTCGTCGCGCTGTCTCTGTCGCACCTATCGGGGGCGCCTGTGAGTGCGAGAGAGACAGAGCGACGACTCTCGGAATGAGCCTGCAGCACTCGAGCAAGCAGCGGTACCACCGCGGCGGCGGTATGACACCGTGGCAACCGACCGGTATCAGAGGTGTGAGCCCCCCACCCCTTTCCGAAGCAAGCCCCGGGGTGCGGTCGTAACTTGGTGCTGTCTGGAGTGCCGTTGTCCGACCGGAGCACGGCGACGACCACCACAACCTCCACCACCATCTCGACCGGCGGACTGACTCCGTTGCCGTCGCTCTGTCTCTCTCGCACCTATGCGGGACGCCCCACGAGAGCGAGAGAGACAGAGCGAATTTGTAACTGCCGCCAGCTAATTAATCCAAGATCGGCAGCGATGGGCCGCGCAGCGGTCCCGTCGGCCGGGGAGGAGGAGTGGGGGAGGAAAAATCAGCACACGGAGGAGCAAAGGGGAAGGGGGGGGGAGGGGGTTTAAAACGCAGGACGAGCTTGGCGAGGGCTAAGCCATAAAACATTATGGCAAAGAAAAGGCGCGGAAGCGAGACACGCTCGGTGAATAGCTGGGGACGCCCCGCCCCGCCCCGCCCCGCCGCGCTCGTAATGACCACTATTTCCATGAGAAAGCCGAGAGTCCGCAGCGAAGGACGCCGGCGAGGACCGGCGAGGGGGGCCGTGGCGGTCATTTGTTGGCCGGCAAAACGAAAAGGATGGCTGGGAATCCAGGAGGCCGGCGTGGCCGCGGCGTGGTGCCCACCACACTGCGTTGCACTGCAGCGGCAGCAGGCCTCCAGGAGAGGGGGGGGGGTCGTAAAGGAAGGGTCCAGGCGCGGCGGAGATGGCGACAGAATGTGTGCGGGTGTGCTTTGGCCGGACTGGGCCTAGCAGTGGAGGGGAAGGGGTTCCGGCTGTTTCTCCTGTCTGCCATTTCCATCACGCCCACGCCCTCCCCTCACAAATAAAGCCAAGCCGGCCATTCTAATGAGCACGCTCGCTGCACCGTGGACTCATTCCGTCGCTCTGTCTCTCTCGTGACTTCACGGGGCGCCCCGTGAGTGCGAGAGGGACAGAGCGGGACGCTGGGAATCGGTCTGCAGAGGGCCCCAGTCCGGCCGTCCCTCGCAGTGGCGCGGCCGTGCGGCCCGGCCGGCGGGGCGGGGCGGGGTCCTCGCCTGGCAGGTAGGCAAACAGGCCCGTCTGGCGCACCTCGCACGCACGGCTGCGCTGCGGCGTGCCTACCCGCCCGTTCGCAGGCGTCTGCAGCAGCCGGCGACGCGCGCCGAGGAGGAGGAGGAGGAGGAGGAGGAGGAGAAGAGGAGGAGGCGGCGAGGGTGGCGCCGGAAACGGGCTGCCGGAGGGCCGGAGGGCTTCGCGCGCCGTCGTCGTCTTCGTCGTTGAGCTCGCCGACGGCGTTGATGGCGGCGCGGAGGAGAGAAGAAGAAGAAGAAGAAGAAGGAGGAGGAGGAGGTTCACGCGCGCCGCGTGGAATAATCGTTAGTATCAACACCCCGACTCGAGACTCGCAGAGAACCGGGATGGGATGCTTCCGCGATGAAGCGAGGCCAGCGGGGCCAGCCAATCGGTCCCTTCCGCCGCCCAACGCCCCGCCGACATTCTGGGCCAGACGCGGCGCCAACACACACACACACACACACCTACACACACACACACACACACATACACACACAGAGGAGAGAGAGACAGAGAGAGAGCCAGTGGCGTGTCGTCGATAGCCGAGCGACACCAAAACCCACCGCCAGTGTGCAGCGAACACGGGCCATTCGAACCGTTCGGTGATGATGATAAAAAGGCGGCGACGCTGCGTTTTTGTTTTTGCTATCCCGTTTTTGTTTGCCGTTTGCGTGTTTGCGATGACAAGGGCCATGATTCAGTCCACTGGGCGTGCACCGACACGGCGGCGGCGTGTGCTCCACCATCGGACGGATTAGCGGGATTAAAGGCGCGGTTTACGCGGGCGGGGCCACGCCGCGCCGTGCCACGCCACGCCCCGCTACTCCACACCACGCCACGCCGCGGCGACAGGAGCTTTTCGCTCGTGGACAAAATGAGAGAAAGAGGCGGACAACGCAGCAGGCCGCCGGGCCGAACCAGGAAATTCGGGGAGGGCGCGGCGGGGGGGGTGGGGCGGGGTGGGGTGGGGTGGGGTGGGGCGGGGTGGGGCGGGGTGGGGTGGGGTGGGGCGGGGCGGGGTGGGGTGGGGCGGGCCGGGATGGAGGAGGGGCGTGGCGGGGCCCAGCTTTGCCTACAATATCCGACAAAGCATCCCCTTTCTCGGGATGGAGTTGCCGCGCTGTAAGCTGCTAACGATCTTGTGTACTTACTCAGCCCGGCTCTGTTTTTACAGCGAAACGATGGCAGCGGAATCAACAGCCGGCGAGCGGGTCAGCGAGTCGCGCCGAGCGTTGCAGCACTGCAGTGTAGCGACACCGGATTTTTCGCTCCAAGAGACCCGCCTTCTGCGACTTTACAGAGTTTTACGGGATGGCACTGTTTTCGGGGCACTCTTTTTGGTGGCCAGGGACTGGGTCGAGGGCTCTCCGGGGGGGGGGAGAGAGAGAGAGAGAGAGAGAGAGAGAGAGAGAGAGAGAGAGAGAGAGAGAGAGAGAGAGAGAGAGAGAGAGAGAGAGAGAGAGAATGAGGGCGGACAGAGGAAGAAAGAAAGTGATTTCGGCGCTCATTATCGCCACCTGTCGGGTGCGCCCCGCCCGGTCCCCCAGCCGTAATACTCTGTCAACCCGACCGGCCCGGACCCACAAAGGGGGGAAAAAGCGCAAATGAGGAGACGGCTCCAAGTTGCCACTGCATTAATTTCTATCTCCGCCTCGCTGTGCCTGGCCGCGGCTAGAGGCGCGCCGGGCGGGAACCGGGAACGAGGCAGCGGCAGAGCAAAGGCGGGGGGCTTGCGGTGGCAGCCGCCAGCGGACTCATTCCGAGAGCAGTTTTCCTCGCTCTGTCTCCCTCGCACCTGTACGGGACGCCCCACGAGAGCGAGAGAGACAGAGCGACGAAAAGGACTCTCGGAATCAGTCTGCAGGACGACGGCAACGGGTGGAAACCGAGGTTCAAAACCCCGTCAAAGCCCCCAGCCGTGTGTTTTCAGGGCTTTTACAGCGAGCTGCCTGCCAGCCCCGCCAGCCCCGCCGGGGTTCCTAACAGGCGGGCGCCCTTTCAAAGCGCTGCCAGCTCGGTCGGGGGCGTTCGGCGCCATTCGGCGGACTCAAACCAGTCGCCATGATAATTCCGGTATAATGAAGCAGGTTGACGTCGCATCGCGTCCGACTGAATGCTGTGGCCCCGCCCCGCCCCGTCCCGCCCTGACGCAGATTCGCACCGCCAGTGTTGGCTGCACGAAACAGCTTCTTTGTTGGAGGCTTGGCCTCGCTGCCGGGCTGGGCCCGGCGGCAGCCGTTTATGACCTCTGAGAAGGCGTTACTACCAAAGAGGGACCGCGGCGGCCCATGGCGTGCGGTGTGACTGCCGAGAGCAAAGGGCCCCGAACAGCCTGCCGTCCCCCTTTCCCTGTCCCCCCTCGGCTTCCTTCCTGGGGCCGCCCCTGGGCCGCGCGCGGGCCGCTCAGCAGCAAAGAAACCAGCACACTGGCGACTAGGAGCAGCTGGGTTGCCGTGCCACCCTCGCGTCGAGGCTCACCTCGCCGAATTAAATCCACACTCCCTGATTTCCACTTTTCTTGCCACTCCATGCGTCGTTGCACGCGTGCTCGTCGCTTGTCTCTCTCTCTCGCAACTCCAGGGGCGTCCCGTGCGGGTGGGAGAGAGACAGAGCGACGAGGGTTCTGTTCGCGGAATCAAGCCGCCCCCGACCAACGCATCCATTTCGCTTTGGAGGCTCGACCAAAAACTGTTGTAGCATATCTCTCTCTCTCTCTCTCTCCCTTGCCCCGGAGAGGTTTCCTCGTTAAAAGACAAAGGCAAAACACGGCACAGTGTAAACGTGAACCCGATTCACGCGGCAATCATTTCCCGCTCGAGAAAGCCCCTCTAGCCTGACTGCAACAAGCCCCCCCCCCTCCCCCTCAACTCAACACGGCCGCGGCACACAAAAAAACAAGCGAAAAGGTGCGGGCGCCGAAACAGAAAAACAACTAAAAAGCAACAAAAACAAAAAGGGAAGGGCTGACACGCGCAACGCCCAAAGAGCGCGCGCGCGCGCGGGAAAAGCAAGAGGCCAGGGAGTAAAAAGGTGGTATTCAAATTAGCCGCGCCACCCTGCCGCCCCGACACTGCCGCGCACTGCCGTGCACTGCCGACGCCATCGCCACTCGTCGCCAATTATTTTTCATACCGCAGCCACGCTGAGCTGCGGTGCGCCGCTGCACCGGTAGATGGCCGACACCGTGGGGCACCGTGGGGCACCGCGCACCTGCAGTGTGTAGCCACGTACGCACGCACAAATCAAAAAAGTAACGCAAACAACGCCAAAAAGTTTAAATAAAGAGCACCAGGGGGGTTTCTTTTCCTATTTTTTTTTACAGTGCTCTTTCGGTTTCACTGAAGCCATCTGCAGCACACCGCTGCTCTCGCCGCGGGCCCACGGGCGTAGCGACCTGAAAGCCCCCAGCAGCGCCGCCGTCCCGTTCCTCCGGAGAAAACATGAACCATAAATCAAATTAGTCCGTTCGGCCGGATAAGACTGACTGACTCCGCTTCCTCGCCGGCCGTGCCGTGCGGGGGGGGGGGGGGGGCTACGGAGAAGGGTTGCCCTCTCATTCCGATGCGCATAACTCTGTATACAACCGGGTTCCCCCCACCCCTCTAGTGCCCCCCTCCCCCCACTCCTTTCCAGCTGGGGCCCTCCCTGGCTGGCTCCTCGGCGATTTACAGGCTTCCTATATAAATGATCGGTGCACTTTTTCTTCCACTAAAAAGGGGGAAGAGCATAGGAGGAGCGCAGGGGAAAATGGAAAATGAAATTGTGGGGGGGGGGGGGGTTGCTGAGCCCGCCGCAAGCCGGCGCCTACACGGCGCAGCGCGGCACGAAGACGGTCTGGCATCACATATTCAACGTTCCGCCGGCGTGGCTGCCCCCCTCTCCGGCTGCATAAGGGAGAGACACACTCTGTCGAGCCAGTCGGTGTCCAATAAACCGAAGGCGGGAACTGCAGCGCCAGAACGAATCAATCACGGGGCCTGCAGTACGCGGGGGAGATTCATCACACTGCCAAAAAAACAAAACAAAAACACAACCGCCTGCAAGGGTGGAAATAAACACACACTCTGGGGAAAAATCACTGAAAAAGAGAAGGAACGAAAATTGTGTGAGTCATGCTACAACGGAGAGGCGTCAAAGGATCGGCTGCGGCTGCTGACCTGGTTGGAAGTACAACTAACGAGAGCAAAAAACACGCAACAACAACAACAACAACAACAAAAAGTAAACAAGTGACTCACCCGCTTGCGCGTCTCGTAGTCCAGGGCGCCGGCCACGTAGATTGCGCCGGTCATGTTCTTGACCGCGAAGGCGCCGCCTATGTTACCGCTTGTGATCTCGTATCGAATACGCGACGCTGCAACAGACGAAACGGACCCGGTCAGACACACGCGCCATTACACACGAGCTGTCCATCATCCCGGCCGGACGGCCGCCTCAGAACAGTGGTGCCTCGCTCTGTCTCACTCGCTCTCCAGGGGCGCGGGGTGGGGGCGTGAGAGAGACGGAGCGACGGAATCACTCGGCAGTCGAGTGTGTCACGCTTGACGGACGCCCGGTCTTTGTTCAGACGCCAGGGCCAGATTGCGCGACGTCATGTGAGGGGCTGGTGGCGACTGCACGAGTGCGAGAGAGACAGAGTGACGCCAGGAGAGGGCCTCGGCAGCACTGGGGACTGCAATGCATAGGTGATAAAATCGAGGAAATTTTGAGGTTGTCAAAACTTTGACTGTCCCGCCGCTAAAATACGCGACAGCGCCGCCGAGTGCAGTGCTGTGTCCGCCGGGGAGACCCGAGGGTCCAGCCCCGAGGGTGCTGGCCCGAGGGTGCTGGCCAGCTAGCCCACTCCCATTGACCGACATGCACGTCATTGCTGTCAGACCCAGGCTTGCCCAGGCTGGCCCAGGCCCGGCCCCGACGGCACAACTAAGCGCACAATGCAAACAAGGCCGCCATCCGAATTAGCCACGAGTCGCCCCGGGCCAGCAACACCAAAATAGGTGGAGGGGGCCTGGAGAGGGCTGTTGGGGCTCTAGACACATTTTGAGCCCTTGCACTGTCAAAAGTTTAACTCGATGCCAATTTTCACGAGGCGAGAGTTGCGTCCGCCTGGTCATCTAGTGCACTGAGCGCCGCATCGCATCGGAAAAGCAGAAAATTTATTCTCGGGAAACAAAACTCTCTGTGGCCTTCTGACCTTAGGACAACAAGACTCCGCTTAAGTCCATCGCGAGGTGTTAGTGTGCCCGACATTAATTCGCGAGTGTATCCCTGTAGTTTATGCACGGAATGATTACTCGAGCTCTCTTGGCAGGCTTTAGTTAAAGGTGGGTTCCTTTTTCGGCACGTTGCCCCCTTAAATCCGAGCCCAGCCGCCCTGGAGTTTTCCCTGCGGCCGGCCTAATTCCAGCGGCTTTATGCATTATTCCCTTTCCTGGTCACGAGTCAGACAAGATGATCCCGGCCAGAGTGGGACGCCCTCTGGCGAAAACGAACGCCCTGTCCTGCCGAATAAGACGATCTACCCGTTGGCCTCCCCGGGAAGGGGCGACGCCCCACACGGCAAATAAAAAGGATGCCCGATGCACGGCGTGCATTCCGCCATTCAACCGTGCAATTGGGATGCTTTGAAAAAGTTAGGAGCATTTCCCTCGTTGCGATGCAGAATACTTGCGACGGCGACCCAGTTTCCAGGACGCACAGAGTGCATTCCTCATGACAGGCGCCTGCCACGGCCACTGCCGCGTGTCCACCCGCTAGGCAAGCGTCTCCAGATGCCACTGCAAACTCTCCGAAGTCGTTACGTCACCCTCGTCTCTGTTGCGCTCATGGGGTGTCCGGTGGGGGGCGAGAGAGACAGAGCGACTCTTGGCCTGGGCAGAAGCAGATTGGGAGCCCTGATGTCTTCCGGTCCCCAAAGAGGTTTGCAATTAAATAAGACAGGCTGACATGGCGGGCCGTGGCGCACTCCACTCTTTCTGCTCGCGATATTGCTTGAGGCCAGGCACGGCCAGGCACGGCAGCCGAGCAATTCCGAAAAGTCGTCTCGTCGCTGTGTCTCCGTCGCCCTTATGAGGGTTGTCGCGGAGGAGCGAGAGAGACAGAGCGACGTATCCGGAATCCCCCGGCAAGCCTGCTGGCCGTGACAAGGCGCGACACGGCAAAGGCTAATTGGATTTTGTCTTTAGAGAGGGATGGCGAGCAAACGGACAAATAAAGAGCAGCGAGGACAAGGCGGAAATTATTGTGGAACTGCGGAAAACCGTCGCTCTGCCACGACTCAGGGGCTTTCAACGAGACGCCGGACGAGACAGCGGGACAGTGTGCCAAAGCCTGGCGCGACGCCGTGGGCCACGTCACTGACAAGTATGCGGGAGGTTCAGGGTTCAAGGCTGGACTTTCAGCCATGGCCATGGGATAATGAAATACTCGGTGCCCCGGCGTACAAGAGGCGACATGAGAGGGGGGCCGGCCGGACGCCGAGCGGCAATGAAATATTCGCGGCACTCGGGATGACAGAGCGGCATGGCAGAGAAAAATAAGTGGAATTACGGCAAGGAGGACAGGAGCGGCCACTCTGAGGGGCAATACGCGGCGACCCATTGACAAGTACCACGCGGACCAAGGTCCCCCCTCAGTGACCGCCCACATGTAACGCCATGCCGGGCACGCCGGACATTGCGGTCCTTAGCCAAGGGCGAATGGGCCAGAAGGAGGGGAATAATGGTGCTTATGGCCTACCTGCTGGGCCGTTACAGAGCTAGGGTGATTGCATATTTTTAAAGCGGATTTCTAGAGTTCAAAGAGAAGAGGAAAGGCCTGCTGTACCACTTTGAACCCACCCCTGTTCTGCGCAGCGTGAGCTGTGGCCCGGCAAAGGTCGGAGATGTTAATACGGCACCCAATTAGCGGTACAGTACGAGTGAGGTGCACGATGAAACTAGAGTGTCGCGGTCCAGGGAGCCGCCCTCCCCCTCACCCATTCTCGCGGAAGACATACGGACTGCAAAGGACTGCGGGGACGCCGAGTCTCCAAGGAGTGACAAGATGCCAGAAATACGAGACCACAGCACCCATCCACCTTCCGGAAAGAATGTGAGTGTGCGTATGTGTGTGTGCGCGCGCGCGTGAGTAAGAGGAGCAGGAAGTGAAGAGACATGCGCGTCGTCCGCGGGGAGTTCACGGAACGGGGTGTTGCCGTGCGAATGGGGCGAAAATGTTCAAGGATATGGGAAAGATTCGTGGAGCCGCCACCTCGTTCACGTGCGAGATCAGGCTAGGCAAAGTTCTGAAAAGTGCATTTTTCATGAATTTCGTTGGCGAAAAGGAACACTTTGATACTAGAAATAAACAAAGTTCGGAATTTCATGCTTACACTATATCCCTTGAACTTTTTAATTTAGTAAAATATCTTCGAGAGATTCTTCGCAATGAATGTGACTTCAAAACAAGTCAAAATTCTAGAGAAAAGTGACGAATGTCACCTCCTCTGAATGTGCATAACGAACTGTCTTCTTGGCGTGCACCGCGGATTGCACGGTGGAAGTGGCGGTGCGAAGTGCGCGCGCACACAATCCACGCACACAGCGCGCGGCGCTTTCATTCCGCGGCTCGGCGGGACGGATTGCCACGGCGGCAAACTGGCAGCGCCTCGCCTTGCTTCGCCTGCTCCGCGCTCCGCCTTGCCGCGAACCCCAGCCGCCAAGTTGTAATTGCCCCCGCGAGAGGGCGGGGGCGGTGGAGGCTCGCTGCAGGGCCGCGCAGCCACCGCGCTGCACGGCGTGCATGCAGTGAGCACGTACGGCAGTGCGTCTCCGAGCGACGTCTCCGCCGCCTGACGAACTCAAAACAAGTCCGTAACAGAGTTACCTCGACGTCGCTGCCGGGTCCCCTGCCGCCCCCGCGGGGTGGGTATGCAAGGCGTCGAGCGGAGCAAGTTTCGGGACCGAGGTAACAATAAGAAAGAGGTAGGTTCCGGGAGAAGGGGCGAGTTGAACACGGGCTGCGGCTGGACAAGCCCGAACGGAGGTACCCGGGTAAGTTCACGGCCCCTACTCGGGACAAACTATGTTTCAGCGAAGGGGTTGGAGAGTGAAGACAAAAAGGCAGACAACCTGGTGGAAACCAATTAGCTTTTTGCAGGGAGGTGAAGCTGGTGACGTTCTGGCGCGAGGCAGGTCGGTGAGCTATGTAAGCATGGGGGAAGGATTTGGTTAAGGCCTGGCTCGCAGGAGGCGGGATCAAATTTGAAGGATCGGGCAGGGCGGAGATCGGATGAGAAGGGTTGGGCAGGGGGAAGGGTGCGTGTGTACAGGAGCCGTGCGGGCGTCGAGCACGCCGTCAGCGCGGCGGGGCGGCGGGGGCGCGTGAGCCCAGCAAGTTTGCCCGTAACCGTGCGCCCCCGTGCACCTGTACCTCGGCAAAGACATACAACAGGTTCACGCCCGCACCGCCGGAGCGAGGCTGCGAGTGGCGGCCTTCCCCCTCCACTCGGACTCTCAGATCGAGGTCCGTTTCGAGATCGCTTTCGAGATCGCTTTCGAGATGGACGCCCCGGACGTGCCGCAGGTCGCGCGACAAAGGCAGTCTGTGCGGAGTTAGTTGCCGTGCAAAGAGAAAACTAATTTATCATTTTTATTATTCACAAAAGGTGCGCCCTCTCCCGTCCGGCGCCCCGCCCGCCACCCCTAAGGGCATTAGGGGTCCTTCTAATTCTCTCTCGTCGAGGCCCTCTGCCGGTGCAGCGCGCCGAAGCACCTCCAAGAAGCGGCGAGGGCTGTTCAAGCGCTGCGCACGAAGCAGAATGCGCAAAGCCCAAGTGTTTCGATGTGTAGCAGGTGAGACTGTCTGGCTACTTTACGGATGAGCAGCTTTGAACAGGCCGACATTTGCTGGTATCAGTTTGAGCACAAAGGCCTTGGTATTGAATTCGACACCTGAATTACGCTGTTACCCAACGGAGGAACAGCACAAACGCACAGCACAGCCCCATTCCTAAATAATCCCAGCCCTCATAACGTTCACGGTTTACGGCGTACAGACACCTAAACGGGGGGACCGTTGGGGTGCGGCACTCGCCTTGGTTACGACCCGCTTGTTCCCCCCGCAGTGCCTCTGGGGGCGCCGGCCTGCACGGCCCTGCACTGGGACAACAACCGTCAGCAACCCGGTCAGTCTCTCTCGCACAGTTCCGGGCGCGGCGGCGGGGGGCGCGGGGACGAGGCGAAGCACTTCGGAATCAGCATGCCGCGAGCGGCGCGCGGCCGAGTTCAATAAACGCGCACGTCGCCGGGCCTTACAAAGCGAAGCCCTGGCGGCGCCCGATTCATTCGCCCCGCTAGTGGGAGGCAGGGCTGA